ACTGCAAAATATCATTTTCTAACGACTCTGAAATCTGATTGTCGAGTTCACTTGCACTTTCTTCTGAAATGTCTTCTTCAAAATCGATTTCGAACTCGTCTACTTCCACTATTTTGTAAGCATTTTTACACATTTGCCCTTGGCAATGGGTGCAATACTCAGAGCATTTTTGAACTCGAGAATTCAGATCGGAGTAGCTGTGTGTTTGCTCCCCCCTCACTGATATTTCACTGATTTCACGCGGTCTTGAATATCTTTGAGTGACATTTTAAATGGGACGCCCGTGATTGCAAATTTTGAAAATTTATATCTGGAAAGTACTCGGAATGGCAAACCTATTAGTTCAAAAAACAGCCCTTATACCCTTATAGTTTTAGTGTAAATAAGGGTTAACTTTAACGGACTATAACTCCGAAAGTAATGGGCGGATCATCAGGTTTTTTAAATACTCGTCTTTCCGAGTACTTTCAAACCATATTAATAAATATAAATATAAATATAAATAAAAAATTGAAAAAAACATTAAATTATTGCAATTGTTTATAAGCGTGAAAATTGCGACAGTGTTTAAACAGTCGCCACGGTTCACCTAATCGTCCGATTTGAATTTTTCAAAAATCATTTTAAAGCTTGACAACTCTTCTTTCTGTGGTGAAATTTTCAAGTATTCAAAGGTTTTAGATTTTTAGAAATTTAATTGTATAATTTTTTTAATTTAAAAAATATTAAAAATTTAAACAATTATTATGTAAAAACTATCAAACCGAATTGGATGAATTTTGGTGTGATGATTCTATGCACTAAGAAGTTTAATTGGGAAAAGTATGAAGATCTTAGGTATTATTCAAGTGTCTAAAAAAATTGACAAATAAACTAGCATTTTTTGCAATTTTTTAAATGATTTTCCGATTTTTGCAATAACAATAATTATTTTTTCGAATTGCAACTAACTCTATCTTGATCAAAATTTAATTACAAAACTTTTTTCCTCTTCCATTTTTGTCTAAAATGAATAGTTGCTAAGTTGTCGCCGAGAAATCCAAGAAAAAAATGATTTTTTTGCTATTTTTTTATACTTTATTGCATTAAAAATTAAGCCCACGTTTTTTTTATTTGCATAGAAAAATTATCATTTCTGATGTTATTTAGAAGCCGTTAAAGCAAAAATCTCCGATCATATGCGTTTTACCCAACCCGATACAATACCGCCTGGACTACAGTAGTCTGGAGACCAATTTATACTAATCAAATTGCAACTTTGGAAAGAATACAGCGTAGGTAAATAATATTTTCCAGAAAACTAGCCGTCAGTTAGTATTTACACCCCCGCCAATAAAACCTTATAAAGCACATCTTAACGGCTTCTTTTTTAGGTCGAAGAAGCGCAACAGAAGAAAGCTTGACAAATTACTTGACCCCGACTACGTCGCCCCCAAGATCAAAAGACCCACCAACGACTTCGACTTCTCCGAAGACACCTCGGACAACAACTTCCTGAAATTCGCCTGCGAGCTGTGCGACGAAAAGATCCAGTCGAGCGTAGCTTTCGCCCTACATTCCATCAGGCACTCCTCCACCAAGAAGTACCACTGCCACTACTGCAAGTACAAGACCAGCACCGTCAAGCGCATGCGCCGGCACATGTGGATCCACGGCAACGGCGGCAAGGTCTTCCAGTGCGAGACCTGCTCCACCGTCTTCCCCGAGTGCATCCAGGCCATCGAACACAAGAACTTCCACTCGGGCGAGATGCCTTACAAGTGCGACACCTGCGAGAAGCACTTCATGTTCTCCTGGCTGCTATTCACCCACCGCCGCCTCTTCCATTGGGACTCCAAGGGCGACACGGGGCCCTTCACCTGCGACACCTGCAACGGCAAATTCGGGACGCGGTCCGGATTGCGCAAACACATCTTCAGGAAGCACAACAGCGTGCCCAAAGAGCCAACCCTCTGCGACATTTGCGGGAAGAGCCTGGCCAACAACGAGACGCTCAAGTTCCACAAGAGGACCCACACGGGGTACAAGCCGCACATCTGCAGCACGTGCGGGAAGAGCTTCTGCAAGAAGGGGCTGCTGGTGGAGCACGAGAGGGTTCACACGGGGGAGAGGCCCTTCATCTGTCAGTACTGCGAGAAGGGGTTCTCCCAGAGGGCGCCGCTGAAGATTCACTTGAGGATCCATACGGGGGAGAGGCCATACGTGTGTAAATTTTGCGGGAAGGGGTGCATCTGTAAGAGCGTCTTGGATGCGCATATGCGGAATTGCTCCGGGGTTATTATACCATAAGGAATCAGTTTTAGCTTATTGTAAATATTTAAATTTAACTTCGTATAGGTACGTTGGTACGTTAAAGAAAGGGGGCGAGTTCCTCTAGGAAAAATAACAGGGGTAGTTCGCATAACGTTTTTCATTTTATTGCCAATAGCAGTGGGTTAAGCATAAACTGAATACCCTGTATACAGGTAGTGGGTGTGGATCACTAAGATTATTCAAAAAATAAAAAATTTCAATAATCAATGTGTCTGGTTTTTTATAACGAGCGTACAAATAAAAACGTGGTCAAGTTGGTTCTGAAAATTTGGACGTAGGGCGTAGCGTATAGCAAATGAACTTAAACGTCATCTGTCAAAGCGCTATATCGCCGCTATCAATTTGAATATTTTCGTTTTAAAAAGCGTTTAAAATGGTGTTTTCTCAAGAACAAGAAGTGTTTATCATAGAGTCCTACTTTAGAAATGGACGCAAGATTGATGGAATATGGAAGTATTCTATTGAGGAATGTTTCATAGAATTTCAAAATCAATTTCCCGGCGTTGTTGAGTACAAAATTTTTCAAAGTGCAGTTCAGCGTTGTGTTAATGTTTTTCGTGAAACGGGCAGTGTAACAAGAAAAGAAGGAAGCGGCCGACCTAAAAAGCGGACTGAAGAATTAAAAGAAAATGTCCAACAAATAATGGAAAATGCGCCAAGACCTTCTGTACGTGTTTTATCACAAATGGTGGGAGTATCAGTCGGTACCTGCCACACAGTGTTAAAAAAAGATTTGCGTTTGTTCTCCTATCGTTTAACTTGTCAGCAAGAACTTCATGAAGTTGATTTTCCGCGACGGGCTGTATTTTGTGAATGGTTTTTAAACAACTACGGTGAACTTCATAATATCACCTTTTTTTCTGATGAAGCCTGGTTTCATTTAAGTGGTTACGTAAACTCACAGAATATGAGAATGTGGTTTTCTGAAAAACCACATAACTTTTTTGTCGAGGGCCCTCTACACGCTCAAAAAATTGGAGTTTGGTGTGCTCTCAATCGAAGGAGGATTTATGGACCTATTTTTTTTAATGGTACTCTTACTGCGCAAAGGTATAGAGAAGAAATTATCGCTCCTTTTGTTAACCAGCTGGAAGAAAACGAAATTACAAACTTTTACTTTCAACAAGATGGCGCAAGGGCACATACGGCAGGCGAGACGATGAATATGTTGAGAGAAGTTTTCCAAAATCGACTAATAAGTCTCAATGCTGAACATGAATTTCCACCGAGGTCATGTGATATTACGCCGTGTGATTTCTTTTTGTGGTCTTACCTTAAAAACACTATTTTTGAACTGCCTATTCCTGATTTAAACCATCTGCAGGCTCGACTTATAGACAAGATTCGTGAAATTAACAATACCCCGAGCATCTTAGAAAATGTCTTTAATTCTTTGAGGAACAGGTGTGAAAAGTGCTTGGAACAAGGAGGGGGACACTTTCCGCAGCTCCTTTAATTGTTTGTTATTGTTATCACGATTATTCTTTAAAATAAAGTTATATAGTCATTAACGTTATTGAAACTGACAGCTGCTATACAGCTCGTTGAGAAATGAGGTTAAGTTGGTCGCTATAAGCTACTCCCTACGTCCAATGTGTCAGAGCCAACTTCGACCACTTTTTTATTTGAACGCTCGTTATTAATATCCTCATAAGTATAACACGGCTGGTGAAATCAAGCAAGACTATTTTTCTATGAGAAATATTCGGGTATCATTGGTTTTCCATTGCCATTGCCATTGGCTTGCTTAAATTTTTGTATGAGCGTATTTCTCAGAAAAACGTCAAAAACTATCGGATTATTCTATTAGTACAGTCATTGAAGCTTTCCATCTCCGAATTCTTTGAAACTGAACCGATCGTTGAAATTTGGCAGATAGTTAGAGAAAAGGTCAATGAACATTAGGACATAGCGCCGATTGACGCTTCCACCCTGTTGGGGGTTGTCTCAGGGGTGGAAATTTTTTTTCAAAAATAACGCTGGAAATCGATAGAGAATCAAATTGTGAGCAAAAAAATATGCGAAGAATTTTTTCGAGAAATCAGTAGTTTTTTAGTTATTCACGATTGAAAACTTGGAATTTTGAGTGAAAAAAAAAACACTTTCAAAGTATTTTTCGCGAATAACTTAAAAACTACGCATTTTATTAAAAAAAGTGTAATGAACAAAAATGTAGCTTATAAATAAACAAAGAAAATCGTTTTTAAGTGTTGTATGTCCTATACAAAGAGAAATATGGTTAGTGGAAGGGGACTTTTGGGGGGAATACTCGATGTATTCAACGTCAAATAACGGAAAAAGGATTAATTTTACGTGTATAACGCTCCTGGAGTTTTTTGTAGTACTCAAAAAGACCTTCAATATGAGTACTTATAAAAGTTAATTAGAGCAAAATTGAAGGAGTTATCGACCAGAAAAAGATGGGTTGCTCATATTTTTTAAGGAAAAATGAGCAGTAAACGCTGTACCATTTCCATCAGAATTAAAATCTCTTGTTATATTTTAATAGCATAAGCCGTTTTCCAGTAAAATCCATTTCAATAATTCATTATGTGCTCAAAAATTCCTACTGCAAATAAATGTATCAAATTGTGCCATGAGAAAATAACTGTAACAAACACAAAATTGTAAAATTTGCCCCATGGTCCCGCATTTTCTTACGCCCCTGTAGCAAATTTTGATTTGTATTTTATGCCGATTATTAAGCATATAAATAGTAATACAACCCCAAAATTTCGCGATTTAATATTAATTTATATTTGAAGTCATGCAATAAAAACTGTTTCCTGAGTTACCCTTTCAAGGGGCTGTATCTTCCTTAGGGGCCGCCACTGACAAAAACTCTACTAAGGTTTTCATCATATTGTAGGATTTTTTGGATCTAGAATGCCATGAAATCAAAACAAATCCAAGGGCACCAAGTAGTAGTATCCGATGACCCAAACAACTTTCATGGAGGTTATTTTCTCAGTATTAGCTATCCTGACGAGATATCAACCTGAGAATCCAAGAGGGAGATTTGACATTCAAATGACCTTGAACATGAGCTAACTTCGTAAAACGTACATCGGATTCGGATTCAGCGACCACAAAAACGTATAAGTATGGTCATTTAATCTATCACACATTGAACTTTTTTTGGTTGTGTAATTATTAGTAGTCCTTATGTTTAATTTTTTACTGAGCAAATCCTATCATCCATCGAATTAAATACTTTTTATTAATACTTCAACCAACTGTTTTTGATTCCATGGCAACCTAGATGCGCAGAAAAAAATTCCAATTTGCATTTGATTTAAGTTTATCCTCGTGTAGATAGATAGAAAATAATTAATAGATGCCAACCACATTTTAAAGACAAGCAAAAATTTTAATGAAGAATGCCTTTTTCAGGTAAAATGAAAACTAAAAATATTTTCTATCAAAATAGGCCGATTCATACACAAATTGCAATTATAATATAAATTTCAATTCTAATCAACTTTCCTTATTAACATATTTCACCTATTCTATTCGAATTTGGTACACAACTATTTTGAGGACCTTAGAAAAAATCTCTATATTTTTCTGAAAAATGTATCCACATAAAAAATTGTAAAGAAGGCTGGTTTCGTGAAAATTATGATTTTTCAGGGCTCTACCCATAAAAAATAGCCTTTCCTGATTCCTTCAGCTTAATAATATTAATAATAATAATTTATTTGTCACTATAGCTGTTACTAAAAAATTATAGTCGTATTTAACGGGGTGTTAACACGAAAAACTAGACACGGGTACTTTTGTAATGTTTTTACATTTTTCATTATATTTTGATACTATACTATAATTACTATTTTTTCTATAAAAAAATGTGTTTTCCAATGTTTTACGCTCATGGTATTTTTAATACGTTACATTGATGAACATAACAATTTTTCTTACATGTTTAGTCTGTAGATATATCCTAACAGTACAATAAAATTGGATTTGATGAATTATACAACACAAGTTTGGACATGCTTTTAGTTTCACCCTGTACAATAAAGCATAGCACGAATTATGTTACCAATCACCATCAAATGCAAAGTAATAATAAGAATAATGGACATTGTAAACATTATAAATTAAGATATAACTATCTTTCCTTTTAAGAAAAATAAAGACAGTGTTTTCGATACAAATTTCAATATTTTATATTTGTTATGTACTATAAATATACGAATAACTAAACCAACCGCTTGTTTCTGTTTCAATTCATTGAAAAATTTCACATGCTATTGTCTGTACTCGACCCAGTAGGCGGGTAACGAAACAACGAAGTATAGATTGTTAGGACTGTCAAACCGTTGACAGACAACGCTTGTGACCACTCATTACTTGTAGATAGTAGTATAACTTGCCTTGTAGGTATGTACATAGAAACAAACACAGCCTTATCAATATATATCGTGAAACTAAACGTACTCACATTGGTTTTGTTTTAGGTTCTTCGACTCGTCGATACTAAACAATCTAATATACGGCCCAGGAATCTCCATAACGCCTGTCAAGCAAGAAATCTACGACTACACTGCCAACGGCCCCGACAAGTTCAATCCGTTCAACGGATTCAACGGCTACAACCCATTCATGAGTCAGTTCATCGAGAACGAGATAAAGCTCAACGCGAAAATGAGCTCCCCCAAACCGGAAAAGGAAATATCCAAGCCCGCAGCTACCGGTAACATAATAGACTGTTTGAACAAGACTAACAAGCTCAAGAAGAAGCCCGAGAAACCAAAGAGTACTTCGGATAGGAACGCGCCGCAACCCCCCACCCTAGACGAACCCATTCATTGCGAAACTTGCAACGACACGTACAAGAACAACGTCGCTTTCGCCTTACACTCGATTCAGCACACCCAGGATGATAAATACGAATGTCATCTGTGCGACTATCGGAACGCTTCCAAGTACCACATCGAAATGCACATAAGGGCCCACGAAGGCACCACCAAGTACAAGTGCGAGGTATGCGGCAAGGCCTTCACCGTGAGCACCCACGCCATAGAGCACAAGTACTTCCACACCGGCGAAAAACCTTTCCAGTGCGAGATATGCGGCAAGCACTTCATGTTCTCCTGGTTCCTCACATCGCACCGCAGAACCCAACACTGGGAGATAATGACCGGCAGCCCCCTGGTGAAATACGACTGCACCATCTGCAACAAGCACTACACCTCCTCCACGGGTCTGAAGAGGCACAACCTTAGCAAGCACAACTCCTCGGGCATCGACCCGTCAGTGCTCTGCGACATCTGCGGCAAGAGGCTGTCGAGTAAGGAAAAACTGAAATTCCACCGGAGGATCCACACGGGGTACAAGCCGTTCTCGTGCGAGGTATGCACCAAGAGCTTCTCCAGGAAGGAGCAGCTGAAGGAGCACGAGAGGGTGCACACGGGGGAAAAGCCCTTCATCTGCAAGTACTGCGGCAAAGGCTTCACCCAGAGGTCCCCGCTCAGGATACACGAAAGAACGCATACGGGGGAGCGGCCTTATGTGTGTATGATCTGCGGCAAGGGGTTCATATCGAAGGGGGTGATGGACACGCATATGAAGACCTGTTCTGCGGCGCAAATGCACTATAATTAGCCAGTAGGTGATAATAGAGTAGTAGAGTGCTGAGAATATAAAAAATTGTTTTTGTTATGTTGGGAACGTATCCAATCTTCATTCAGGAATACTGTGTTGGTTTAGCGCCATCTGTGATTCGACCATGTGAAGTACAGAACACCGGAAGAAAGCACTAGATGGTGTTAACAGTTCGGGTGTGGATGTCCGGTAAGTATCTAGCCCTCAGGAGCATATGGAGAAGGTCAAAATAACACTGGGTCGGATTTTTCCTCCATTCTTCCTCCTAAGATTTAGATTAGGGTGGCCCAAAAAAAACGAATATTTTTTTTCGTGTCTCTTGTGAAGATATGTTAGTTTTAAGAGCCCTCTCAAAAAATCAGCTCAAAAAAAAATTTTTTAGAGGTCGCTCAAGATTTTTAAAAATTTCCAAATTCGCCAAAAATTATTTTTTTTTATTTTTTTCTCTTTATTTTATCATTTTCTAGGTTGAAAAATATCTCGATTCTGAAAATTTCAAATCGATATTTTAATTTCTAAAGGTCACTCAGAATTATTTTAACTTTAAAAGTAGTGTAAATATGAACGAACTAATATTTTTTTTTATTGAATTTGATGAACAAAAGAATAGAAATAAATCACGAGACACTTAAAAAATTTCTCGAGGCAAAATTTACTATCGCACGTGAGTATCAAGTATTTATAATTTTTTAATTTTTTTAAATTTGTGTCTCGTGATTTATTTCTATTCTTTTGTTCATCAAATTCAATTAAAAAAAATTATTAGTTCGTTGATATTTATTTTTAGAGGTCGCTCGAAAACATAGGTACGCTACTTTGAAAGTTAAAATAATTATGAGTAACCTTTAGAAATTGAAATATCGATTGGAAATTTTCTGAATCGGTATTTTTTCAACCTAGAAAATGATAAAATAACGAGAAAAAAAAATTCAATCTGACGATTTTGGAATTTTTTAAAAATCTTGAGGGACCTCTAAAAAAAATTTTTTAGAGCCGATTTTTTGAGGGGTCTCTTAAAACATGATAAACTAATATATTTTCACAAGAGACAAAAAAAAATTCCATTTTTTTTTGGGCCACGCTAATTTAAATATTTACGTTTTGGGTTTTAACTTTGAAACCACCATGGCAAAATTTTGGGATAGATAAGATACAGACAACACTTCTTTATTGGATGTTAAAATCGATCTTGCATCAATAAATTTGCCCTCCCTTTTATGCTCCTGGAAGATTGGTACTTGCCGGACATCATGTGTTTTATATTTCAAAAAACTACGTACTCTACTACAAAATACTCTAACTTGCAGCAAATAATGTCATCATCCAGCTCATTTTCTAATTTATCAGAATTTTGCTCCAAGTCCGAGTAACTAGACTGAGTTAAAAAACGTATTATTAGTTCGATTTTCTTTATTATTACTAGGTACTCTTTGAAACCGTTGATTATTTAGTTTTGTGTAAGTTTGATGTTGTATCCGAAGAGAGAACAGAAAAATACTCACTGAAAGATTATTTTGTTATAAACATGAGATGTAAAAGTTTACTTGAATAGAAAAATACTTTGTTTTTTCGATGCTGTTAGATCTAGATTCTGTGAAATAGTTGCAACAAATTATATATATCACATAAATAATAAATCGAATAAATAACTCATATAGGTACTGGAAGTTTTTTTAATGGATAAAATCAAGATACAGAGTAAGTTGATTTACATAATTTATTTTTAAGAGTTAATTTTTAGGCAGATGCAAAAGAAGATCTAACAGGTATAATTTTATGTAACTTTTTAACGTAAATATGCGATTTGTGAGATTAAATATGGTCAAGAATGCGCTACTACATCGTCACACAAGAGGCATACTAGAAGTTGTCAGAAAACAATAAAAATGAACGAATATCTTCTTCAGGTACCATCATACGATGAAAGGATTGACTATGCTACATTTATATCAAATAAATATGTATTTCTTGCACTTTTCTGTTGGTACTTCTTTGAAAATTGTAACATTTTGTGTTGGTAGGGGCAGGATACTTATATGTAGATAAGACCGTTCTCCCATGTTGATCCTAGTCAGAACTATAAAAGATTACTGATATTCTATTTTCAGGTTCATCACAAAGTTGAGTCCTGTTTGGGAACCGGACGACGAGAAGCCCAAGAAAAAGAGCAAGACGCGCAAAGTCCGGAGAGAGAAGAAAGAGAAGAAGGTTCGGAGAAAAAAGATCGACATCGTCCACCCGCCGCCCATCGAGCTGGACGAACCTATCCAGTGCGACGTGTGCAGCGACACCTACAAGAATAACGTCGCGTTCTCTCTACATTCCATCAGCCACAGCGATGACGGCAAATACTCTTGTCACATATGCAACTATCGGAACGCCTCCAAGTACCACATAGAGATGCATGTGAGGGCTCACGAAGGCACCACGAGTTACAAGTGCGAGATCTGCAACAAGGCCTTCACCGTGAGCACCCACGCCATGGAACACAAGTACTTCCATTCCGGGGAAAAGCCCTTCCAATGCGAGATATGCGGGAAACACTTCATGTTCTCCAGATTCCTCGCCTCCCACCGCAGGACCCAGCACTGGGAGATCATCACCGGCACGCCCTTGATCAAGTACGATTGCACCATCTGTAAAAAGCACTACACCTCCTCCAGCGGCCTGAAGAGGCACAACCTCAGGAACCACAACACGGAAGGCATAGACACCTCGGTGCTCTGCGACATATGTGGGAAGAAAATATCCAGCAACGAGAAGCTTAAATTTCACCGAAGGGTGCACACGGGATACAAACCGTTCGCTTGCGAGGTCTGCGGCAAGTGTTTCTCCACGAAGGAACAGAAGAAGGAGCACCTCAGAGTCCACACCGGCGAAAAACCCTACATTTGCAAGTACTGCGGCAAGGGTTTCACCCAGAGGTCTCCCTTGAAGATACACGAGAGGTCCCACACGGGGGAGATGCCCTACGTGTGCTTGATTTGTTCCAAAGGGTTCATCTCGAAAAGTGCCATGGATACCCACATGAAGCACTGCACCTTTCACATACCTTGTTAGGGGTTTCCCGTTTTACATAGGGGGTTGTTTTACAGGGTACGACAAGCTTAATCCTACTAAGTGATGTTGAGAAACTAGGATAGGTAATATGTTAATAGTTTTCAGAACGGTTTGGAAATGTATGGAGAGTGTCTTTTAGAAAATTGATGTTTTTGGAGAATATATATTTTTTAATGTTTGCAATAAGACATAATTTGTTAGATTACACTTCTAACAATGAGGCACACTCCATATTGGTTATATGTTATTTTAAAAATATGGTGGTAGTGTTTATCAAAAGCACTATATTTTCCCGGTGATCTGTTCATAGATATTTTTGTGTAATGTTTTTTACTGGAGTTACTGGATAATTAAAATTTTATAAACGCTCGAACCAAATGAAATAAAAGTAAATGTGATTAAACCGTCACAATTGCAGGTATTACCAAATAAACAATTTGACTAAAAATGTACAGCTCTTATTTATGATGTATATAGACTTTATTTAGAGAATAATTTAAGAATAATATAAATAATCTGGTAATACCTCTTTCTTTTATTAAAAAAAGAGTTTATAAAATTTTATAACAAGTAAATGAACACGTTGTTATGTGTAGATATAGTAGTTACCTAATTTTATCTGTTGTGAAGATTGTGTTTACAAATATAAAAAAAGGTTGGGATAAAAAAATGTTCAAGCAATACTTGTCATGCTGCCCTTGTTTGTATCTACTGTTATTGTATGTTCACATAATTCGTAATAAATTATTGCAAATTTTGTTTTACTTATTGATTCTATTTGCTAAAAATTAAACAGATGCATATACCGCAGGATTATCAAACATCGGAACAAAGGTACGTATTTTATATTCCAGAAATACTTTCATTTTTGAAAGAGATACCGCACGGACCATTCATGTCTTTACAGTGGGAAATTTTACTCACACCATATTTACCTGTGGTTTTATTAATATAAGTTTTGTTTTTTAGGAGCAAAAAGACTAGAAGGAAAAGACGCAAAGCCCAGAAGGGCAAGAAGTCGAAGAAAACGGAGGATCACCCCCCACCCCTAAAGCTGGAGCAGCCGATTCAGTGCGACGACTGCGAGGAGTATTTCACGAACAACGTCGACTTCGCCCTTCACTCGAAATGCCACGACAGAGACGGCAAGTACCGGTGCCACTTGTGCATCAACTTCCGGAACGCTTCCAAGTACCAGATAGAGATGCATGTGAGAGCGCATGAGGGCACCACCAGGTACAAATGCGAAATATGCAACCAGGGCTTTACCATAAGCACCCACGCCATAGAACACAAGTACTTCCACACGGGAGAGAAGCCTTTCCAGTGCGAGATCTGTGGGAAACACTTCATGTACTCCTGGTTCCTTTCCAGGCACAGGAAATCGTCGCACTATGAAATTTTAACTGGTAGTCCTCTAGTAAAGTACGACTGTCCAATTTGCAATAAGCACTACGCTACCGCTTCCAGCTTAAGCAGGCACAAGCAAAGTAAACATAAGAAGATCGACGGTTCCGTGCTTTGCGATATTTGCGGGAAGAGATTGTCAAGTAGAGAAAAGTTAAAATTCCATCTTAGGACCCACACCGGGTACAAACCGTACGGTTGCACGGTGTGTCCGAAGAGCTTCTCCAAGAAGGACCAGCTGGTAGAGCACGTCCGGGTCCACACGGGGGAAAAACCCTACATCTGCAAGTACTGCGGGCGGGGGTTTACCCAGAGGACGCCTCTGAAGACCCACGAAAAGACCCACATTAGAGACGAGATGGGTGCGGGTTGTTCGGTGTGTGGCGTCATTGGAACCTGCGGACACGTTCAGAACTACCAACTGCCGGCGCCTTTTAATTACAATTTCGACCCGAGGAATACTTAGTTCTGTTCCGTGACATGTTGGTTATACCTTGCTCATGCTTGGAGAGGTGGTCCACGTTTTAAGGCGCAAACTTCACTAGGCGATAGACAAAATTATTTAAAGCAAAAAGTTTCCTGCGAACTGATCGTAGTTCGCTTCGTTTTCGAGATACAAGGTGTGGAAATTAAAAAATTATACTACATTTTATGGAATATCTCTGAAGATGATTGACGTAAACTGATGAAACTTGGGCCACTGAGTTATCTAAATAGAAGTAAAAATTTGTTACGTTGGTTTACAATATGGCAACCAGTGGGGAATATACGAGGGGGTCAGTAGCACAGCACCAATGAGTATTCCGCAATTTTTTTTTATTACCAATGGAATTTATAAAAAAGGCAGTCGAATTTTATTCCAAGTAAAACGGGATTGTTATTGTAACGAGCCCTTTTAGAGTCATCATCATTTAGAGATATTTTACAAAATGTGATGTTTTTCTATAATTCCACACCCTGTATCTTCTATAACTAAGAGAACCACAATACGGCTCTTATTTTCTGGTGAAGCTTCCAATTTAAAACTATTCTGTACAGAAATGTTATACTTGTTCTCAATTCCATACATCTTTAAAACAATTGAACTAACGACACAATATCTTAATACTCTATTTTCATATGTTTAGATATTCACCGTATTAAGGCATTATTTTTAAGGTTGTTCTTTATTCACCTGTGAAATAAAAAAACATATTTTATCCTGTACTTATTGTTCAAGATTTACATACATTTATTTTTTTCGTTTTTTTATATAACTTGTTTTTGTTAACTGAAAATATATATAGACAGTGAGCCAAACATTATTTATTATAGTGCGTTTTGAACGAATTTAGTTTATCATGTTTTTTTGTTTCAAAATTACAATAAGAAGACATACTTCAAATTACATCTCATAAGACATCATTATTGTTCTTCCTGATTCTGAGAAACTGTTGACAAATGATAAATATTTAATGAAATCGCAAAAATTTATATTTACGAAAGGTTTTATATACAAAAAATATTTATTATATTGCTGTAATATTGTTCAATATTAGAAAAACAGTTAAGTTGTTATATGTTTGTACTTGTTTAGTGATTTATATCCATTAATATACATCTATGTGTATATACAGCAAACCAGTGAATACTTTTAAATGCTTTTATTATGTTTATTATTTTTATTGAATATTATAGTTATTTATTTATTTGTAAATACGCCTAGACATGTTTATGAATGCATTTTTTTTATTATCTACCGCAATATTGTATCTATTGTTGAAAATAAAGCTTGAGTTTTGTTGGGTTATTTATTCTAGCGTAATTTTCCAAACCTAATATCTGGTAACATTGGCAGACAATAGATAGCGTAGTGTATTACGTGTAGCAAAATATAGATGGCGTTTTACATTTCACTCACGTTAATTGAGAACAGTGGATACTAATACTAACGTATTCGTCACAATTTGTATTATTTTCCAGTGCGTTCTGTTGTATGCCACTTGAAGTATTATAATAATAAATAATAAAGATTATTTCATAAAATTGTGGAAAAGCAGCAAGGATCAAATATCAGAATTTCTATTCCATAACTATATTTGAGTTGTTTTCGTTTTCAGAATTTTTAGATCACAACAGGTAACATTTGGTCAATCAATTCTTTCTGCACATATTGTCATTGTCTACTGTTATAGTGTAATTTTAAAAAATGATTGGTGCTATATACTGAAGCAGCAGGTAGAAAACTACATTTTAAGTAAAGAGTTTCTTAAAAATATGGCTAAAAACGCTTGGTAAAAAAGTTTCAAGGTGATAAAGATTCATGCCAAAAACAAAACACTTATTAAAATAACTTACAGATCTTTTAAAGTAGCATTTTCTATCTCCTGTTTTGGCGTTGCCCCATGCCTTAAAAATACAGGGTGATTCACGGGAAGGTGCTCACCATGGAATCTCGGAAGTTTTAAGAGATACTTTCCGTCCTTCTAATTTTTCATATGCAACTAGAGAAATGGAATTTCGCCAAAATTCATTTTTTTTTTTCTTTCTTTTAATATATTTGTTAACTATAAATATTAGAAGCTTTAAATTTTTAGGTGTTACATAAATTAACATCTTACATCGACTAGTTTTATAATAATTTTGCTAAACCTTCTAGATTTTGGTTGATGGTGTTATATTCAATTTTTGTATTTTCTTTTCATTCTTTTTACATACATTTATATTTGGACAAAAACATATTTTTTATGTTATAACAACAATTCAAATAGGCACTGCATAGTATTAATTTATGTAATGTCCGAAAACTTGAAGTTTGTAACATTTATAGTTGTTTGAAAATAGTTGTCATAGGTGTTTAAAGCTTATGCAGTGTTTTTCCCATATTTTTTACCTGTTACAGAGACTTCCATGGTGAGCATCCTTTACTCAATGACTGTATATTATTAGTTCACCGAATAATGCTCATCTATTTCAGGATTTTGACTGCAAAGCAAGGGGCTAGCAGCGTATTTCTTCCCAACAGAAGTTTTAATCTTCAAGAAACTAAGTCGATGCCCTACATCCCAGATACTGGACTAGCAGACGAAATATTGAGACAACTGTGGACGCACACGCCAGAGAAGAACACGAACAAATCCCGTCGCAAGAGCTCGAACCCTAGGAAGATAGGAGCGGACCAACCCCCTCTGGTGCAACTGGAAGAACCAGTGCAATGCGACAAGTGCGAAGCCTCCTTCACTAACAACGTAGACTTCGCTCTACACTCCATAAACCACAACGAAGACGAAAGGTACACATGTCACCTGTGCAGCTACAAGATCCAATCGAAGTACGCCTTGGAAATGCACGTGAGGGCCCACGAAGGCACCACCAAGTACAAGTGCGAGATCTGCGACAAGGCCTTCGCCGTCAGCAACCTCGCGAAACAACACAAGTTCCTCCACACCGGAGAGAAACCATTCCAGTGCGAAATTTGTGGGAAGCACTACTTCTCCTCCAACAAGCTCAGTTCTCACCGTCACAACGCGCACTACGAAACCATAACCGGCTTTCCCCTGAGCTACGATTGTACGGAGTGCGGGAAACACTACACCACAGCGCTTGGTTTGAAGAAACACAAACTGACAAAGCACGATAACGCCGATCTCTCCGTCATCTGCGAGACTTGCGGGAAAAGGCTCTCTAGTAAAGAGAAATTGAAATACCACACTAGGATTCATACAGGGTTCAAGCCGCATGTCTGCCATATATGTCCCAAGGCTTTTTCTAAGAAGGAACATTTGGTGGAGCACATCCGCATCCATACCGGGGAAAAACCTTTCCTCTGTAAATGCTGTGGGAGAGGATTCGCTCAGAGGACTCCACTAAAGGTTCACGAGAAGATCCATTCGCGGGAAAATCCTCTTTTAACTGGCAGTTTTGTAAATGTGGGTGCTCCTAAGGAACAATGTAAGGATAATGAATAAACAAACAAGAGAAATATGTAATTAACAGTTACCCTGTTTCAAAGAACTGTTAGACTGAACCCCGGGTGCTCATTGTTATTAAAATGGATTTACAGAATGCCAAAACTTTGGTAACAACGCTTAAAACAGATGAATATTTGAAAGAGCGGCTCGTAACCCTTGAATTACATAGTTTTCTTTTTGTCTGTTTTTAATCATATTTCCTTGAGGTATAAGTAAATTCGTTTTTAATAAAGAAGAAACAGTATTAGCACAGACCTACACAAGTAAGTTCATGTTTCTAACCCGGGCATAGCTGCGCGAGAGTGAGATCACATTCGGATAGAAGGAATAAGACTTAGACGCGCTGCAATTTGGGATAGTAGTCACAACCGTGTTGTGATCGAAACTATCTCAGACGCAAACTTATTTGTGTGGGTCTATAAGTTATTTTATATTTTAGTTGTAAACTTATAATTCGAGCTGTTTTGTATTGAAAACTAAAAACTATATTTAAAGCCATTTGCTGACTTATAAGAGTAAAAACACATTTCCTATTATTTCTTAGCCAATTGTAAAATTTGACTTTATTAAAAATATTCGAATTATATGAAATTTAAGAAAACATACACCGAATATCAGTGACGTTGCAACAAACTTTCAGGGCTGATTCTTGTTAACAAAATAAATAAAAAGAGTAATTCTTAAGAAAAATGTTTACATTAAATAGTGCATCTCCTAAACGTACCAGACCATTGATATGGAAACACCGACTGGTGCTTAACAATCTCTAGTAAACAAAACCGTAATGTATAATCTAGAATTACTGTTTTATTTCATTTTAGGTTTGTAAAGTTAAAAGAAGAACGCCTTGTTAATGATTTGAAAGAAGACACAACTTTTAAAAACAGCAAAAGAGGTCGGAAGGGTACGAAAACAAAAATGCATCAAGGTGACCAAGAGACCAAACAAACACCGAAGAAAAAACCGAGGAAAACAAAAAGCGACAAGCCCAAAAGGGTCGTCGTCAGCAACCCCCCTCCCCTTCAGCTGGACGAACCCTTAAAGTGTGAACTGTGCCCCTCTTCCTACATGAACAACGTGGACTTTGCCCTTCACTCGCGGTGCCACAGCGACGACGGCAAGTTCAGCTGTCACCTGTGCAAATATCGCAACGCCTCGAAGTACCACTTCGAAATGCACGTCAGGGTCCACGAGGGCACCACCAAGTTCAAGTGTGAGATATGCGAGAAGGCCTTCGCCGTTCGCTCGCACGCCGTGGAGCATAAGAACTTCCACACCGGAGAGAAGCCTTTCCAGTGCGAGATATGCGGCAAACACTTCACCACTTCCAACCAGATGACGGCGCATCGCCACAACGTCCACTACGAGATCATAAACGGCGGTCCCATCGTTAAGTACGATTGCACCGTTTGCAACAAGCACTACCAGACTTCCCTCGGCTTGAAAAAGCACAACGACCGCAAGCACATCAAGGTGGACTTCTCGGTGATCTGCGAGACTTGCGGGAAGAGGCTCTCCAGCAAGGAAAAGTTGAAATTCCATCTCAGGACCCACACCGGTTACAGACCGCACGCTTGCCATCTGTGTCCGAAGAAGTTTCCCAAGAAGGAGCAGCTCATTGAACATGTACGGATCCACACGGGAGAGAAACCGTACATTTGTAAATTCTGTGGGAAGGGGTTCGCCCAGCGGACTCCACTGAAGGTACACGAAAGGACTCATACTGGAGAACGCCCCAACAAGTGTGAGTTTTGCGGGAGGAGCTTCGCTTCCAGAGTCATGCTGGATGCACATTCGGGCACTTGCTTTGCGGATAAGAAGGTCGAGTGAAAAAACAATTCGACTACATTTTGGATAATATTATATGTTATAGACACACTAAAATGTCGAAAATCAAAGTACTTATCGCATATACTCCTAATAATCGAATAAAAAACAGTTTTACAGTATTATTTTAGGTTAGAGTATACAATGGCTTTGTTCCTAGAGCAATGCAAAGCAATTTCCAACAGTCAGAAGCATGCGCAGGGTATCTCAGAAACTTGCAGGGATACAATTATGAAACAAACTTACATATCTTTTCGATCAAGCGTAGTTGGCTGTTCTAAAGAGATAGATATTTTTTGTGCTTTGCGATGATTACTTTAGAAAATATTCTCTACAGATTAAGTTCGAAATTGGTTTATGTTTGGTGATTCTGCTGACAAATCGTCTTAGCTATTTGCTGAGTGGTTTCCCACAATACTAGTTAAAAAAGTTCATTTTCCTCAGTTAATTAAGTAATTACAAAATGTCAACGTTACAGCCGCCTACTAGATAAATTGCAGTTCGATAAAATTTCTACCCTATGCCAATCAACCATGTAATTAATTTTAAATAAATTTTTTGCTCAGAAACCGTTACTTTTACAAAAAAAATACAAGAGACCTTGTTTATTTAGAGTGAATCAGGCTCTCTGAAATAAATTTTAAATGGTAAGGTAGCAATAAGAAAAAAGTTACGTATGAAACAAGCTGAGGGGTGGCTTTTTCTACCCCTTACAACCGTAGGAAAAAATCAACAAATTGTTTACTGAGTGCCTTCTCGATAGCAGAAAACGTTTACTTCATTTCATTTCTGTCACTTTTTTGGTAGGCATTTCAGAATTAAATTTCAATTAAAAATTACTTTTTTGGCACCCTCTTTAAGCAGTTGTATCTTCACAGAGGATATTCAAATGAGATTTTTTCATATGAAATATCCACCTTATTTTTCGACGAGGAATCACCGCCAGAATTTTTTCGCACTTATTTATTTACACCCTGTATATCATTAGTGAAAATTTGATTTAACATTTTGAAAATCGGATTCGAAAACGTATTATTAAATTTTTTATTTTTTGCAGTTTTTGAGATACCCTGCCATTCTATCGAATTTAACTAACCCGGTTGTTTATTCTTCATAAATAAGCTTGTGATGATAACGAGGATGATATTTCATATACCTACGTAATATAAACTTCTTTCCTACTCCTTTTTCTTGTCTATTTCTTCCGCATATCAATGATAACTGATAACATGTTACGACATGTTATGATATGTTGTTATGACGTATTATTGTTACTAGCTAAAAAAACCTGTACTTAAGACTTTGTTATCTTTGTTGATGGAAAGATACTTTTATTTATATATTAATTATTATTATTAATTTAAGACTACAATTAGAAGTAGATGCTTTGCTATACCTTACTCATATTAATAAAGAGATAAATTCCAAACAAAGTTATTTTGAAATACCCAATGCCAATAAAATTGATAATTTTGCTGCCTGCAGGTAAGCATAAACTTAAAATAGTATTCGTTGTGTCTAACCATGCGTTAAAGATAATAATTTTAGCTCGTTTTAGGTCCGAGTCGGTCACTGTGAAGGACGAACCGACCGACACGGTCGTTAAGAGAGGCAGATCGGGAAGGAAGAAGCCTGCAAAGACGAAAGCCCAACAAGGCGGCAAGGAATTCAAAACCCAAAAGAGGAAACGTTCCCGCAAAAGCGACAGCCCTAAGAAAATCGTCGTCAACCACCCTCCTCCCTTACAACTAGACGAGCCGATCCAATGTGACACGTGCAGCGCCTCGTACACGAACAACGTGGACTACGCCCTTCACTCCCTCAGCCACAGCGAAGACAACAAGTACACCTGCCATCTCTGCAACTACCGAAACGGGTCCAAGTACCACCTGGAGATGCACGTCAGGGCCCACGAGGGCACCACCAAGTTCAAATGCGAGATTTGCGCTAAGTCTTTCACCATAAGCACCCACGCCATCGAGCATAAGAATTTCCACACCGGAGAGAAACCTTTCCAATGCGAGATCTGCGGGAAACACTTCATGTTCTCCTGGCATTTAGCTTCCCACCGCAGAACCTCCCACTACGAGATACTAACGGGCAAGCCTCTGGTGAAGTTTGATTGCACCATCTGCAAGAAACACTACGAATCGGCTAGTGGCTTGAGGAGACACACGATAAAAAAGCACAAACACAACGAGATCGATCTGTCAGTACTCTGCGACATATGCGGGAAGAGACTGTCCAGCAGGGAAAAGCTCAAGTTCCATCTCAGGACCCACACAGGGTACAAACCGCACGCCTGCCACGTGTGCCCCAAGAGCTTCTCCAAGAAGGACCAGTTAATTGAACACATCCGCGTCCACACTGGGGAGAAGCCATACGTCTGTAAACTGTGTGGGAAGGGATTCGCGCAGAGAACTCCGCTGAAGACCCACGAGAAAACCCATTCGGGGGACAGGCCGAGGAGTAACAACATCTGCACCGTGTGTGGGCAAGGGTTCTTGACCAAGGCGGATCTGCAGTGCCACATGAGAAGTTGCGTGGTTGCCAAATTGTACCCGTATCCTAATTTCAAGGTCTAGAGGATAGCAAACAGAGATTAGTCGTTAATTTGATAAATAACAATTCATTAGTTAAAATGCAATGAATATACATCACCATACAATTAAATAAAAAGGGTTATCAAAGAGAAATATGAAAAAATACCGAAATATGAAACATAAATAAATAAATTTGAAATAAATACGCTACCGACGTGCGGCAAAATAAGGTTTGTAGTGGATGTGCGATGGTTAAGAGATATATGAAATATCTTGAAAATTAATTTTATATTTTAATATTTTTCTTACACAATCCAATATAATATAACAAGTTAAAAATTGGTGCCGCTTATTATAACGTATAGCAGAAATACAATGTCACACGTGAGCAAGTGTCGCATCGTGTGAATGGTGATTATCGATACATTCCTTTCTTAGTCGTTCTTTTGGGGAAAATACGCCGGTAAATAACGCAGGATGGACGTACGTATAAAAAGACCGCAATTGCCGGAAGTAGTTTATCAACAGCGAGCACACAGGATAAACAAACGATACAAGACGGTTGTACGTAGCATTCCATTGAAATTTATTTTAAAACTGAAGTCCGTCACCGCTGCGGCGCCGCACCTTATTCTGCCGCACGTCTGAGACGGGCCTCATCCTCAATAATATGTATTTTTTACTCGTTTTACGTGCTGTATTTTATACAGGGTGTGCCATTATTGTGGGAAAGTTAAATAACTCCCTTGTTACTCATAATACAGTAAAAAAGTCTATATAAAAGTTATACAGAATCAAAAAACCTAAGCTACAAAATTAATTTGATACATACAGGGTGATGAGTAAAAACGGGACACGCCAAATATTACATTTTTTTAATGCAACACCCTGTATATTTTTAAACATATGAATTTAGGAGAAAATGCTATATATGGCAATATAAACAGTTTTTCTTTTTAGCCTGGGGTTGCCAAGTTATGTAGAAAATTCTTTGAATTTTGGAAGAAAACGGCCTCGAAAAAGTTGTATTAACTTTCAGCTACTAACGCTTGGAACAAAATAATTAGACAGAGTTATAAGCAAATGTTAGACAAAGGCTCCTATTAACTAATATAGATATTTTTTACAGGGAATTTTTTATTATAAGATCATTTTTAGAAAGGTTAAACTTGATTTTCTAAAATTTTTCAAATAGAACACCCTGTATTTTATTTTTCTATTTTATTTACATATCGGTCCACTTTTACTTTTATTAAGCATTGTAAGATATAGCAACATTTCTGAAAAAAATTAATTTTTATTATGTTATAGACTACCACAAATAAATATTAACTAATAAAATTAACTCAAAATGGAATAATAAATTATAAACTGACAAGTTGACACAATGTGACAGTTTTTTCCAAAGCCATTTCGTGCGATCGAAAATAATAAAAATTAGGTTTTTCCAGAAATGTTGCCATATCTTAAAAACTAACAATTTTAGGAGTAGAACATACTTAATAAAAGTTGAAGTGGACTGATATGTGAATAAAATAGAACAATAAAAATCAAGTTTGAACTTTCTTAAAATAGAGAGTATTATAAAAAATGCCCTGTATAAAATATCGATATTTGCCTATAACTCTGACAAATATTTTTGCTCCAAGTGTTAGTAGTTGAAAGTTAATACAACTTCTTCGAGGTCATGTTTTTTCCAAAATTCGAAGAATTTTCTACATAACTTGGCAACCCCGGACTAAAATGTTAAACTGTTTGTATTGCCGTATATAGAATTTTCTCAGAAGTTCATATGTTTAAAAATATACAGGGTATTCCATTTAAAAATGTAATATTTGGCTTGTCCCGTCTTTACTCATCGCCCTGTGTGTTTCAAATTAATCTTGTCCTTTAGGTTTTTTGATTCAGTACAACTTTTATATAAACTTTTTTTCTGTATTGTGAATAACAGGGGAGTTATTTTACTTTCTCACACTAATGGCCCACCCTGTATATAAGTGTTTTACCAAAGTTCCCAAATTTTAAATTCAAATAAACCCATCACCATATCCTTAAGCCAATTAAACCAAATTTGTTATTTACTAGTTTATAGGATGGAATAAAACGTTTTTTTCCTTGTAAATACTCATAAATACTTATGTTAGATAGATTGGGGTCATTTTGAAATAAATCATTACAACAAATTTGTATGTTTTATTAATCGGGAGTTATGAATTTGTAGCCAGTTTAAACTAATGAACAAAAGGTTTACTATGTATGCATTTTTGACATCGAAATTCGTTATTTGATCCTCGTTAAAGATCCTAACATATCTTAATGTGTTTTTTGTGCCAAGTGTTTCCTTCTTTTAGTGCTATACAATAAAGGCAGAACATAATGATTATAAACCACATTATCCTTGACATTCTCTAATTTTTTACAATCTTGGACCCATAAAATCAAATTGAGTAAGATTTCCGATACCCCTTTTTTAATCGACACCTTATTAATAAAGTATCCTTTTCCAGGACACGCAAATTAAGAGGTAAAAAGAAGCGGGACCCCTACAAAAAAACCAAAACGTCCCGTCAACGAAAATCCCGCAGAAAAACGGAGAAACCCTTAAACGTGGAACCGATAAAATTGGAGGACCCCATCAAGTGCGACGCTTGCAACGAAGAATTCTACACCAACATCGACTACGCGACACATTCCTTCAATCACAGCAGGGAAGGGAAGTACTCGTGTCACTTATGCAACTACAAAAACACCTCCAAGTACCGCCTGGAGTCCCACGTGCGGATGCACGAGGGCTCCGCGAAGTACAAATGCGAAATCTGCGGGAAAGCTTTCAGGATAGGCACCCACGCCATCGAACACAAGTTCTTCCACACGGGCGAGAGGCCTTTCCAATGCGAGATATGCGGCAAGCACTTCATGTACTCCAGACGGCTCGCTTCCCACCGTCGCAACTCCCACTACCAACTCCTCACCGGCAAGCCAAAGACGAAGTACGATTGCGAGCTGTGCGAGAAAACATTCGAATCAATGCCGGGCCTGAACAATCACAAAAACAAGAAGCACCATAATATCCAAGTCGACATGTCCGTGATATGCGAGATATGCGGGAAGAAGATCTCTTGTAAAGGCAGGTTGAAGTATCACTTGAGGATCCACAGCGGCGACAAGCCTTTTTCTTGCATGGTGTGCGCGAAAAAGTTCGCGATGAAGGATTTGTTGATAGAGCACATGAGGGTTCACACGGGCGAGAAGCCGTATACTTGTACGTATTGCGGGAAGACGTTTGCGCACAGGTCTCCGTTTAGGTACCACATAAAGACCCACACGGGGGAAAAGCCAAACGTGTGTCCATTGTGTGGGAAGGGATTCATATCTAGGGCTGGCATGAACAGCCATATCAAAAGTTGCTACAAAACTTAAATATCAATTAAAAAGTTGGACGTGAACCAAATAGACCAAATGGATTTTGAAAAAATATAAAAACATTTTACTTATATGAGTTTCGGACAAATTATTAAAAATCTATTAGACAACTCAATAAAGAGAGTTAAAGAAAAAAACGAGTATACGATTCTTAAGTATTAAAACATTTTAATTTTCTTTAGTTTTTCCAATTTTATTCGATAAGTACTTACATCGTACTGTGTTGGCACAGTAATACTTGTTAAAAAAAAAAAAGTATTAAAACATGGTTAATTTTGAAGACTTATTTTCCAGTATTTTACTTAATATATAAATATTTATTGTGTAAATTTGTGATTAATAAAAATATTTTATTTTTTCTTTGTTTTTGTTGTACTGAATATTTTCATTGTTGTTAATACCAAAAATCAATTTATTTTGACAGGTTAGTATCCCATAAAAGTTACTGAAGTGGAACTTGAAAAATAATTGAAATGATAAATAATTATTCCCGATTTTTCAGTTAGTTCAGTATGTTTAAAGGTGGTAATTTTCCTTAAACCCCAATTTTTTTGTACAAATCGGCTACAAATATGTTATACAGGGCGTTCTACAAGCTTTATAGGAAACTTTGACAAATGGTAGCTGGGTTAATTTCAAAAATTTTTTCCTATATGTATTGCATATAGGTCCGATTCGATTTTGTTTAGAAGTTACAAGCATTTCATAAATATAATTTCATATTTCAATCAAAGTAGCGTGATAAATGTAAATGATGATGCGTGAGAAGGGGAGGCGGAGGGTTGATTTGGGGGGTTGAAAAGTTATGAAAAATTGTATTATTGGGATTTCTGTCGAAAGTTGACGTCAAAAGAATAAAGTATCCAATACAAAAGTTGTAGATCATGCAAAAATCTACAACTTTTGTAGAGGTCACATTTTAACATAAGCTCAAAATTTCCAAGAAATATGCGAAAACAGGTTTTTTCTGATTTTTCGTTTTTTTATTTCTCATTTTCGCAAAAATAATTTAATTCTGACGAAACTTGGTGAAAGTATACCTTTCTGTATATTAAATAACCGCAAATTTTTTTAGATACAAAAATTAAGAAATTTCCGAGATATTCATTTTTTTCCGGTCTGAAACAATTTTTCTTCAAAGAAAAATTCTACTTAGAAAAATCATCTTCTGCCGGTGATCATTTTTTTCGTTTTGACATATACTTTTTGGTGAAATAAAAAATCTGTACTCACAGTTCAAAAACATGCTCAAAAATGCAAAAAATTAAAAAATGACTTACAACAATGAATTTTTCAGTAATTGTTGATAATTTGTTTAAATTTACAAAAAAATCAAATACTGATTACACCATTCAATTGTACCGAAACAGTACAAAAAAACTGTCTCATTGTTTGACCCAAAACTTCATTTTTGTACAGTATTGCTATAAACATAAGTCGAATAGTGAATAAATAAAATAAATAATATTTTTTTTTCCGTAGGATCGATTAGTCTACTTATTTTTTTTTAATTTTGATGAATTCATAGATATACAGTGTATACGGGGTGGCTCAGATTAGAAAAAAGTTGTGTTTTTTATACCTAACAATATGCCGATTAGAAAGTTTTAAAATTCCGGGTATTTCCGGAGAAACCCGAAATTTTGCGAAATTGTTTAATTTTTTTGGCTTTATTTGAAAACGAATTTTAAAATAAATTACATATTTACAATGCCACTTTCTTCGCTCTACACAATGGCGTCAACATTTTTGCAATCCGACGTTTCGTCTTTTTTTTCCTTTACTACTATTAGCAATACTAATTAGATATAATAAAATATTTCATAAATTCGTATTATTTTTTTATTAGGTACAAATTTTTAAATTATTGATTAAAAAAGTTATTGGATATTTTGGCTGTATTGACTTTTATACTGTTATGACTTTCTCCAATAGATATTTTGAAAGCGTTCAAAGCCGTACTCAGGAAAAATTTTAAATGATAGCTAAAAACCTCTTTAAGTAATAGTACAATAGTAATATCATCTAATTCAGAATTAAAAATGACTAGATCTTGTCATAAAAATAGCAGCGATATATTTAATTATTTTAAAAAATTAATCTGACGATGGCCCCTCGAAGACGAAACGTCGGATTGCAAAAATGTTGGCGCCATTGGATAGAGCGAAAAAAGTGGCACTGTAAATATGCAATTTATTTTCAAATAAAGCCAGCAAAAAAATAAAACGATTTTGCAAAATTTCGGGTTTTCGGATTTAGCGTCAACAGTAGACTTTGCAGTTAATACTTTGTATTGCTGAAATCTCAAATCATCCAGAGAGAAATTTGACATAGACAGTTTTTTTTTTATTTTTTCCGTAGAATTGAATGGTGTAATCAGTTTTGAATGTTTTTTAATTTAAACAAATTATTAACTATTACTAAAAAATTCATTGTTGTGTCATTTTTTATTTTTTTGCATTTTTGAACATGTCCCACTAAACACGAAACGTAAATGAAACGTTGCAAATGAGATGTTTTACTAAACATTTGAAACATTAACTAGAAACGTTTCTGTTTCATTACAGAAATGTAGCACTTGTAAACTTATTTAGTGAAATATAGCCGAAACGTTACAATTGAAGAGAGTTTGAAACATTACTCGAAACATTACCTTTCGATCTCGGAAACATAACAGACGAACAACCCTTTGCTATTTTTGCTTATCTTATGGAACAATCGGCATTAGTTAAATTTTGCTCTCAATCCCCAATCCTTCTCAAGCGTTAGTTCATTTGCCTTTTTTTATAGAAAGACATAATTAGAAAAAAAAATGTGGTAGCATATTTATAACACAGGTCTAGAAAAAATGTATGTTCGTGACTTGCGTAGACTGGGCGTAACAGCCCGAGTTTATTTGTTTCCCGTGTGTCGTTTCAATTCGTATTATGTTAGGTTAGGTTTGCAGTTTGTCAGTTTGCTTGGTTTCGTTGTTATTCATCTTTACTTTGACGCTATTTTATGTGATAATTTGTAGTGTGTACAGTTGTGGTTACTGTAAGGTGCATATAAAATAATGAATATTGATGCAAAATGTTTAAAACGATGTGTGTAGATTTACAATTTTGCGTCACATCTACCTAAATATAGTTATACCCACTACCTATTACAGACAAGAGGACAAGGGACAAGAACTAAGAAAATGGAGCAACTATACGTTTCGATATAATTTGAAGAGCAACTACTTAGTCAGTGAGAACTATTTGAAATATGGATGAATCAAGTGAAATAGACGTCATTTATTTTATATTTTGTACAAATGTTTATATTTGTTTATGTGTATAGGCATGCTTAAATAAAAGAGTTTAGGTATACCTACAGATATTTACTTTGTCAAGATATCATTTTGTATCTTTATTTCTGCTGTATAATTTATCATTATTAAAAGGATATATGTAATATTGACCATGCGTAGAAGAAATTATAACTTTATATTATTTTTCAGTAATGTTATTTGTTTTTCATGTACCTACCATTTCAAGATTCATAATCATAACTAACTATTTCTAATTATCAGTTCGTCATTGTTACCATATTCATGATGGTCTCAACATTAGAAAATTTCCATTTCAGAAGCGTATTATTTGAACAATATAAAATGTGTAGCTTTTTTTAATGCTTCTGATATTGTTTTGTGATATTTTTATTTGTACGATGAATTGCAAAATTCGTAATCCATATTAGAAACTTTTTTCAGTGGCTTCTCAAAAAGAAAGAAATTCTTAGTAAAAGTTGCCGCATCCCCAAACTAGAAGAGCATATGTATTTTTTTTAATATACAATGTAACTTTTTTTAGTTCGAATTAAGTCATTCACAATACAAATAAAAATATTACAAAGGAGTATTCGAGATATTTAAAAAAATACACTATTTATACTATTTCAAAAACGCTTTTGAAATGAAAATGATCTAAAGTTGAGAGCATTATGAGAACAATATGGTAATAAAATTATGTTATTCAAACATTTCTGAAAATATACTTAAACGTAAAACAAAAATATCGAGGGCATAAATGGAACATAAAAAGAATGTTACTGAAACTAATTTTTTGAAACGTTTCATTGGAAACGTATTTTGGGGAGGACATCTTGGGCTTCTAGAACGTTACCAGAAGGTTGCATGGATTTTTTATGAAACGTTTCAAGAAAAATGGAAACGTTTCTGAAACATGTCAGAAACTGAAAAATGTTTAGTGGGGTTTTTGAACTGTGATTACAGATTTTTTTATTTCACCAAAAAGTATGTCAAAACGAAAAAAATTATTACCGGCAGAACTCTGTTCGATGATTTTTCTAAGTAGAATTTTTCTTTGAAAAAAAAGTATTTCAGGCCGAAAAAGGTGAATATCTCAGGAACTTCTTGATTTTTTTTTCTAAAAAAATGTGTGGTTATTTAATACACAGAAAGGTATACTTTCACTAAATTTCGTTAAAATTAAATTATTTTTGGGGAAATGAGAAATAAAAAACGAAAAATCAGAATAAAAACTTTTTCGCATTTTTCTCGGAAATTTTGAGGTTATGTTAAAAAGTGACCTCTACAAAAGTTGTAGATTTTTGCATGATCTACAACTTTTGCATTGGATACTTTTTTGTTTGACGTCAACTTTCGCGAGAAATCCCAATGATACAATTTTTTAACCCCCCAAATCAATTCTCCGCCGCCCCTGCTCACGCATTTATTTTTTTTTAGGTTTATTATAAGCCCTTTTCCCATGTCCACTTATGAAAGTCCAGGTAACAATTTTTTTTTCTTCAAATGTAATTTGGTTGGCCTATAAGTGTCAAATAGCATCATCATTTATATTTCTCAGGCCACTTTGATTAAAATATAAAATTATACTTTTTAAAACGTTTGTAACTTCTAAACAAAAACGAAAAGAAAAAATTTTAACCAAGCTACCATCTGTTAAAGTTTGTCATATAGCTTGTAGAACACCTTGTAAAACGACAGACTAAAATGCACACATAGTGAGGAAAAAATATTAACAATTTAAAACAGTCGCACAATTTATACTAAAAATATTTTTCAAGTTCCACATCGACCGTTTACACCATCGACGCTAACACGAATTTTTCTTTCAGACGGTCAAAAAACATCTCGAAAAGGAACTCGACACCGAAGGCAGCCAAAAAAACGAAAGATTCTCGCGGTGCTTACAAAAAGACGACGAAAACGGAACCTACTCGCCGAAAAGACAAGCCTCGAAAGGTGGTCGTCCAACCCATAGAACTAGAAGAACCCATCCGTTGTAAGGCTTGCAACGAACACTTTAAGACCAACGTAGCTTTCGCCTTACATTCTATAACTCACCGTGAGGACGGTCAGTACTCGTGCCATCTATGCAGCTATGCCCACAAATCGAAATATAGCCTAGAAAGCCACGTCAGAGCACACGAGGGCTCCACTAAGTACCAATGCGAGATCTGCGGGAAAGCTTTCAAGATAGGCACCCACGCCATAGAACACAAGTACTTCCACAACGGCGAAACTCCCTTCCAGTGCGAAGTATGCGGAAAACACTTCACGTTTTCCAGGCATTTAACCTCGCATAGGCGCGCGTCACATTACCCCAGCGTCACCGGCAAACCCCCCATTCGATACGAATGTACCATCTGCAACGTCAGCTACAAGTTCTCCTCAAGCTTGAGCAGGCACAATCAGAATAAACATAAGAAGGTCGACGTTTCCGCACTGTGTGACATTTGCGGGAAGAGACTATCCTGCAAAGACAAGCTGATGTACCACCGCAAGATCCACACGGGTTTGGACACACATCCGTGCGTCATCTGTAAGAAGAGGTTCTCCAAGAAGGACAAACTGGTGTGTCACATGCGGGTGCACACGGGAGAGAAGCCCTACGTGTGTAAGTACTGCGGGAAGGGATTCGCGCAAAGCGCGCCGTACTGGTACCATATAAAAGTGCATACCGGGGTCAGACCGCACACTTGTCCACACTGTGGGAAGGGTTTTATAGCTAAGAGCGCTTGGAAAAATCACCTGAACTGTTGCAAGAAAGTGGATGCGCTTGTGATAAAGGAGGAGAAAGATTTGAGTTAGTCGACAGTGGCACAAGTTTCTAATATAGAGTATATAATGTTTTGAGTAAGGAAAAATTAAGTTCGATTCATAAGTCTGATTAAATAACTGTTCTTCCCACCCTTGTTTTACGTTTCCTGTTAAATAAATACGTTTACCAAAAACAAATTGTCTTTATACTTGCTTTACATTTTGTTTCGTTCTGATGCTATTTTCAGGCCAACCTGAGTTGATTTTTCTGTTATATCTGTAGAATTCATATAAAAAAACGTAAAGTAATAAAGTGAATATTTTTCTTAAAAATATCGTAAGTATTTTTTAACTGTCATACTGACTCCCTTCTTTTGAATAGGAATAAAAGTTTAACACTGACTGAGGAATTTTTTCCAGGTTGGAAACAGCTGTAGCAGCAAAAAAAATAGAAATAAAGTCCGAAGCATACTATGACGTCACGGAAGATAACAAGAGAATTCGGGGAAGAAGGAAAACTAACAAAAGCCAAAATAAGAAAAACGACTCAGACTACGAACCACCGCTTAAAACTCATCGCAAGGATCCTGGCGCCAAGCCAACGGGCAAAAACTCGAGGAAGTCGAGGAGAAAATCCGAGAAGCCCCAGAAGATAATCTTCGATCCAGCAGAACTAGAAGAAGCCTTGATCTGTACTATATGCAAGGAGTCTTTCCACAACAACATAGACTTTGCTATACACTCCAAAACGCACAGCGAAGACGGTAAATACTCCTGTCACTTCTGTGATTATAAAACTACCTGCAAGTACCGTACGGAAGCTCACGTCAGAGGCCATGAGGGAACCTCCAGGAAATATAAATGCGCCATCTGCAGCAAAACCTTCCGGAAGAGCACTTACGCCGTGGAGCACAAGTACTTTCACACGGGCGAAAGGCCCTTCCAGTGCGAAATTTGCGGGAAACACTTCATGTACTCCAAGAGCTTGGCTCACCATCGTCGCACCACCCACTACGAGGTAGTTACAGGTCAGCCTTTGCGGAAGTTCGACTGCGTTCCTTGCAACAAACACTACGAGTCTCAGTCGGGCTTGCTGAGACATAATTCCATGCACCACAGGGATCCCAACTCAGGCGGTGGGTTGTCCGTGCTGTGCGACATCTGCGGCAAGAGACTGTCTTGTAAGTACAAGCTGAAATTCCACATGAGGACCCACACTGGGTACAAACCGTTCTGCTGTCGTTTTTGTTCCAAAGGTTTTACGAACAAGGACCAAGTTGTATCCCATGAACGAGTACATACCGGTGAGAAACCGTTTTCTTGTGAATTCTGCGGGAAAGCTTTCGCTCAGAGCGCCCCCTATCGGTACCACGTCAAGACACACACCGGGGATCGAAAATATACGTGCCCATTGTGTAACAAGACGTTTATTTCTAAGAGTAACATGAGGATACATATAAAAACGTGTAATATAATTGTTAAGAGAGAGTAGGCTAATGATTTTGCAATAAAAGACTTATATTATGCCTTCCATTTTCTATTTTTAGTTTTAAGTATTTGAATAAATGTTATTTTTTACTTCAAAAGATGCAATTCTGTTTTCAGATCATCGCAATGCGTTGAACAAAGGTACGTCAAAAATATTTTTGTTCCCTCTAAAAGCTGAATACTGATAATGATACACGTTTTTAAAATTAATTTTTCAAAATTATAATTATGAGAACCTCAGAAATTTTCAAGTATACTTAATATTTGTTTATACAGAGTGTGACTTTGAATGGAGTCATATTTACACGGAGGCTACGCTTGACCTTTAAAACATACGTAACATACATTTGTTTTCCCAGATTCCGTCTAGAAAATTAATTATTTTAAGACAGTAATTTTGTTTTTTGTTTTTAATTTTTAGTAAAATTTAAATGAAATATTCAAAAATAAGTAAATAATCAGTGTAAAAAACTAATTCGACTCGAATATTTAACATATTTGATTAAAAATAAAATTCACCCCTAAAAAAACTGACCTCCACTTAAAGTTACACCTAGTAGCTAATAATTTGGTTTTGTACTCGTTGTGTCTCACAAATATTAATTAACTTCTTTTTAGGGTAAATTCGAGAAAAAGGAAGCGCGCCCCATCCAAGGAAGACTTAGAACCCGAGATAGACGAAAAATCTCGCCACCTCATTAACCTCATGAAAATCGAAAAAGTGCTTAAGTGCAAGTCTTGTCTCAACGTGTACAGCAACCACGAGGCCCTTGCTTTGCACTCAAAGACCCACAGCAGGACCCGTCACTACACTTGCCACCTCTGCAACTTCGAAGTCAGTTCAAAATTCCGCATAGAGCGGCATATGCGGGGTCACCGGGGTTACAAATGCGAAATATGCAGCAAGGTCTTCAGGAAAGTCACCAGCGCCTTGAAACACTCGTATATACACAGCGGGGAAAAGCCGTATCAGTGTGAGATATGTGGGAAGCACCTGGCCAATTCCAAAAGCCTATATATGCATCTCAACACCATACACCACGAAGTCCTCACGGGGCTACCCCTAGTCAAATACGACTGTGTGGTGTGCAAGAAACACTACGAGTCGGAGACAGGTCTGAGGAGGCACTACTCTAGTACGCACAAAGAATTAGGCATCGATCTGTCCGTGATATGCGAGATTTGTGGGAAGAGGATATCCAACACGACTAGACTGAAGAGACACATAAGAACACACACAGGCTACAAACCCTACGCCTGCTTAGTGTGCTCTAGGAGTTTCGCCACCAAGTGCTTGCTGACTTCCCACACGAGAGTACACACGGGGGAGAAACCTTTCATATGTACATACTGTGGGAAAAGGTTCGGACAATCGGCCCCTTATCGGTACCACATAAAAATCCACACCGGGGAGCGGAAGTATACCTGTAAGTTATGTGGGAAGGGGTTCATCTCGAACAGTAACCTCAAGATACACATGAAAAGTTGTAATGTGATAATAAAGGCTTAGATTCAACTGTATATTTCATATATATTTTTCCCTCTGTCATTTCGTTTGGAGATTTGAACAAACCAAACCGCATCCTTCTAGATCAATAAAAATATTATGGACTGTTCATCAGTTTAAAAAATTTTGATAATTAAGTTTTTCCAAAACGTATCAATCTATATTGCATTTCCTTAAAGATATCTTCGTTTCCAATGAAGATGTAACCAAACTGATTTAAATGTAAGTGCATTTAACAGGGTTTGCCTGGATATAACGGCAGATCCACGACTTTTTTTTAATTTAAGCATATGGAGAAATGAACCAGGTATGGTATTCGTAGTTTCACCTCAGTCACGTATAATTATCTTCAATAACACCGGTTTCTCTTTCAGATGTACACGTTCAAGGGCAAAACAGCTGACAAAAGAGAAAAAATCAAACAGGAAAACTCACGTAGTTGACAAACAAAGACCGCCTCGAAGAACCAGCACCGAAATTGACCCCGACTTCATCATAAAAGAAAAAATTCATCCAAAAGAAACACGCCCTCCCAAACAAAAACTCGACTTCGACTATCTCGACAAGTTCATAAACCTGAATGAACTGACGGAACCCCTGGAGTGCAAGGACTGCAAACTCACCTTCCACAACAACCTAGACTTCGGCTTACATTCCAAGTATCACACCGAGGATGGTTTCTACTGTTGCCACATGTGCGAATACAGGAAAGACTCGAAGAAGCTGATCAGGAACCACATCAGGCGCCACGACACCTTCAAATGTAAGAAGTGCAAGAAAATCTTCAAGAGTCGCCAGTGCGCTTACAAACATTCAAAGACCCACGTCCCCCAAGACCCTGTCAAGTGTGAGGTGTGCGGTAAAACCTTCAACAACCCCAAGTACTTAAAGAGGCACCACCAAGTCGTACATGTCGAAGATACCATAGACACGGTACCCATCTTCTTCAAATGCACTAAGTGCGACAAGCAATACAAACACGCTGCTGGTTTGAAAGGTCATTGTTCCTCCAACCACAGAGAACTGGGCATAGACACATCGGTTATCTGTGATATTTGTGGGAAGAGGCTCTCTTGTAATGCCAAGCTGAAGCAGCACCTGAGGATCCACACCGGAGACAAGCCTTTCCCTTGTACGGTATGTCCGAGGAAGTTCATCTCGAAGGATATACTGAGGGCCCATATGAGGGTGCACACTGGGGAGAAACCGTATGTATGCATGTACTGTGGGAAGAAATTTTCCCACGGGGCGCCTTATAGGTACCACATCAAGACCCACACGGGGGAGAAGTCCTGGAGTTGCCCCATATGCTCCAAGGGGTTTATATCGAAAGCAAATATGAAGATCCATGTAAAAACATGCACGGTACCAACTAAATGAGATATATCAAGGTTTTTAGCTCTTCTAAACGTATTGCGTTTGGTAAACAGCAAGAATTGTCAGATTTTTTTTAATTGGACTACAACTTATTGATAGCTACTCCTTTCAATTCATTTATATTAGTAAGATATTTGAAGCTAATATTTATATTTCTAAGTGTTACATGTGCTAAAGATTTGTTATTATTTTATAATAAAATATAACAACACATTTTTTTTTGTATTTATTGATCTACAAAGTAAGAAATGAAAAAATGATTTGTCTGACTTCTGTAGGTATATTTTGTGCAGTAGATAGTAGTTTCCTTATCTTAAAAATAATATTTTTTAAGCAGAATCTTGAGCAATACTGGGTTTAAGGAATAATTAGCAAGTAGAATTTACCGAGTAGTTATATTGTATGTATTGTTTCACACAGCTTGATAATAATTGCGATTTTTTACAATATATGTTTAACTAATATTTTTTTTAGAGGAAGTTCTAAAATAGTTAACGGAAAAACTAGAAAAATGACAAAGAAAAATACGAACTTGGAAACAAAGATGGCCAAGAAAACAGGGAAAATTAGAAATAAAGCATCTGAGTATGGAAACTCAAATAAAAAGAATAGGATAATAAAAACCAGAAATAAAAATAAAAAACAAAATACCTCCGACGTAGTTATCGAAGATACCTCATCAAAAAACGATTATGAAAAGACTGACCGTGAACCTTCCGAGAATAAAGTAAACGTCGCCGAGAAAGTGAAGACGGTGAAGAAAAAAAAGCGAAAATTAGACCTCGAAGACGACGTCATAGATAAATACCCACTAGACAAGTTCATAAACCTCAACGAGGTCAAATTGCCTTTAAAGTGCAACTCTTGCGATTCCACCTTCAACACCAGCGAAGACTTCGTGTTGCACTCCAAAGAACACAACGAAGACGGCAGGTATTCCTGCCACCTCTGTGACTACAAGAAGAAGAAGAAGCTCTCTATCCTTCAGCACATAAAAGGACACGACTTGTTCAAGTGCGAACTCTGCCGAAAAGTATTCAAGAGGAAACGGTGCGCGATCAAACACTCCCTGATGCACGCCACAAAGAAACCCTTCCAATGTGAAATTTGCGGGAAAGAACTAAGCAACAACAAAAATCTACGACACCACCGCCAAATGGTACACCTGACCGGGAAACCAGTGATATACCAAGAATGCACGATTTGCCACAAGAAATACAAATCGGTCAGCAGCCTGAGGAGACACTGTTCCTTCAATCACAAGGAACTAGGCATAGACATGTCGGTGATCTGTGAAATTTGCGGGAAGAGTATTTCCACGAAAGGAGGCCTTTTGATTCACCTCAGGACCCACAGAGAAAAAAGACCGCATGCTTGCCACCTATGCTCTAAGACGTTTGTCACTAGGACCTTCCTGAACGCCCACATGGTGACGCATACGGGAGAGAAGCCATACGTTTGTAAATTCTGTGGGAAAAGGTATGGGCATGGGTCTGCTTACCGGTACCACATTAGGACACACACAGGAGACAGACCTTATAGCTGTCAATTCTGTGGGAAAGGGTTCATCACCAATGCCAATAAGAAGATACATATGAAGAGCTGTTTTAAAGGCTGAGTGAGTAGCTGAGAGTACACAGGGTGGTCGTTAATTCGACTGCCGAACTAAAATAAACTGAATTAACTACTAAGGATCTCGCGTAAGTCTTCTAATTTGTAAAAAAGAATAGTGTACGTGGTATTTATTAAATTATACTGTCTTTAAAAGTGTTTTGAATGAGTACAATAGGAATATCTTACATATTTTTAATAAAAAATTACTGGATAAAGTTCAAACAGTTTTTTCAATTCCCATGTTACTTTACTTAATATTAATCTAAATCTTTCCCATTAATGGTGTGAAAAAATATTATACGAATATTATTCATAGTTGTACTATTGGCTGTACTTTTTTGCAACCGTTTTGTTTGTGACATTCCAAAGATCTTTGACAATTACAGTGATAAGTACTGATATATTTCCAAAACAATGTATTAACTGCCTTGTGTCCTACAAGCATTCCCTACAAATAAACGTTTATTTTTAGGTCAACAAGAAGGCTATCAAGGATAGAAGAAAGAAAAATAAAAAACTCGCCCAATCTGCAACGGCTAAAACCGAACAAAATCGAACCCACCGAACTGGATACACCCCTTCAGTGCAACCAATGCCCCGAATCATACAAAAACAACGTAGACTTCGCCCTACATTCGAAAACCCATTCCCAGGACGGAAAATACTGTTGCCACTTGTGCGATCACAAGGTAAAATCCAGACTCAACTTCGAGAACCACGTCAGAGCTCATGAGAACTCCAATATGTACAAGTGTGAGGTCTGCGACAAGGTATTCAAGGTCAGCACCCAAGCCATGGAACACAAGAACGTCCACACTGGCGAGAAACCGTTCCCCTGTGAAATCTGTGGGAAGCGGTTCACGTATTCTAGGGTGTTGAGCGCTCATAGACGCACTTCCCACCACCAGATCATCACAGGTAAACCTCTGGTGAAGTACGATTGCAAGGTGTGCAAGAAACACTACGAGTCTTACCCGGGCTTACAGAGCCACATGTACAACAAACACAACGACACCGGCGAGGATAAGTCCGTGATATGTCACGTGTGTGGGAAAAAGATAAAAAATAGGAACAAGTTCAGGTTCCACAGCAGAATACACACCGGCGACAAGCCCTTTGCCTGTATCGTCTGTTCTAAGAGCTTCAATAAGAGAGATATTCTGGTAGAGCACATGCGTGTCCATACGGGAGAAAAACCGTTCTCGTGTAAAGTTTGTGGAAAAACGTTCGCGCAACGCGCGCCTCTGTGGTATCATAGAAAAACGCACACGGGGGAGAGGCCCAACGTTTGTCCCTTATGCGGGAAGGGATTTATTTCGAAACCAGCCATGGAAAACCACGTGAAGAGTTGTTACAGGACATAGAATATCGTGATTACGCTGTATGGATATTTTACATGTAGGAATAATTCTGTATATTTGTACATATATTGCGATAATATACAAAAATGCATTGGAAATGTGGTTCACGGTTTATCGTTAAAATAACCTATCGGTAATCAAATAAAGTCTCCAGTTAACAAAAAAAGCAACTATTCAGCTCTGGCAATAATTTTTTGTCTTTATGTGGTATGTTTACTTGGGTGAATTTTTTAATGGCACACCCCGTGCAATTTTTTTATCATGTGTGCCGCTTGGCGAGTGAAAACATGCTTTCGAATGTGTCGACATGCATCATCCACACGATACGGCATTTGTTTATATTTTACAAGTGACCGCATCGTCTGGAACTGGCATTAGACAAAAACTTGATTGCGAGCGATTACTAATAACTTCTTTGAAGCAGGCTTTAACACACCTTTTTGGATATATCTCCCTTAATATTACAGATAGGCTAGTCAAAGCTCATATAACAATAATTATAAGAAAAGGATATTGGAGTGAATAAAGATAGTGTGTCATGGGGTACCACACTCTTGTAAACTTTTTTATTGTTGATTTTTCGAGAAAAAGTTATTCTTGATAAAATGTTTTGCATATCTTTGGAAGAAATCAAATACGTAATAAAACATACAGGGCGTTCAAAAAATTTCAAAATGTAATATTTTTCCTAAGCAAAATGCCTTTAATTTTTATTTTCGTTAAAAACTGTATTTAACACAGTTGTTCGAGAATTCAAGAAATGCTTAAATACGGGGTTTAGTCAAAAAAGAATAATCCCATTCTGCAAATAAGAAGAAGCGATTTTTAACTATCTTACATAAAACAGAAGAAATTATAAAAAAATAAGTAAACTTTTATTTTAAATTTAATATAATATAAAAATACTTTGGTAGAAAAACCTATCAATTTTTTGAGTATGGCTTTGAACGCTTTCAAAATATCTTTTGGATGAAGTCACAAAATATACAACCATTTTTTTTACTACTATGTATTAGCAATACTAATTAGGAATAATAAAATATTTCATAAGTTCGTATTATTTTTTTATTAGGTACAATTTTTTAAATTATTGTTTAAAAAAAATTATTGAATATTTTGTGCTGTATTGACTTTTATACTGTTATGACTTCCTCCAATAAATATTTTGAAGGCGTTCAGATCCGTACTCAAGAAAAATTTTAAATAATAGCTAAAAACCTTTTTACCTATTACAATAGTAATATCATCTAATTCAGAATTAAAAATGTCTAGATTTTGTCAAAAAAATAGCGATATATTTAAAAACATTAATCTGATGATGGCACCTCGAAGACGAAACGTCGGATTGCAAAAATGTTGACGCCATTGGATAGAGCGAAAAAAGTGGCAATGTAAATATGCAATTTATTTTAAAATTCGTTTTGAAATAAAGCCAGAAAAAAATAAAACAATGTTGCAAAATTTCGGGTTTTCGGATTTCGCGTCAACAATAGACTATGCAGTTAATACTTTGTATTGCTGAAATCTCAAATCATCCAGAGATAATTTATCATTTGTGCATTTGTAATTCGACTTAGATGTTTATAGCAATACTGTACAAAAATAAAGTTTTGGGTCAAACAATGACACACAGTATTTTTCATTTTTTTTCCGTAGAATTGAATGATGTAATCAGTTTTTGAATTGATAAAACAAATTATCAACAATAACTGAAAAATTCCTTGTTGCAAGTAATTTTTTATTTTTTTGCATTTTTGAGCATGTTTTTGAACTGTATTACAGTTATTTTCTATTTCACCAAAAAGCATATGTCAAAACGAAAAAAATTATTACCGGCAGAACTCTGTACGACGATTTTTCTAAGTAGAATTTTTCTTTGAAAAAAAAGTGTTTCAGACTGGAAAAAATGACTATCTCAGAAACTTCTTGATTTTTTAATCTAAAAAAATTGTAGTTATTTAAGACACAGAAAGGTATACTTTCACCAAGTTTCGTTAAAATTAAATTATTTTTGCGGAAATGAGAAATAAAAAACGAAAAATCAAAAAAAAAGTTTTTCACAACTTTTCAACCCCCCAAATCAACCCTCCACCACCCCTGCTCACGCATTTATTTTTTTTAGATTTATTATAAGCCCTTTTACCATTTCCACTTATAAAAGTCCAGGTAACAATTTTTTTTTCTCCAAGTGTAGTTTGGTTGGACTAAAATAACAAATTAGAACTAGAATTAACAACAACAACGAAGCAAGTTCTATTCAACTTCCAGGTAAAACATATTTTTCTAATCTTTTTCTAAGTTCCTTGTACAGAGGCGAGATAATTTCGTCGTTTATGGTGACAGCAGCTTCCTGAATTATTTGCTGCTTTAGTAAATCAATGTTATCGTCAAAATCGTTCGAGTACACTTTTTGCTTTAGATATCCTCATAAGAAATAATCTAATGGGGACAAGTCGGGTGCCCGTGCAGGTCAAAGTATTTGGTCCATAGCATCCGTTCCACTTGTTCGGGAAGTAAACATCAAGCCAGACATTTACTCTTTTAAATGTTTGACTATTAGTTATTCTAAAATTTGAATTATCTTTATCCCAACATCTACAATTTTGATAGTTAGTTGTGAATTCATTAGTAAATAAAATATTGTGATGAAAGAAACTGTTTTCAATCAGTTTCTCGCCCATTGTTAAACGAAAGTACAAACGATACCATCATCTCCACCAAGCAATTTATGATAACCATAAACACTTGTTTGAATGGATAGATTTTGTTGTATATTAAAATTCTTTGGATATGAGATCTGCTAATAATATATTTTCTGACCTTTTCGTGAGTGACATCTGTCTTGTATAGAGTCCATAGCTACAACAGTAGCGGCATCGTTATCATTGTAGGTATTCTTTTTTTTATTACATGCGAACTGCTCTACGAGTTACAGCTACATTTAGATACTTTTCATTAAAAATTTATATTGCATATCCATATGAAACATTACCGATTCCATAACATTTCACAAGTTAAATTCATTGTTCCAGGGTTAGCATTTTTAATGAAAATTATTCGGTGGACAGTTAATAAAGATAAATATGTTGACTTTGACATTGATAAGGTAATATCCATGGTAGTTATATGGTATATAAGATAATTGTTAAAAATTGCGGCGTCTTTTTATTTGTAAAATGTGATTATTGTTTTTTTCTAACTAAACCCCGTATTAAAGCAATTCTTGATTTCTCGAGCAATGTTAAATACAGATTTTAACGACAACAAAAATTAAAGCACTTTGCTTAGGGAAAATGTCACATTTTCAAATTTTTTGGACGTTTTGTTTTACTACATATTTGATTACTGCCCATGGCTTGCCAAGATAAGCAAAACTTTTTATCAAGAATAACTTCTTGAACAATTAACAATGAAAAAGTTTACAAGAGTGCGGTACCCCATCCGAAAACATACTGTATATACAGAGTGTCTTTAAAATTTGGGTTTTCTGTTATCTGAAAAAAAGCCATCTGGCAACAATGCACGTAGTCTCGTCAGATATTAAAGTTGCAGTGGGTATGCGATTAAAAAAACTCATGTATATTTCTAAAAAGCCACGTCCGCTAACTAAATTAAGCAACACAATGCCTCCTAAAACCAAATGTATAGCTTGTAAATGTCGATAAACAAAATAAAGATTAAGCAAGTGCCTACTAGTTTCCGTACAACCTTGGGAGTACCAGAACCATGTACGTACCGCATTCTGACTGTTGTAATGTAAAAGCCCTTAATAAAAGCTTCCCCACATTAACTTGTCTCAATTTTTTTAGGAACAGAGTGAAACGGTCAAGGGCGAAGGGCCTGAAGAGGGGACCCTATAACGTGGAGAAAAAACCTCGAAAATCCAGGCGGAAGACTCCCTTGAAAACGGCCGTGGAACCGATGCTCCTCGAAGAAGCCCTCCAGTGTAAATATTGCCCTGAAACCTACAATAACAACGTGGATTTCGCGCTGCATTCGATACTCCACAACGAGGACGAGCAATACTCTTGCCACCTGTGCAACTTCACGCTGAAGTCAAAGTACAGGTTCGAAAAACACGTGCGGGCTCACGAAGGCACCAATTTGTACAAGTGCGAGATCTGCGACAAACCTTTTAAAATAGGCACGCACGCCTTGGAGCACGTATACTTCCACAACGGAGAGAAACCCTTCCAGTGCGAGATCTGCGGAAAACACTTCATGTACTCCAGACTGCTGAGCGCTCATAGGAGGCTATCCCACTACGAAATACTCACGGGTAAACCCCTGGTGAAGTACGACTGCAAGATCTGCAAGAAACACTACGAGTCTTACCCGGGTCTGCAGAGGCACATGTACAGCAAACACAACGAAGCTGGGGTGGACAAGTCCGTGATGTGCGACGTATGTGGGAAGAAGATCAAGAACAAGGACAAGCTCAAGTTCCACCTGAGGATACACACGGGCGATAAGCCGTTTTCGTGCGTGGTGTGCGGCAGGAGGTTCGCGAAAAAGGACCTCTTGCAGGCCCACATGCCCGTGCACACCGGGGAAAAACCGTTCTCGTGTAAAGTCTGTGGGAAGACGTTCGCGCATCGAGCGCCGCTGTGGTACCACAGGAAGACGCATACGGGGGAGAGGCCCAACGTTTGCCCCATCTGCGGTAAGGGTTTCATCTCCAAGCCCGCCATGTATAACCACGTGAAGACTTGCTACAAGGTGTAGGACATCGATATAATTGTACATGAAGTGCCAATAAAACTTGTTTATATTCTACTACTCCAAGAAGTAAAAGAGTAGGTACCTACTGCTAAGGCTCTCCCTAGTGGTAAAGACGGAAACTTCTATGTTTTATAAAAGTTATGTTACACAAAATTAAAAAGTAACCATCACTATACAGGATGTTTTTAAGCGTACGTCATAATTTCAGCAGAATGTTGCTCGAGTCATTTTAGATCAAAATAGACCAAAGATCTTAAACAACTGGTTTTCAACATATTTTCCTTAAATCTATGAAAAATTAAATTATGTGAGCCAAATTACGTTAAGGGATGGAATTTGAGTTCATATACAATAATGCAAAGAATAAAGAGTCAATAGAATTTTCGTAATTTTTCCGCAGTTTTTGACAGACTGTATTTAGGTGAAAAATGGTCGTATCGGGAATTAAAAAAAAAAGCATTTTGGAGCTCTAAGATTGTAATTTTCAGATCTTCGGTTGAATTTTTTTAGGAGCTACGGTTATCATGAAATAGCACGACAAGAAAATTTTGCAATTTTTAAAATTTTGAAGTTTTCTTTTGGGAAACTTTCCGGACTTTGAGGAAAATAAAATCCAATTGTTTCTAGCACGAAGTTGATAACCCAATCAGATTTCGACCCCGAATCATGCCGTTTTTTGAGACAAATGTCTAATTAATTATTGTGTAGTCTGTATTCACTTTAAAAAAACAGTTTTTTTTTCAAAACTACCCTTTTTCTTCTCTAGAAAAAAATTTCAAAATGTTGCGGTAAAAATGTGAGAAAACCTCAACAAAATTTTTTCTCCATTTTAATCATGAAACTGAAGTTTAAGCTCAAAAAACGTAACCCTTTAATTTTTTTCAAAAGTTTGACTGTTTGAAACAAAGAAACGGTTCTTTAGATCGAGATGAAACTTCACAGGGTTCTTCTACAGGGCGAGTCAGTTTTTTGTAGACAAACTTTAAGAGGAGATAGAACACATGTTTTTAAAAAGAAGAGTTCCTATAAACATATATCTTAAAAAGCTTCGTTTCCGAGATACAGGGTGTTGAATATATTTTTTTTTTCTCAAATTTTCATTATAACTTATAAACGAATGCTTAGATATTTTCATGTTTGGGAGATAACGCCCATTAATTAACGGGCATAAAACAAGCGATAAAAATGTTCAAAAACTTGCACAGTGGCGGAGTGGAGAGGGTGCTCAACCCCTTTCATAAATAGAACTACACCAATGACTATTAAAAAAAAAAACTGTAATAACATATAGTTTAACAAAAATAATGTCCATTCTTCTGTCTCGAAATTCCTGTGCGTTTCCGAGTTATTTTGATTCTTAGTGTTTGATGTGGTACGAAATTAAGTAATTTATTTATTATCAATTATCGGCTAAATATTTAATTCTTTCAACGAAACCTACCTAAATATGGTTTGTTAAGGATTCTAAAATGCCGAAATCTCTTATTCTTTATCTCTTTCCCATGTAGTCAAAATAAATATTTGTTATATCAAGTCGTACTCAAATACAAGACTTTTATAAGTGGAAATCTGTTTAGTACACAAATTTTAACAATCCTTATTTATTATGTGCTGCGTAAATATTAATGTACTGCAACTAAATTACAAAAAAGAGCATTTAATGAACATTGATGTTAATGTTTATTGCGAAAATTTTTGAATTTATAACAATATTTAATTGTGGAATTAATAACAATTTTTAGCAATAACGATTTATATTATTATTTATCGAACTGTAAAAGTCATGCTTAACATTAGTCATTTCGTGAATATTTCTAATTTAGCCGTCAATTTTCTAAAAAACCATAAATTACCCTTTTTTCCTGTTTTTTAAATTCGTGTAAAAGACGAAAAACATTTTTTTTCGAAAAGTTGCGGCAGCAGGTTATAGGAAATTTATTCCAGTTTTCAAAACTGCCCTTTAATTCTCTGCACGACCATTTGTCGCCGAGATATCGATGATTGAAGACAAAAGGATCCTTTTCCATTAAAAGTCCGATATTTCGATGAAAAACGGTCGTATCGAAATTTAAAAAAAAGGAAATTGAAGCTTAACAAACAAGCTATCTGGTCCATGGCTTAGCTGAAAAAAGTCCGTGGACTCGAAAAAAAAAATTTCTAAATTAATTGCATGAAAAAAATTGAACCGAAAGATCTGAAAACTACAATCGTAGAGCTTCAAAATGCTTTTTTTTTAATTCCCGATACGACCATTTTTCACCTAAATACAGTCTGTCAAAAATTTCGGAAATTCTTTTGACCCTTTAATTCTTTGCGTTAGTGTATATGAACTCAAATTCCATGATCAAGTGGAAAATGTCCACTTGACGTGATTTGGCTCACCACCAAAGCTACCCGTTTCATAAAACAGTGTATAGGAAATATACAAGGTGTCCCACGGTGACGATCCATTAGAATTATTTCAGAGACTACTTCGATTTCAATATTGAAAATTTGGGATACCGGGTTTCCGGGCATACCCTTCTCAACTAAAATAATGTCGTCCACGTACCACTTCCGGAAGTCGCAATTAACTTGCTTATTTTAAATGGAACACTCTATATATTAGTGCAATTTTGGATTCTACGTGTTATTTTAGGTGACTAGGTTCAAACCATGTGTATTTTATAGTAAGAAAGATAAAGCAACAATATTTATAGGGGGGATAGCTAGACCCCTAAGCTTCCCATCCATACTTTCAAAGTGGCTTAATTGCATACAGGGTGCTAGAAATTTAATGCCGGGTTTAGTTAACTTCGTACCTTCATAAGTCGGTTTTTTAAATGGAACACCATGTATGTTTTTCTATATTCTGATACACAATTTTATTCTCTTTCGAACGGTATCAGGGTTCCCTATACCTTATCTCTTCTAGTTTTTAAATTATCTACTATTTTTTGTGTAATCACCTAAAATCATGTAATTTCTTGCTAACTTCGGTATCCCAAATTCAAATCAAAGTAGTCTCAGAAATAATTCTAATGAGCCGTCACCGTGTGACACCCTGTATATACTCATTGTATATGATGATAAAATCGATGGCTTATTATTGATTATAGGCCAGCTACATCGAGATGTTACACACACTGAACATACAAATTAGCTCATATGCTAAACATACCCGGTACGGCAGTTGTAAGAAGCGATATCTTTTGTGAATTTGAATTTAATTGTCTAACTCCAGCCCAATAATCATGTCAAACTGTAGTGATAAGCTTATTTTATATTTAATAAATAATAACTGTGGCCTTCAGTGTATCTGTCATTGCATGATATATTTGTAGACCAGTGCATTTTTTCTTTTATTAAATTATATGTTTAAGATTCATCTATGTACATTTAAACAACTTTGGACATATTTGAATAAAATTGACACCCTAATATTGAAAACCAAGGGTTTTATACTGGTTTTTTGAGTAAATTGATTAATCCTGCAAGAAAGCATCCTGTACAGATAAAAACAATGGCTTGAAACGATTGAAAATGCAGCTGAGAGTTATTTTTTGCAGAAGATATAAAAGTTGGGGATACGACTTTTTTTTGTTGGATATCTACAGTAATTTACTATTTTTTGTATGCCTAAATATTTCAGTAGTAACCAAATCGAAGACTTTCATTATTAAGTAAATTATTTCTTAAACATACTATTTTATTTTTAAAGTAATTCTAAATATCCAAACGTACTATAATAATTATAGCATTAAGTGGTTCCATAAAAATAAGGGATGAAATAGATCGTTTCTGAAGATACTCAAATACTATTACGACCGTTGAGTCGATTAAAGGTGGCTTTAATTTTCTTGATTTAAAAATAATTTATTTAGAAATAGAAATTATTCTGCTGCATTGATTTCAGATATGTTTTTAGAATTAAAATGAGACCAATAGTTGCCAAATCTCAAAAAAAAAGTATCTACAAATGTGTTCTTAGGGTTAAAACAAATTGCGTAGGTATAATATAAATTTGACTGAACAATTGTTACGTTTTTGTTCATTTAGGAAATTTATAGGTTTTTATATTAACGATAAACATAAGATGGAATTTATTTTGTATTAAATAATTGAAAGCCGTGTTGCAAAAGGGGAATATGTGCATAATTTGTAAAAAATTAAATTATGCTCATATTTGGATTTAAAATTGAATTTTCTGTAATTGTATTCTGATCATTTGTTTGTTGTTATACAGTGCTTTCGAAAAGTAACGAATAAATTCATTATTTTTTAAATTGAGAAGTTTTCGAAAAAATCCCCTGGCAAGTCGATTTTGTTTTTAAAAAGGCACTTTTTGACATACTACCCATATTTGTGACGTCATCGTTGTTCGAGATATGACGTCATCGACAATTTTTTTAAATAGCAACCCCCAATTTTGACTATGCCATTTGAAAGAGCGTGTCATTCTACATACACATGAAAAATTATGGTGTTATATAACAAAAATTTCAATAAAATAATGAAGATTTAAAAGCAAGAATTCGTCACGAGATACATCGTATACCTCCTGAAGTTATTGATAATGTCCAAAAAGAATTTATCAATCGTCTTGGCTACTGTCAGGCAGCCAACGGTGCACAATTTGAATTTTGAATTTAATTTAGTCGATTTTTACATAATCATCATTTTTAGTATTGTGAAAATTAAATTTTAAAATCTTCAAACATTATTTTCTTGAAATTTTTGTTATGTAACACCATAATTTTTCATGATCTGTGTATGTAGAATGACACGCTCTTTCAAATGGCATGGTCCAAATTGGCGGTTGCTATTTAAAAAAATTGTCGATGACGTCATATCTCGAACAACAATGACGTCACAAATATGGGTCGTATGTCAAAAAGTGCCTTTTTTAAAAACAAAATCGACGTGCCAGGGGATTTTTTCGAAAACTTCTCAATTTAAAAAATTATGAATTTATTCGTTACTTTTCGAAAGCACTGTATAAATTTAATCACAGACTTAGTCCTGTTTCAAGTTTCTACCAATTTGTTTATTGAAACAGTTGTTACCTTTTAAGCATTGAAAATAATATCTTTCCAAGAGCATATTTATTATTAAAAATAAAAAAGTAAAAACTTATTCGCATATTCCGTCTTTTGTACAACAAATTTATTTGCTTCTTGTGTTCAATGTTCCCTTTTTGCACTGAGGTACCTGTATTCAATTATTTAAAATCAATTTTATTGTATTTGTGATTCCATCTAGATTGTATTAAGTATTAATAATATATTATATATTATATTTGCGTCCAATAAATATTTGCCTGGGGCAGTATTTGAATAAAATAATGAACTGTACAAAACATATTATAGTATTTATTTCTAGCTATTTTGTAGTAGCGAAAAGTCTGCTTATGTACAATTTTAATAAAATATACTTGTACAAAGATATCAAGTAAACGATTTTTTACATTTATACTTGTATTATATTTTTCCTCAGTACGTAAATAAAAATATATTCTTCAAGCAAATAAATGAGGTAAATAAATAAACATATGGGCCCCAGAATGGATCATACCATTTGATTCCAATTCTTAAAAGGATAACGTATTCATACCACCAGAAAACCTTGGTAAATAATTAAAGAAAAACCAAGCATTTACGTCAGTGACACATTTTAACTTTCCCCTTATTTTTAGGAAAAGAACTAGACGGAAAACCGACGAAGAAACCGCAAAGAGACACCGCAAATCCAGACGCAAATCGGACAAGCCCAAAAGAGTGGTAGTGGAGCCACTCAAACTCGAAGTGCCTTTACGTTGCCATTACTGTGGCGACGCCTATTACAACAACATCGATTACGCCCTCCACTCCAAGGAGCACCACCCCGAAAACAAATATTCCTGTCACCTCTGCGACTACACCAACACGTCGAAGTACCGCACCGAGGCCCACGTCAGGGCCCACGAAGGATCCACCAAGTACCGTTGCGAGATCTGCAACAAGCCCTTCAACATCAGCACCCACGCCAAGGAGCACAAGTACTTCCACACCGGCGAGAAACCCTTCCAGTGTCAAATCTGCGGGAAACACTTCATGTTCTCGCGGATACTGACCAAACACCGACGCACTTCCCACTACGAGATCATGTTCGGCAAACCCCTGGCCAAGTACGACTGTAAGGTGTGCGGCAAGCATTACGAGTCTCTGCCCGGTCTCCAGAGGCACATGTACAGCAACCACAACGACACCGGAGAGGATTGGTCGGTCATCTGCGACATCTGCGGGAAGAAGATCGCCACGAAGGAGAAGCTAAAGTACCACCTGCGCACGCACACGGGAGACAAGCCCTTTCCTTGTCCTCTGTGCCCGAAGAGGTTCCCCAAAAAGGATCAGCTAAAGGAGCACGAGAGGGTGCACACCGGGGAAAAGCCCTTCATGTGCATGTACTGCGGGAAGAATTTTGGGCATAGGGCGCCTTACAGGTACCACATTAAAACCCATACGGGGGAGAGACCGTACACTTGTCCCATCTGCGGCAAGGGGTTTATTTCCAAGTCCGCGAAGGAAGGCCACGCAAACAGTTGCTTCAAGAAATGAAGGGGACATTTTTTTTTCGTTTAAGACTGAGGTTGGGTCGTGTATTGTACTTACCAGAAGACTCTGGAGGACGAAATATAAATAATTTTGCTTGATATACTTACTTTGTTTATAAAATGTGATATTTTTTATTGTTTAAAAGAGCAACATTTTGACAACTTTTAGACGCCATATTGTCCAACCAAATTACGCTTGGAGAAAAAAAAAATGTTACCTGGACTTTTATAAGTGGAAATGGAAAAAGGGCTTATAATAAACCTTAAAAAAATAAATGCGTGAGCAGGGGCGTGGAGGGTTGATTTGGAGGGTTGAAAAGTTGTGAAAAATTGTATCATTGCGATTTCTGGCGAAAGTTGTCGTCAAACAAAAATGTATCCAATACAAAAGTTGTAGATCATGCAAAAATCTACAACTTTTGTAGAGGACACTTTTTAACATAACCTCAAAATTTCCGAGAAAAATGCGAAAACCAGTTTTTTTCTGATTTTTGTTTTTTTATTTCTCATTTCCGCAAAGATAATTTAATTTTAACGAAACTTGGTGAAAGTATACCTTTCTGTGTCTTAAATTACCTCAATTTTTTTTAAATAAAGGAATCAAGAAGTTTCTGAGATATTCATTTTTTTCGGCCTGAAACACTTTTTTTTTTCAAAGAAAAATTCTACTTAAAAAAATCATCGTACAGAGTTCTGCCGATGATCATTTTTTTCGTTTTGACATATACTATTTGGTGAAATAAAAAAATTTGTTATCACAGTTTAAAAACATGCTCAAAAAAGCAAAAAAATATAAAAAATTACTTGCAACAATGAATTTTTCAGTTATTGTTGATAATTTGTTTAAATTAAAAAACATTCAAAAACTGATTACACCATTCAATTTTACGGAAAAAAATTTAAAAAAACTGTAATTGTTTGATCCAAAACTTTATTTTTATACAGTATTGCTATAAACATCGAAGTCAAATTACAAATGCACAAATGATAAATTATCTCTGGATGATTGGAGATTTCAGCATTACAAAGTATTAACTGCAAAGTCTACTGTTGACGCGAAATCCGAAAACCCGAAATTTTGTAAAATCGTTTTATTTTTTTTTCTGGCCATAAATTAATTTTTTTTAATATATCGCTGCTATTTTTATGACAAAATCTAGTCATTTTTAATTCTGCATTAGATGATATTACTATTGTAATCGCTATAGTTTACCTAAGCTAAACGATAGCTAAAAAACTTAAAAAGTTTTTAGCTATCATTTAAAATTTTTCCTGAGTACGGCTCTGAACGCTTTCAAAATACCTGTATCTATTGGAGGATAGAGAGAGAAGAGAATAAAAGTCAATACAGCACAAAATATCCAATATTTTTTTTTAATCCATAATTTAAAAAGTTGCACCTAACAAAAAAATAATACGAATTTATGAAATATTTTATTATTTCTAATTAATATTGCTAATAGTAGTAAAAAAAATTGTTGGATATTTTGTGCCGTATTGACTTTTATACTGTTATGACTTCATCCAATAGATATTTTGAAAGCGTTCAGAGCCGTACTCTGGAAAAATTATTTTAAATTATAGCTAAAATAAGCTAAAAACTTTTTAAGCGATTACAATAGTAATATCCTCTAATTCAGAATTAAAAATGACTTTAGATTTTATCATAAAAATAGCAGCGACGTATTTAAAAAAATTAACCCGATGATGGCCCCTCGAAGACGAAACGTTGATTTGCAAAAATGTTAACGCCATTGTATAGAGCGAAAAAAGTGGCATTGTAAATATGTAATTTATTTTAAAATTCGTTTTCAAATAAAGCCAGAAAAAAATAAACAATTTTGCAAAATTTCGGTTTTTTCCGAATATCTCTGGAACTACCCGGAATTTTAAAACTTTCTAAAAAGCATATTGTTAGGTATAAAAAACACAAATTTTTCTAATCTGAGCCACCTCGCATCTCTTACCGTTTCCTAGATCCTAATGCTATCCCATCCTTATCTTGGACACACTGTGTATCTATGAATTCATCAAACTTAAAAAAAAAATAAGTACACTAATCGATCCTAAGGAAAAAAAAATTATTTTACTTATTCACTATTCAACTTATATTTATAGCAATACTGTACAAAAATAGTTTTGGGTCAAACAATGAGACAGTTTTTTTGTATTTCTTCCGTACAATTGAATGATGTAATCAGTTTTTGATTTTTTTTTAATTTAAACAAATTATCAACAATTACTGAAAAATTCATTGCTGCAAGTCATTGTTTATTTTTTTTGCATTGTTGGGCATGTTTTTGAATTCTGATTACAGATTTTTTTATTTCACCAAAAAGTATATGTCGAAACGAAAAAAATGATCACTGGCAGATCTCTGTACGATGATTTTTCTAAGTAGAATTTTTCTTTGAAGAAAAAGTGTTTCAGACCGGAAAAAATGAATATCTCGGAAACTTCTTAATTTTTTTTTCTAAAAAAATTTGTGGTTATTTAAGACACATAAAGGTATACTTTCACCAAGTTTCGTTAAAATTAAATTATTTTTGCGGAAATGAGAAGAAAAAAACGAAAAATCTGAAAAAAAACTATTTTTCGCATTTTTCTCGGAAATTTTGAGGTTATCTTAAAAAATGACCTCTACAAAAGTTGTATGATCTACAACTTTTGTATTGGATACTTTTTTGTTCGACGTCAACTTTCGCCAGAAATCCCAATGATGCAATTTTTCATAACTTTTCAACCCCCCAAATCAACCCCCCGCCGCCTCTGCTCACGCATTAATTAATTTTTTTTTTCGTTTATTATAAGTCCCTTTACCATTTCCACTTATAAAAGTCCAGGTAACAATTTTCTTTTTTTTCCCTCTAAATGAGTTATTTTAATCGGTCTAATATTTCAGAATGAGTTCTTTTTAGCTGTAGATTCACCGGTACCAATTGTGTTACTTTTTTTGAAAACACCTTGTATACAACAAAACATTTTTAATTATTACTCGATTTCTTCATACAGTTGGTTTGAAAAATTAACAGTAAGCAACACTGAACACTACCCCTACCCCTAAAAAACTGACTCCCATTAAAATTAAGATAAACAGAATTGGCGTTTGACTTGAAATTATTTATCAAACAAATGTAACTCGTACTGACTCATGTGTACATTTTTTTTAATTAATTTATAAGCCATATTTAATTATTTTAATGAAGATTAATGTCAGCTATATATTTTTGAAATTGTAAAAAAATAAATAACATAATGAAAGACGTTATTTTATTATAACACCATATGACAAACAAAAATATTACATGTTCAATAGTTTATTATTATGTCCCCAGTTAAAAATTTTTCGGTAAGTGAAGATAGTTCTATTAATCCCGTATTAACGTCATTTTTTTTAGGCTGAAACCCGCCAGAAGCCCGAAAAAAGTGAAAGAGGAAGACGAATCGGAGACCGAGTGGATACCAAAAGACGAAAAGCTTAAAAGAGAGAGACTGAAGAAGGAGAAACTGAAAAAACAGAAAGGGACCAAGGTAAAAAAGCAGAAGTTAAAAAAGTCGAAGAAAGAAGGCAAACCAAAGTCGACCAAGGAGAAGAAATTACCAAAAAACAAGAGCCCGAAACGTCGACGAACCACGGAGGAACACCCTCCCCCCATGGAGCTAGAGGAACCCATAGAGTGCGAAGTCTGTAGCGAGACTTACAGAAACAACGTCGCTTTTGCCCTGCATTCCATAAGCCACAGCGACGACGGGAAGTACCACTGCCACCTGTGCACCTACAAGAACGCCTCCAAGTACCACCTGGAGATGCACGTAAGAGCCCACGAGGGCGCTACCAAATACAAATGCGAGATCTGCAACAAGGCCTTCACCGTGAGCACCCACGCCATAGAGCACAAGTACTTCCACACGGGAGAAAAACCTTTCCAGTGCGAGATATGCGGCAAACACTTCATGTTCTCCTGGTTCTTGGCGTCCCACCGCAGGACCTCGCACTACGAGATCCTCACCGGCAGCCCCCTGGTAAAGTTCGACTGCACCATCTGCAAAAAGCACTACGCCTCCGCCTCCGGCCTCAGAAGGCACAACTTGAAGAACCACAACGAGGCTGGAATAGATACGTCGGTACTGTGCGACATATGCGGGAAGAGACTATCGAGCAGGGAAAAACTGAAGTTCCACCACAGGACCCACACGGGGTACAAGCCCTACGGATGCCAGATCTGCCCCAAGAGCTTCTCGAAGAAGGAGCAGCTGATCGAGCACGTGAGGGTGCACACGGGGGAGAAGCCGTACGTGTGCAAGTACTGCGGCAAGGCTTTCACGCAGAGGACGCCGCTGAGGATCCACGAGAGGACTCACACGGGGGAGAGGCCCAATATCTGCCCCATTTGCGGCAAGGGCTTCGTCTCGAAGACGGCCGTGGAGAGCCACATCAAGAGCTGCTACAATAACCCCCAGGTGATGATCCAGGGACCTATTCAATACCCCTTTTACCCCGCCACTGCCACGCCTATGACGCCAGTCGACCAAGGCGAGATAGAACACAAGTTTTCTATCAGTAACGCGTTTGTCGAGCACAGGCCGTGAGCAATAGCTCCATTTGTTGAAATAATAACGAAATTGATAACCTGTGCAGCAGCTGAATTTGTTCTTTCCTTTTTTAATACCTTAAAATACAAGTACATATATCATTCAGCATCACACACAGGCACACACACATTTAAATGATTTATTTTGTACCGGAATGTATTTCTTATTTTCTTAGCATTTTTGTATTTTTGGCAAGACATAAGGCATATAATATAATATCATATCCCATAGAACAGGCTAAAATTTAATTCAAAATTTAATTGGGAATTTGATCAGCTAATTGATTGGATTTAAAAATTATTGGTTGATTTTTAAATTCAAGCAATCAGCTGCTCTGATATCAAATTAAATTCTTAAGATGGCCTAGGAAAACAACTTATCCAGAAATTGTCGGGATCTGCTACTGTCAAAAACATGTCAGTTTAGCTTTAAACATAAAAAAAAACACCGCCTTATACGATATATTGCCGTTGGTTTTTAGATTTCATTGCTTATTACGAAAAAATTGAAGTAATATATTTTTGTTTGATCGATCAAGTTTACCATTCCATTTCAGTTGACTGGACGTGGACAGCCAGTATAAAACTATAGGGCAATTATGAATACATAATGTTATTTGTTATACAATATAATAAGGGTTAGGAATAGTTTTATAAATATTTTATTTCGTCACATCACAACTAATATTTAACATAACAAAACAATAAGTAGGTAAGGTCATTGTTTTTATTTGCATTTTTGAAATTTCCATATTTATTCAAACTGATTCAACTTTTTGCACATTATGTAGATATAAACGCTATAGAAAGGAAGTTCATTGATTATGGTTTCAGTAAAAAATAAATAAATGGATTTATGCGACAATTAATAATTTATAAAGCAATAACTAAATTAGTACATGTTTCAAATATAGGTCTATATTTCGCAGTTATTTTTTCCTACTCCAAATATAATGTATTTTCCTAATCACATCAAGAAAACTGTTTTTATTAAACATTCTAAGATTATTAATATTATTATTTCATTTTGTCGAATTTAAAGTTTTTCATCCCAGAACCCTTTAATTAATGCAAAGACCAATTTTTTTGTTTGATGAATTTTACAATGATGCAATACAATAATGTGTCATGCATTAAGTATGTTAATATTTTTATAAATTGTATTTAAGGATCACGTTTATTTTTGTGGTTTAGAGTTATTATTATGTAATAGGTATGTATATTTTATAAAAGTTTTAAAATGCACTAGCATATGGTTCAATGATTTATAAAAAATTGTTTAAATCAATAAAAGGTTGTACTTACGGTTGCATTTCTCATTTCTGCGCTCCCCAAAATTAAGTTTGTATTTAAAATTGCATCCTTTTTCAGCCTCTAGGATCACTTTTATTACTTATTAAAAAACACCTTTAGCCTTAACATTTTAAATATTTATTTCACACATTTGTAACTTATGTAAATCACAAATGGCTTCGCTAATCTTCTTGCATAAACTACCATTAGCAAAACAAATGTAGTACACCGGCCTTCTAACCTAAATAAAAATAAAAGAATTACCAGTTTCAAATTTTCAAGGCCTACTGACTTTTTGGTTTTTCCGTTCTGAATTAATATCATTTTATTGTTAAAGTACGTTATTGTATTTATAAATACCGACCAATTATTATGAATTTGTCATAACGCATAATACCTACATCTAGGATAAAAATGCTTATTTCTTATTGTGGATGTGGACATCATAAAAATTAAAACCATTTCAGCTACGCTAATGGTTAATCCAATAGTTTGTACTTTATTGTATCGAACGCACCCTTGACTTGGGTACAAGCAGATATAATTTACAGGTTGACGGATAATTTCACCTTCCTTCCTATATATGTACACATATCTATCTATTAACACAATTTAAATTAAAATTTTAAGCGCATTCGTATTCGTTTATATACAACCTTAGTGAATTTTAGTGTAAATAAAAGTTAATCTTTATATAAATGGTTGACGGCTATGAGTACACCTTTTGTAGTATATGCATCTTGGCAAAAGTCTTAGTTCCGTATGTTGCGCACGCCCAAGCCCGAGGCGCTTGTGCAAATGAGAATGTGAATGACGCGTTCCAAGATGGCGATACACAGGGTGTTGTGTTGTTTGTGTTAGTGAATGAAGAAATTACATATTTGTGGAACCAGGAAAATATTTCTACATATTATCTATACCTTCGGACGAGATCTGAGAGGTGCAGTTTTCTGGATCCGGCAGATGGAAGAGAAAGAGTGAGTATTGTGTCTGAAATAATTGCAATTTGTTTAAAATTACCGAACCTGTTGTTGACGATAATGCAGATGCCGAATCCATGTGCTTTGAGCACATGCGCAATGCGTTCGATTTATAAGAAAAATTACGAATTTCATGGTAAATAGTAAATATCCTAGCGCACCCGTAATTTCTTGATGATTATCATCAAACAGTGACCCATTTTTGATGTCACTTTTATGAAATATGTCACAGATCACAGAGATAAATCAGATGGTATTTACTTTTCACTGCTTGTTTATAATCGTTTAATGATGGATGGGTTTAAAGAGAAATCTATTGCCCCAATAATAGGTCACTTCTTTATTATGCTTACCTTGCAGAAAAATACGAGAAAATACATTTATTTGAGACAGGTTACTTATTTCCAAACGCTAATTATTAAACAATATATTTTCAAACCACTGTTTCTCATCTTTATTGAATGCCTAGGTTACATATTGTATGTAAACAAACAGTTTTGCATATTATAATTATTATTGTTACCTTTGGAAAAGTTTGAATAAATCGAACATTTTACATTAGTAGTGCATTATTAGATTCTACATTTATTTTTTAATATGGAATACCTACCTATTGTAAGAAAGAATGTTAGATTACATTAAATGTAGGTTTTGTAACAAAATCACAATGTAACAACCATAAAATTTTGTTTAGTTATGACATTATAACTTTGCAACTTTGCTAAAATATGATCTAGATTTTTCCTAGTTTGAATATTTCCAAATTTAACAGAATTTAAAATTTATTTAATTACTTAGTTTCCAGATAGTTCACCTTAAAATTGAGAGAAACATGGGCAGAGATATTCGGATAATAGGCAAAAAAGAAAATGTCGGTGATAAAAATGATGTAATAATCTTGAAATCAGAAATGTATTTTTTTTTTCATTATTGCTCTCAAATCCCTGTATTTTTGTGCCACCTTTATCTGGTGCCATATTATTTGCAGATTCCCCATGGACTATTTTACACCAATAGTAACAATAAACGAGACTCCACCCGAACCCTCTTCGCCTAAATCTCCAAAGGTAAAAAAAATAAAAATCAAAATCGAAGGCAACGAAGAAGGTGAAATTTCTGCGGAAATAGTCAAACAAAAGAAAAGAGGAAGGCCTAGAAAAAATACAGAGAACAAGAAAGAAGAAACTAAGAAAGAGAAAAAAAAGTCAAAAAAAGATGAAGATGATGATAATGATCCCACTTGGTCGGAAGTTATCAAAAAGAAAAAGAAACCGAAGAAAACTAAACAAACCAAAACACCCAAACAAAACAAGAAAAAACAGGCTGTGGCTCAAGAGGAGGTGGTGGTAAAATCGGAACCTATCGATATAGACGATCCCGTTGAAGGTTTAGAAATAAAAAAAGAGATCAAGGAAGAACCCCTAGACGGGGAAGCGGTGCCAAGTGTACCGATATCTGTAGAAGACATCAAAGCAATATTACCACAAATCGAGGACAAGAGAACTTTTAAGTGTCCACTTTGCAGCAAAGAAAAAGACGATAAAACTGAAAGAACCCCCAAAGAATTAAAACAACACTACAAAGATCAACACCCCGGCAAAAGGCTCCGGCAGTCCCGTTTCTCCCTGGAAATCCACCCGTGCGACGTCTGCGGCAAGGAATTCAAGACGAGCACTGCCGTAAAGGAACACCTAGAAACCCACAACAACTACTTCTACTGCGAGGTGTGCAACTCCTCGCACAAGAAGATCCTGGACCACATCATACACCTGCGCGTCCACTCCCAACAAGGCGTATTCCAGTGCTTGATGTGCGACCTCAAAACCCCCGACATAAACAAGATAACTGACCATGTCAACAACCACGAGGATCTGCTCAAATACTGGTGCCAGACGTGCAAGAAGGGCTTCCAGATCCTGCCCTGGTTCCAGGAGCACGACAACTACCACACGGGACTTAAGCCGTTCGACTGCGAGTTTTGCGGCAAGTGCTTCCTCTACTCCCGTTACCTCCACGCTCACAAGGTCAGCATGCACAAGGAGGACATGAACTGCCCCAGCCTGCACGAGTGCGTCATCTGCAACAAGCAGTACCAGCACAAGAACAGCCTGAAACTGCATATGAACTCCCACACGGGCAACTTCTCCATCTGCGACATCTGCGGCAAGATGCTGTCCAGCAAGGAAAAGCTCAAGTTTCACATCCGAACCCACACGGGGTACAAACCCTACAGCTGCACCTACTGCGAGAAGTCCTTCACGAAGAAACCCATCTTGGTGGAACACGTCAGGATTCATACAGGGGAAAGACCGTACATCTGTGAGTATTGTACGAAGGCATTCTCGCAACGTTCAAGCTTGGTGATCCACATGCGCGGTCATACGGGAGAGAGGCCGTACGTTTGCCAGTTCTGCACGAAGGGGTTCGTCGCCAAGGCCATGCTGAACATCCACCTCAAATCGTGCAAAGGCCTGGTCGCACTGCCCTCTGGCTTTTAGGCATCGAATTCGTTGTTGAGTGTTAGTCCAGGTGTATGTAATGTGTATTTAATGTACTTTTCTGATATATAGGAAAGCTTGGGTCAAAATGGCGTTTATAATCGGGTAAGGAAAGTATAAACGTTAGATTTCAGTACAGGAAATTTGCCAGGGGTCCCGGTACAGATCCTTGTGGCATACCATTTAGCATTCAAGTTCAAGGGTTTCAACAAGTATAGCAAACATAGACATATGTAAAAAAATGTAAATGTAATTAGGATGAGGAGAATCGAAGTAAAATGAATCAAAAAGTTCTATATTATGATAAAAATGTGAGTTTGGAACTATATTATAAATATGTGCAATTCTAGTTTCCAATTTTCAAATGAGATTATTATTAATAATTAGTTGTACTCACTTTTCCAAATTTGATAACCATGCGCATAAATGGTTTTGTTTCATCTCGGCATATCGTTTATAAAAGAAATTTATTTCATTTTTTCATAGACATTAACATTTAAATGTCATTTTATCACGTTGTCATATTTGAAGAATGGAAATACCATTTAATGAAATTTGGTAAGAATTTCCGTAAGTAGATATTATTCTATCGCTTGAATAGAGTCACTGTACAGTTCCGTGTTGAATTAATAGTGTAGATTTCGAGTAATTTTGTATATAGATAGACACTTCAGTTTGTAGCGAGATGTATCTCTAGTAATTTAGTGGATGCATTGCATATTTCTAAGAATTGTTAATATTCGCTTGGAACGATATTCTTGAATATAAGTTTATAAAAATAAGAGTTTTGTGATTGATTCCTTGCCATATATCGTGTGTTGGTGATGAACAGTTGTACAGGGTGATTTACTTGAGAATGCTGACCGTGGGATCTAGGAAACGGTAAAAGGTGCAAAGTTGGTCGAATTAACAAAAGTTGTGCAATTATAATTATTAAAATCTTTAAATTTTCACATATACATAAATTAACATCTGCTGATTGGTTTAAATTTTTATAAACTTTCTAAATTTTGGTTGGTCAACTTTTTTTTCTTTTCGATGCCATATTCAATTTTTGCATTTTATGATAACCATTTTTATTCTCTTTATGAAGGTGCATGTATTTGTAGGTACATTTAAAGAATTCTTAAGGAAAATCCATTGTAATACTGAATAGCGGTAGTTGGAATGGGAAAAAATTAGAATGCTCTTTTTCGGAAACAGTAAGAGATACGAAGTAGCTTAAATGGGGGCACAGTTGCATAATCAGGGGACCAACATTATGCATCTAAAAAATCAAGCCTAACATGATTAGATTTCGAAATATTTGAAAAAAAACGAAATTTTGGAAATCCATTTTTGTTTCATTTCAGCCTTGTTTGAGGTAATATTGAAAAAAGAACAGTTTCTCATGGCAACTTTTTGTCCTCTATCGAATGGCGTAATCAATTTTTATATGTAACCTTTCTTCTGTACAGGACCATCATCAACTAAATTTTTTTAAATACGACCCTTGAAATTTTATTACATTTTTTACAATCCTTCATGACCCCCAATACTGTACTGCCTTGGAACGAACCAGATTCAGACGAAAACTAATCATGTTAACCTCAATTTTTTAGAGGCATAATGTTGGTCCGCTGATTATGCAACTTTGCCCCAATTTAAGCTACTTTGTATCTCTTACCGCTTCCGAGATCCCTGTAGTGAAAAGCGAATTTGTAACAGCCTGTATAGTTACAAAGTTATTTAAAAAAATTAAGTTTAGTGATCTATAAAAGTTACAATTCATTGAAGAGCACTACTTCCTGTAATTTACTGTAATCAACTTTGTACGTTAGACTGCTTTAGGAAATTTGAAATTTCAGTGATGGGTGTCCTTAAGTAACTCAACCTGTATACATTGCACTTTTTACTATTTATTTTACATCCTCCGTTGGTAATAACTACGAGAATAAAACTATTAAAAATTCTACTGCTTTATTTTTAACGTTTGACTGAAACTGGGTTTTCCAAAATGACCCTATGTTATCCAACAAAAAAATATACTGGACTAATCTAACTTTTAAGATGTAAACAAAATAAAATCCTTAATTTTTTTGCCTGCAACAGTTTAAATTTTTTTTATTATAGACCGAAAATATTTTTGTTTTATTGGTTCCCAATAAGTTCTACTCAAAATGTCAAGGAGTTTACATACGTAACTAAATACATTTTCTGAAATTGTTGCATTGCAAGAGCTACTCAAGACATAGAATTAGAATTTAAAAGGTTTTGTTCACGATGTAGATTTTATGCCTGGATTATAAAAGAAAAGAATACACTTATACGTTTTTCACTACAACTTTTATTCAAAAGTACGTTAACATTTTTCTAAAGTGATTAACTTTTTTATATATCCCTTAACAATGTCTCCATTGTCTGTTTGTATCGTTAGAAAGTATGTCTTTCTTGACTCGTATCAGAGGTGACATAAGTACATGAATATTGTACGACTTATTTATTAGACCCTACATGTAAAAGAAATGTTTTATTTTTGTATTTCACTCTAATTTTTACAATAAATGTTTATTTAAGCGTGTTTCATTGTTATATAATTTAATATATATTTTACGGAATTTCCATTTATTAATAAAGTATTTGTATTATTATTCAGTAATGGTTGTATTTTGTATTAAACTTAATCCAACGTATTTTGTGAATGTAGAAAGGGCACTTTGTGTTTTAAATAAATCGTTTTTGTGTAGCGAGCGTTTCTAACTATTATCATATCATTGCTTCGTTTACCTCCAACTCATAATTTTACCTCTGCTGTATAACTGTATTAATACGTTGTAATTTTAGGATGACGCGAAACTCGCCTGATTTAAAACAGGAAGTAGCTGAAGAGGAAATTGTGATAACTTTTGTAGATGAGGACGACTCGGACAGCTACATAGACCTCGCGGAGTACCAGCAACTAACCCTCGAAAACAAGAACATCCTCATAGAAGCCAACCCGAATATCATACTGGAACCGGTGGAGCAACCCACCGTGATCGCGAAGACGGTGCGGTCGAAAAGGGAGGAGATCGAGAAAAGCGTGGAAGCCATCCTAGTTAAGGAGAGAGTCAAAGCCGCCGCTAGAAGGAGAGGCATCGCTGGCCAAGCTAAATCCGAAGCCGAGCTGGCGCTCTGTCCCGTTTGTGGTAAGTTGGTCCGAATGAGGTACATCTCCAAGCACATGGTGTGCCACGGGAGCCACAAGTGCGAAATATGCTCGTCTCTGTTCAAATCCGAGGAAGAGCTCGATAAGCACAGGGAAGTACACCTCGATAACGATTACCCATGCGAGAACTGCGAACTGAGCTTCAAAACGGCTATAGAGTTCGCCATCCACAACCACCAGCACGTCAACATGTTCCAGTGCCCGTTGTGCAAGTTTTACACCAAATCCAAGAGCTCGATCTGCGGCCACATCAAGAGGCACGAGGGCCAATACAAGTACCACTGCACCATCTGCGGAAAGGGCTTCATAGGTAAGGCGCTGCTCGCCACACACGAGGAGATACACCTGGACATAAAGCAGTACATGTGCGACTTGTGCGGGAAGAAGTTTTCCGTCAGGAGGTACCTGGACGTCCACCGACAGCTCAACCACAAGAAGGAGCTGTACGGCATCGAGGAGTTGTTTCGTTGCGAGATATGCGGGAGGGAGTTCACCTTCGAGAAGAGTCTACGGAGGCACCAGAGCGTCATCCACCAGATCGGGGAGGATCGCACTGTGCAGTGCAAGGTGTGCAACAAAGTCATAGCTAATAATTACAACCTGAAGATGCACATGAGGATCCACACCGGCGAGAAGAATTACTGCTGTGACAAGTGCGGTAAGGCGTTTTCCGCATATAAGTATTGGAAGAAGCACAAGTTGACGCACGAAAGGAAGAAATCGTCGCAAGTGGAGATGGAGATGGTCGAGATAGAATTAGAAGATATTAAAACTGAGTCACCTGAGTTGTTGGAACTGTTAGAATAATTTAATTGTTTCTTTTCTTTGGAAATTAAATAGTTTCTCATTTGTTCAGAATGTTTTTCGAGTCGAGTATTACATAGCGTTGAATTTTATTTTAATAAATGATTAAGTACAAAATGAAAGTTGTTAAACTTTTATATTAAATCCAAATAAATGGATGCTTGGGAAAATAATTAACTTTTCTGAGACGAATTCCCAAAATTATAATCTGAAGACGTGAAATGAAAGGCATATTTGTTTTATTATCTTAAATGGGGGCAAAGTTGCGTAATCAAGGGACCAATATTATGCCTCTAAAAAATCAAGGATAACATGAATAGTTTTCGAAATATTTGAAAAAAAAACGAAATTTTGGAAATCTGTTTTTGTTTCATTTCAGCCTTGTTTGAGGTGATATTGGAAAAAGAACACTTTCTCATGGCCACTTTTTCGAATGGCATAATAAATTTATATATATATAACGTTTTGTCTCTCCAGGACCATCATCAACTTCATTTTTTTAAATACGATCTTGGAAGTTTTATTACATTTTTTGCAAGCCTTCATGACGCCCAATACTGTACTGCCTCAGCCCGAACCAGATTCAGATGTTTTGTCTCGAAAAATTCATCTTCAGTGTATTCTTTCCAAATTTATCTAAATTTTTTATTTAGAGATCTTTGTTTATTGAATTATCATACACTGTAAGTGTCGTTAGACCCTGTGAAATCCATCTAGTTATTTAAACTACATATTACCACCACGCATTAAAATAAGACATTAGAGTTTTATTCTCGTGTCCATAGTTATTTCTAGGCATCTCGAGTGCTCAAAATTCAAACAAATTCTTTTTTCAGGATATTCATACAAATACAACTGACCGATAATATTACGCTGATCTTCATTTTCAACCTTTGCCAAAACGAAAATGTTTTTGAACATTACTGAAATTTTTTAAAGAATAATATTCAGTTGGCGTTTTGGTTGTTCATATGCATTTTTAAGAATTAATTTGTCATAATAAAATTAAAATTGTAATGTTTTAATTTTGACACAACTTATTGATGGTAATAGTTAATAATAATAAATGTTTTATTGTAACGCGTGGAGGTAATAGTTTAAATAACTAGATGGATTTCACAGGGTCTAACGACACTTGCAGTGTACGATAATTCAATAAACAAAGAAATCTAAATAAAAAATTTAGATAAAAGAACGAATACACTGAAGATGAATTTTTTGAAAAAAAACTTCTGAATCTGGTTCAGACTGAAGCAGTACAGTATTGGGGTCATGAAGCCTTGCAAAAAATGTAATAAAATTTCAAGGGTTGTATTTAAAAAATTAAGTTGGTGATGGTCCTGGAGAGACGAAACGTTACATATAAAAATTGATTATGCCATTCAATAGAGGGCTTAAAGTGGCCATGAGAAAGTGTTCTCCTTTTTTCAATATCGCCTTAAACAAGGTTGAAATGAAACAAAAACACATTTCCAAAATTTCGTGTTTTTTTCAAATATTTCGAAAACTAATCATGTTAGCCTTGATTTTTTAGAGGCATAATGTTGGTCCCCTGACCGTTTTCGAGATCCCTGTAGTGAGAAGCGAATTTGTACCAGCCTGTATACAGGGTGAGGCAAATTTCATTTCGGACCAAGGAGTACATGATAGTACTTTTGGAAATGAACAGTGTTTTCCATATGAACATTTTTTAAAAAAATACTACCTCTTACAGACGCTAATATTATACTACTAAATGTACAGGGTGTATCTAAATGTTACTAAATAACCTCAAAATCACAACATAATAACTGGGCCAAAATTGCCCTATTTTCAAGATACAGTGTTTACATATTTTAAAAACATCAACTACGCAAATACGATGAAAAATACAAATTTATGTCGGAAATTTTATTTAATTCACAATAATTATATTTCAAAGAAAAAATACCTTTCGTTTTCATAAAACAAATAAATAATTTTTTACTTATTTTTGTTGTCTAAAATAAACCTACTGCATTTTACTTTTTTTTTAAATCAACTTAGAAAAAACTGCCTAGTTTAAATTGTAAATTACCATTAGCGGAATTTTATTTATTTTTGTTTTTTAAAGCTCGGATCAGCTTCTATCAGAGTATATTTAGAAAAATCTGTTTTTTTTTTAAGTACTGTCACATACTCTCTGGTTCGACATTAAATTTGTCCCTCTCATCACGTAGGGGCGTATAATCCAAAAAATGGATATACACATACGCCTCTACGTGATAATAGGGACGATATGATTCATTGTGTATCAAGGAAAACCATCTTTCAAAAAAATTTATCAAAAAAGCAATAAAAATTAATATCCAATAATTTGCTTTATGTGATTTTGATTTCTTTATACTAATTTTAAAGTGATACATGTACCAGTACTAGATTTTATAGTAAAAAAAATCTTAATTTCTTGAAACAATTGTTCTTTCATCCATTTATTTTATAAACAAATGTAAAAATGTATATTGAGTGATATTTGATAGAACTATTTGTACTGTTTTGCTTAAAGTTTCCTGCAGTTACCTCTAAATTAGTAATAACACAGCCTAATGGGAAAAAAATCAACATGTGATAAACTAGACCATCGTACCCATATGTTTATGAAGTCGGCTTTTATTCAAGGTCATTTAAAGGTCTGTCACATTGAATTTTTTCTTGCCGTGGGACTGTTATAATAAGCATGTACATATATATTTCTTTAACGGAGGTTAATATTTTTTTATTCTGAAACTGCTCTATGATAAAAAAATAAATCGGCTGATGAGTGGGATTATAACAGTATTGACTTTCATGAAATCATGACGACGAAATTGTGATCGAAAGAAATCGGCTAATATGTTTTCAAATCATAAACATGGAAATTTGATTGAACTATTCATTTATAATTAGTTGCTAGCTATTATTCACAAATTGTTTCATGTATTTGTGAAAACAGATTTAAATAAAAAAATATTATGAAGTAATTTATTTTAGCAAAAAATCCACATGTAAATAATTTTGCCTGTAGAAATGTCAAGGATTAAAATTCTTATAATAAGGTAAGTAGGTATTAGTTACTTTCATTTTTAGAGAATTTAACTAACTTTAAGATTATTTTGTATCGTTTTATGAGGATTTATGAAAACGGTCAGTTTGTATTTTTCAAACTTCCACATAAGATTTTTGCATATATCACATTTTCATATTATTTTTTTATAGTGATTTAAATATATTTGATTTGATTTTCTAATAACTAGGACTATAAACCAAGCAAGGAATTATAAGGAATTTACAAGTTTTGTTAAACAGAAACTTGCTTTTACTGTGTCAAGTATTTATTTATTTTTTTACTAATCTACACTATCTTTATAAAAATATTTCCCAAATAAGAATTTAAAAAAGAAAGTCTATTTAAGACTTTTTTAATTACACATAAACAGTTCATAAGAAAGAATAATGTTTTATTTTTTTAGGCGTGAAGGCAAGTCCCCAAAGTCGAGTACGAAATTAAAAATTTCAAAAAAAGAGCAAAAACCCAAATCAAGGAGCACGAAAAGGTACATCCCCAAGCTAAAACCCAATCAGAGAGCGCGAAGTTGGATGTGCAAGATTTGCTTTGAAGAGTTCGCCTCGAGAAAAGACCTCTTCAACCACAGAAAGTCCATCCACGAAGACACTGACGACATCGTCAACAGAGAGGAAGCGCAGAAATTCATATACGATGAGGTCCATGATTTTTACACTTGCAATAACTGCTCGGCAGAATTTCAAACAAAAGAAGAGGTGGAGAAGCACTACGAGACGCACGAAGAAAAATACCAGTGTCAGATTTGTAACAAAACTATCTCGGGCGCTTTGAACTTTTCTTCGCACATGCAGCAACACAGGGAAGACAAACACTTTCCTTGTCCCTTATGCAACCACATAACCAGCAGAAAATCGGCCATGTTGATCCACATAGTTAGGCTACACTTCAGAAAGTACGATTTCCAGTGCCGATCCTGCGGGAAGTGTTTCAACGATGCGTCTACGTTCAAAGAACATGAAAACATCCACTTGGGCTTAAAACCGTTCATCTGCATCGTCTGCAACAAGGAATTCGTCTACTCCCGCTACCTCGTCGCCCATCAGGTGCGAAACCACAGGGTGCGGGTTTTAGACAAAGACTCCAAGACCCAGTGCCACATGTGCTCGAGGATATTCGCCAGGAACGAAACCTTAGTGAAGCACATGCTCAACAAACACCTGACATACCACGAGGGCCCTGCCGAGAAGAAACATCTCTGCGACGTGTGCGGCCAGGGCTTTTCCAGGACAGACAAACTGAAAATCCACTATAGGAAGCACACGGGCGAGAAACCCTTCTCGTGTGTCTATTGCAGCAAGAGCTTCATCAAGAAAGACTACCTAATAATGCACGAGAGAATCCATAACGGGGAGAAACCTTACATTTGCGAAGTGTGCGGGAAAAGCTTTAACCAAGGCGCCCCCCTCAGGATCCACATGCGGAGTCACACGGGGGAGAGGCCGTATGTTTGTCCGCATTGTAACACTGGGTGTGTCTCGAAGGGGGCATTGAACGCGCATATTAAAAGTTGCTTAAATTCGTTTTAATTTTTTATAAACGCAATACATAGTAGCTATAAAAATTGCAATCATATTTTTTTCGAAAATCACACCTGAATTTTTAAAGGAAAATCGGTAGCTGCTTTAATAAAACTCTCGACAGATACGATATAAAAAGGACAAGTTGTTACTTTAGCAAAATACTGTTAGATTGCAACATTTTTTTCCAGTCATAAGTAATGGATCCGTAAACTAAGTATTTTAACTTATTTCTTTTTATTATCCTTTATTACACTGTATTATTTTTTAACCATTAATTTAATAAGACAAATTTACTGCATTAAAAGGAAGTAAAGTCGTATTTTACTGTAATTATTATTTTTATATTTTGTTTAATCTTGTAACTAACTAAACATTTTGATATTGTTGAGCATGTGGCGGTAAACGATATTGTAAAGTAAATGAATTACTGGTTGCATAAAAAATGTACTCTAGTTTGAAATTAAAACGCATATTTTTCAGTATTTTTATTGTTTTATTATTAAATTGAACATTCCAAGACCATATCTTTAGAACACGAATATGAAGCGTGAGATTGTATATTTCCATGTTGGAATCATCGATAAATCTTATATTTTGTAAGTATCAACGTACTATTCTAGCTCATTTACTAATACCAATCTTTTTTAGGTTCTTTCCGGCTCTAGAAGTGGAACTAAGCGTCGGAGACAGCTGCGACCTAACAAGCCTATACAAGAAAGACAAAAAGAAATCTCCCGACAAATCCTTGCTCTTAAAAAAGAAAATCAAAGTGGAAATAGATGACGACGAATACACCCCCCCAGGGTACAAAAAGAAGAAGAGGGTGAAGAAGATAAAACCTTTGGAGAAGAAGATAAGGAAACAGGAGCACAAGATTTGGACCTGCAGAAGGTGTTTAGTGGAATTCGAGACCAGGCGCGACCTCACCGAACACACTAAATTATACCACGTGGAAGAACCGAAAGACCAGCACACTTTCAAGTACGACGAAGAACAGGACCAGTACACGTGCAATACTTGTTCAGCTGAATACCAAACGAAGGGGGAAGTAGAAGAGCATATTTCCAAAGTACACGAGGAGTTTTACACCTGCGAGGTATGCAAGCATACCTCGAAGAAGGCGTACAGCTTCGCTGTACATATGAAAGCTCACAGTACGGACGACTCTTACACCTGTCCGTTATGCAGCTACAACACCCCTAGACGGACATGTTTACAGACTCACATCAACCGGGTGCACTACCACAAGTTCTACTATACGTGTGCTACTTGCGGAAAAGGCTTCAACGATTCCGTCATCTTCAAAGAGCACAACAACGAGCATTTGGGAATAAAACCGTTCGTTTGCGTGGTGTGCAACAAAGAGTTCGTCTACTCGAGGTACATGCTCATACACCAAACGAGGTACCACACTGTCCATATAGAGGGTACCCTCCACAAAACCCAGTGCAGCATCTGCCTCAAAGTGTTCAGCAAAGTCGCCACCCTTCTCAAACACATCACCACCAAGCACAGCAACACCGGCGACGACAAACCCGAGAAGCGCCATCTGTGCGACATGTGCGGCAAGGGGTTCGGTACGTCAGATAAACTGAAGATACACTACCGAATCCACACGGGGGACAAGCCGTTCGGCTGCAGGTACTGTGATAAGAGATTCACCAAGAAGGACTACTTGGTGATGCACGAAAGGGTGCATACGGGTGAGAAACCCTACCCCTGTGAGTACTGCGGTAAATGTTTCAACCAGGCAGCGTCGTTAAGGATCCACGTTCGAGGGCATACTGGCGAAAGACCTTACGTCTGCCAGTTCTGTAACGGGGGATATATTTCTCGGGGATCTCTCAACTTGCACATGAAAATCTGTAATGGTGTCGCCACCTAACGGAAATTCTTGGGTTAAAAGTGAAAATTGCAAGTCGTGGTTTGTCAGTATCAGTGTATAACGTCACTATAAACTCAGTGTAGATAGATCAGTAGGGACTACGTATACGTTCACTATCCGCGGTATTATCTCTGTTGTATGCCTCGTAATATAACTAACTCTTGGAATATCCAGTAATTTCAAAAAAAAAAAAATTACTTGCATGATCAAATTACCACATTTTGAGTACCCTACCTACAACATTTTGATAATCACTGACAAACAATAATTTGGCTGGCTTCATTCGTAAATTAACCCGCTGTGCCTGCTGATCTATCTATGCTGTGCTACAAAGTTACTAGAAGCCGAAATGATGTAATTTTTTTCATAATAAAAAACAATTAAGAATTTATATAATTGCGTTTTTAACTCTATGAAATAGCTGTGCCAGTAATACTGCCGATGAGAACCTGATATTGATAGACTATGAGTTTATAGTCCTAGATAAAACAGGAATAATAATTATCAACATCTGTAGTTAGTTATCTAGAAATAACAAGAAATAGATTTTTTGTGTATATCTATTAGTTATATATACAAAAATAAGTGGTAGAAAGCGTAGATAGATCGTTATTTTGTTAACGAAGGATACTTAATGTTGACTAAAATCAAAACTAGATTTTTAAAATATATCCTCATTATTTTTTTACCGATTCCTTTAATTTAAAAATATACATGTGCTTGGTAGGAATTTCCAAAATGATACTGCCATTTTTTTTCTAGTTTTATAATGTTGCATCAAGATAATTATATAGGTTGCAGTAATTTACAGTGCTACCGTAAACCGATAAAAAAATTGTTTAACAAGTCGCGAAGTTGCGAGCTTAGAGATAAGTGATGTTAAATGTAACGATTTCCCCTATGTAGGGTAATTTTAAGAGGCGCGTCACATTATTACAACTTCAATGTGATCTAATTAGTTTACCCATCTTAAAGTATGTGTATTTACAATAATTTGACTGCCGATTCGAATGTTATTTTTATTAATATATTTTTAAAGGACTGTTATATTATTTAGGTCAATAAACTTTAAAAATTGAAAGAAAATAGATATATTATTTGTTTAGTGAAATTTAATGTATATATAGTTTAATGTTTATATTATTAATAAAAAGTCTACCAACATTTTTATATATTTTTTAAGTGTGCCGTATTGCCGACGAAGGCATTAACTGATAAGGCAATGTATACGTAAGGTAAGCTTTGTTCCTGGTACATTCGAAACAATCAGACGCAACTGCATTTGATTTGAAACAATGAATTTGGAACGTTATGTGAGCATTGTATCGGAACTCCTCTAACTGCTGTAACTACATGGCCTAAAAAGTTCCCGATATTTATATTTAAAACAAAGCGTTTAGCGATACATCAATTTGGTTGAAATGGTGCAAAAAACGTTGCTCTTTACAAATTTAATATCTAGTAATGTAAGTATAAAACTAGGATCATTTTAAAGGTAAGTATACCTACATAGAGAGCTCATGTGTTCGTTTGATAATTTATGTAAGAAAAATGATACCAACATTAAACAGAAACTTTGGATTTTTACATCTGTAGTCTGCAGCATTAAAAAAATTATTTTTTTTATCTGTTGTACAAAGTACAGATTTACTTCAAATGTTTGGTAATAATTGTTATCCCTATGTAGTATAATTAGCTAATACTGTTTTATTTCAGGAAAACGAAAGATGCTTCTAGTGACAATAAAGAACCTGAAAATAAAATGGAAACCCGAAGAAAAACCGCCGTGAAATATGAGCTTGTTGATGACAAAGACATGATTATACTTGACAAACATTTTCAAGAGACGCAGTCAGAGAATGATGAGAGTGACTACGAATACGTCCCAGTAACGAGAAAGAGAAGACAAAAATCGTCAACGGAGGCGGTAGAAATAGTTCCGAAGAAGAAGAGACATTACGACACCAACAAAAAATGGCCTTGCAAGAAATGCGGCCAAATTTTCCCCACTAAACGAACATTGGTCTCCCACAGGAAAACAGAACACGCCACGATTGACCTTGACGAACATACATTCAAGTTTGACGAAATACAAGAGCTGTACGTGTGCAATACCTGCTCTGCAGAGTACCAGGAGCAAGTAGAGATTGAAAAACACATCAAAACGCACGAAGAGAAGTTCCAGTGTGCCGTGTGTAACGAAAAGTTCAAAAAGGCTTACGACTTCGGCACTCACAGCGCCGTCCATAGTGAGGATAAGTCGTTTCGCTGCCCTCTATGCACTTATAAGACATTCAAAAGAACCGGCCTCCTTATACACATCAACTACGTCCACTTGAAGAAGTTCTCTTACATATGCGAAACGTGCGGCAAAGGCTTTAACGACACAGTCCTCTACAAAGAACACAACAACGAGCATTTGGGAATAAGGCCGTTCGCTTGCATAGTGTGCACGAAGACCTTCACCTATTCCAGATACCTGCTCACGCACCAGATCCGATCCCACAGAGTAGGCATCGACGGCCAGCTTCTGCCCAATCAGTGCATGGTGTGCAGCAAGGTGTTCAGTAAGTTGGCCACACTTGAAAAACACTACGAGGAGAAGCATGTGAAAAACCCGTTGCCCCATGAAAAGAAACATCTTTGCGACACCTGCGGAAAGGGATTCTCGCAGAAGAATAAGCTTCGGATACACTACAGGGTGCACACGGGATTTAAACCGTACACCTGCACGTATTGCGCCAAGAGCTTCACGAAGAAAGATTATCTCGTCATGCACGAAAGGGTGCACAGTGGAGAAAAGCCCTACTCGTGCGAATACTGCGGGAAGTGTTTCAGCCAGGGGGCGCCCCTCAGGATACACCTCAGAACGCACACGGGAGAACGGCCGTACATCTGCCAGTTTTGTACCACAGGGTTCACTTCGAGAGGTGCGTTGAACATGCACTGTAAAAACTGCAACGGGAGACTGTAAATCCGCCAAAATAGTGTCATTGATAGAAAAAAAATGTTTTCCCGAACTCTCAATGTGTTTGTAAATGAATATTTCTACTAATTAATAAATCGTTTTTATGACCCACATCCACGTTTTTGATTGCATTACTTGTTGATATATTTTACTTCTGCATTTCTGTCGAGAGCAACCGATTTGTTCGGCCATTAATAAACTTGACATCTTTTTATTAGAAAAGATGAAAAATAAATAAAATAAGTGAACTTTATTTAGCCCGTACCTAAATTTTTTTATTAAAACGTCTTATCCTTACTTCGGTACATTAATTAATATATTGGCATACCCACTAAAGAAAAACATGACAGCTTTATTTTTTCTTGCAAAAACATTATCGCTTGTTGTCATCCACAATTAGTTAATTTCTATTTCAAATATACGATGAATTTATAAAATTCTTCGAAAAGTAGTTTTCATCGTGCGGAACCTCAAAAAAACATTTCACATAAATATATTTCATGTAACATTTTTAAATATGTTTATTTTCCTATCATACACCATTAATTTAGTTCTTTTTAGGATTAAACCATTTGGAAATATCAATCTGATAAGCAATATTAAACAAACCTCGATGACACATAACACACCCGCCAATGAACTTAGTCCTCAGAATTCGGGAACATTATATTTGGTGACCTATAACAACGGCCTTACCATGAATTGTGTATTGCAACCATCCATTCAGCTCATATCGGCACCTAATTCATTGTCCTATAGTAATTTACAAAGCATTGTGTTTCCTTTGAAAAGCAGCGTCAGCACACAAAATTCTAGAATGATGACTTCGCAAAACAGAATATTTGCACAGCAACCAATGCAAAATGAGCTAGATCCAATAGCAAATACAGCTAATGTTGATAGTACTAAGAAAATGCCACCTTTAGAAGAGACAGATCCGTTAATCTCATTTATGAAAGAGAAAACTAGCTTTCCAACAGAATACAAAAATCCTTTCGATTATTCAAAATACGCTGAGTCTTCCGAAACTTCAAATAATATGAAGACGAGGTGTTATACAGACGGAGAAAAGCACTGTACATCTACTCCCGAAGAGCACAGAAGCTGGAAATGCTTTTTATGTTTTGAGGTGAAGAAAGATAAAGATTCGTTAATCGATCACTACGAATACCATAAAAAAGAAAAAGACAAACTCAAAAACTGTCCCGCCACTTTGAGACAAAAAGAGTCATCGAACCAGAGACTTGATCCTCATCAACAAACTGATATCGATATATTTGGTACCATTAGTAAGCAGATCGATGATCTGCCCCTGCATCAGATTCACTCACATGGAGATCAGAGTGACACCAAGTACGAATGCCAGTCCTGCAAAGCTACATTCGCTACGAAAACGGTATTATCGAGACACATATGTAACCAGGAAGCCTTAGAACGTCTTTGTTCCGTGTGTGGGAAGAAATTCAGAAACCAATCGACGTTAAACACTCACATGAGAATACACACCGGTGTAAAGAGGTACGTGTGCAACGTTTGTGGTAATTCTTTCCGACTGAGTTCCACGTTCAAGTGCCATTTAAGAATTCACAGCGGAGAAAAGCCCTACAAATGTACCACGTGTGGCAAGGGCTTTGCGCAAAGAACTCCTTTGGTTATCCACCAGCGAGGACACACAGGCGAACGGCCCTACACCTGCGAAAAGTGCGGAAAGGGATACGTGTCGAGGAGTGCTGTTAATATACACTCAAAGAACTGTCGTTAACGCGTAACACATCAAACTTCTGGAATACACGCTGGTGATTGGATAACTACATTATTTTACGATAAAATAATTACTTCACTCCAATTATTATCTGGTACCTCTTTATCTTATCTGGTGAAACAAATATCTTATTGTCTTAGCAGATCTAGTGTGTAACAGTGAAATAATTATATGTATATTGATATTCACAGCCTAATCGAAGGATTAGTTGATAGTCTTCAGTACAAAGCCTAGCTCCTAACTACATATTTCAATAGAAAAAATGATGCAAAAATCTAAGTGGATAGATAGGACTGATGATAACAAAATAATAAATTAAGTTTATATACTAAGTTTGTCTCATTTGTAAATCTAGGAAATAAAAAATATATTACATTTCTCTTTGTCTTTGCTTTTCAATTTCTAATAACAGTCGCTGTATAAACGGTTTTATAGATGTATCACGTCAAAGTTATAGTAGTTGTGAACTACTAAAATTGGCCAAGCCAGATCTCAAAACTAGATACTGCGTTCTTGTCATCTAGTAATATTTCTTTGTCACCATCGTCATAGTAACTTTGACATAAAGTTCTTCAAAATTGGTATGTTGAAAAACTAATTTTAGTAGGAGGAAAGCCAAAGGAATAGCTGACCTCCGAGTTAAAGTAACATGAGTAAACAGCAATGGGAACATGGCTAGCGCCTTGCTAGAAGAACTACCTATACCAATAGAATTACTAACCGAAATTTATAAGTATTTGCCGAGGCCTGACCGTATGTCCTGCTCCATGGTCTCGCAAAAATGGAAGGAAGCCCTAGACAGGAGAGATCTATGGAAAAATATAATCCTTCACATTGACAAGGACTTTTTGGGTAAGTACCTAGTACATTTGCGTGCCATTCTACCCTCAGTTCCTTGTATTTCCAGAACCCAGTACCATTTTGCTGACCAACGAGTACTACCGGCACATCAACTCTTTAGAAATTGGCTGGGAGAAGCCACAGATTCAGAATCGCTGGCTGCCCCTGAAGATACACGACTTGACCAAAAGAGTAGTTCGATATATGTTCATTTTAAATGAAAACGGTGTTCAGATAAAATCTTTCAAAATCTTTGAGTGGTATGACGTATATCCTTTAAAGAAAATCATTTACCATCTAGCGAGATTCCTCAGGTAAAAAAATACATGGTTGGTTTATAAAAAAGTATTAGTTCTAACTTAGCCGTAACTTAACCTTAATCTTAGTCCTAAAAAGTTAAATGTACAGAATGTAATGTATCGGTTTATAAAAATCTTAACCTTGCCCTAGTTCTATACATACATTTTGTACATTTAAATTTTTAGGACTAAGATTAAGGTTAAGTTACGGCTAAGTTAGGACTAATACTTTTTTATAAACCAACCATAAGGTTAAGTTACGGCTAGGTTAGGACTAATACTTTTTTATAAACCAACCAACAATTAATTCCCTTTTTTACCACATATAGAGGACTTGAGTAGACCTTTAAAATTTCCTTAATGATCCATTAATTAAACTCATTGTTTTTCTTCTGCATACTCATTAAACTATAATCTCACAATTACAAATATTATACAAAAAACATTTTTGTTAGGTTAGTTAAGGATTACCACTTGGTTAGTTCAGTTTGGTCAAATTGACCAAAATAGAAGTGACCGTGATTTGAACTAACTTTAGGTTAAAACAAAACACATCTACTCTATTTTAAATTTTGAGTTTTGACGTCTGTTCAATTTTAGTTTAATTAGCTTGTTGTTGTCAATCATACTGTGCCCAACATAATATGTTAGATATTATCTTCTTCGGATGAATCCATATCCATATCAACGACTTATTTTTATTATTTAGATTACGATTATTATTATTTATAGGTTATGTTTTGTTCGGTTATCTTGTTCACTTATAAGTAACCACGATATTAGGTTAGGTTAGATCGGCGAGGGGGGAACTGATTTTGATCATATTTTGGTTTGTTCACTTGTTTAAAAAAACGAACTTGGTCAGAACTCTACTGAAAGTGAATTAACCAAAGTGACCAGTGTGTAAAAATACAAAATGCAGTGGCTACCTTGTTTCAAAGAAAAATACTTCACTAAGCCAGATAATTAATTATATTATATTCATACCGAAGTTTAAGCATTCATAAACGATAGAAAAATAGTTTTTGCAGATGATAGAAACTCCTCCGCCATGTTTTAGAGAAGTAGATTTGAGAACGTGTTAAAAAAATATTACTTGTAGCCATATTAAAATATAATACATGGGTTATTATTTTTCAGAATACAAAATGGTCTAAAAAAAATAGTTTTCCACAACACAAATTTGCCCAAAACAGAATGCTTGAAAATCTTAGATGCTTGTTTAGCTTCAAAGCATTCAGTGGCCTATTTAGAAATTCATAATTATTTTTACAATTTCAATACGGCCTTCGACACAGTCGAGTTTTTGGGGTATTTGCAAGAATTCACTTACCTAAAAGAATTGAAAATGGATTACTTTATCTTTTGCGGGAGAAGAATCATCGATGTAATAGCCGAAAATGGGAAATCCCATTTGAAAAGTTTGGAGATATTTTTTGATGAAACTGACATGCACAGTCACATTATCCCCGATACGAAGTGGCGGAAACTGAAAAAGTGTTGTCCAAATTTGAAGGTGTCGATCACGATAAGTTGGTCTTTGGGTCTGTTTTTTTTACTTCTGTATTATAAAAGGTACATAATTTTCAGGAAATATTTGTCATTATGAACAAATTGAATTCATATTTCTGATGAAAAACATACCCCTTAGTTCCTTTTCCATGTATACAGGCAATAAATATAATCAGAGGGTTAGTAGAAATTTCGAAGAAACCTTAACGCAATTAATAAAAAATTATTATAGAACATTAGGTAACAAAATGAAGACTCTTTATTATGTGCTTTAAAACATGTTTACTACTTTCAGAATTTGTAAACTTGGAACTTAAAAATAACAAGGAGATCTTAGATAATCTTCTATTCCAAATTATAGACAAATGTCCCAAACTTAAAAAATTATTCTTCGATGGAAACGTAAATGTGGATATGAACTTGTTTCATGAAATATGTAAATACAAGCAAAGCGCGAAAGGTAAAAGTTTAGATTTCTAAATCGATATTATTTCGAGATTTAAGAGTTTATCTTCTTTGCCAAAAAAAAACTGAACTGATTTTATTTTTAGGTCTTTATGTAAAAATAATGCAAAGCAACTTTAAATACATGACCAATCTTGTACATATGTTTTCCTAGTCAAAGTGTAAAGCCTTGTTCCCTAATAAAATGTATAAACTTGTAGTATTGTTTAAATTTGTTTTATATAATAAAAAATATACTGTGTTATATATATATTTATACTACTCGGGTAACCTGAAATTTCTTGATCTAATTTGAACAGAGTAAAGTCAAGTAAACGCCTTGTAATAGGTTAGGTTGGCTACCTTGAAAATTTTGAAATTAAGAATATAGGTTATGTTATAATTTTTAAATATATACATACTATTTATTTAAAAATTATCAATGTTTGCGTATTAATGATAATCTGCTTTTAGCCAAACGTTTCGTTTTAAATTTTGACACAATTTATAATAATGAATTTTAAAAAATTTCAGTAGATTTCATTCAAAATATAAATGCCATGGTAACCGTAAAGCTTTAAGGTAAACAATAAGGAATTGTCAACCTATAAACCTTAAATGTGTGACACAAAATAATATCAAAGATCTCTCCCCAACGTTAAGAAATGGAAGATGACGTAGATAGTTTGGGGCCGGAAGATGCTGTAACACCTTTAGATGACAGTTCAGTAGTCGAATTAACAAAAAAAAGTCATGACTCCATTCCTCCTAATGCTTACCAAATTAAACCCTCGCTTCAGGAAAAGTACTTGTAACTTAGCTTCAAAAATAAGACTGTATGTTTTACAATTTTGTAGGTTTAAGGAAATGCCTGTTAAGGAGATAATAAGGAATGCGGTATCGATAACTTTAACAGGGAAGTCATACGAACCAGAACATGTCAAGAAATGGACTATATCCATTGCAAATGAAGTCAACGAAAGGGTAAAGGGTAAGTTTTAATATCAGTGTAAGGTATACCCTAAGTGTAAGTAAAAATATTATTAGAGTCATTCTAGAATTACAGATGAAGAGGTACAAGCATATCGTACAAGTAGTTATTGGAGAAATGAAAGGAGCTGGCGTGAAATCTGGGGTTAGATGCTTATGGGACTCTGACGTTGATGGCTACACTAGCGAAATTTTTATGAATGTAAGTATAGTTTATTTAAGAATGGAAAAGCAGTGCAAAAGTGACGAGATTTTTAAGAAATGTATTTTTTACAGGATACAATTTTCTGCCTTACAACGGTTTTTGCAATCTACTTATATTAATTATAAACTTACTAGTTCATACATGTACCATTATTTATTCAGTAGTTTAGAATTTATAGATATATTTCATTAAATAATAAGCATTTGTACGAACTGTTTTATTTAACACAAAAACGTCTTCCAAACTTACCTGTAATTAATTTGCAGTTGATTTATTACTTCAATACTAATTTAATATGTCGCAAAGATAAAATTCTCTTGACCACCTGATATTAGCCAGAAAGCTGAATCGATTCACCAAACCAACACAAAACAACTCCAAACTAATAGCTTGGGAACATTTTTAGGACCCCTTTATATAAAATAAACGTTATGCCGTGTAACACAGAAATAGCAACATTTAAAATTTTAACGATTTTTAAGCATAAGATATTGTTGCATATCCCTAAAATTCAATTTTCTGCTACAGTAATCCCACATGATTTTTTTTTTCGACAAATCTTAATTATAAACTACCATTTAATATGTATAAGAAATTTTAAACAGAAATGAAAAATACAGTTTATTGAGTTACCAAAAATTTAGTTCATTATGCACGATTCATACGTAGGTATCAAATATTTAATATTAATGAAGGCATCCTCTCCCCCGTAAGTTTCTAAAATTTCCAAAGTCTCGTTGATCAGATCTGCCAAATTGTCGCCTCTCATTTGGCTGTAATCAATTTCATCTCCGCAATTTACTACAAAAAAAAAATAGAAAGAATTTTTGTGTCAGATTAATTTTGGAACATTGTGAGTAAAAAGAAACGAAAAATTATTTCTGACTTACCATTTTTTTCTTTAAACAAATTTAGAACGGGCAAAATCTGCCGGTAGTATGGGACCAGTGCTTCCCCTATCATATCGCCCGATTTTATCAAGTGTTGCAGTACCCTTAGTGTGGTACACATAACTTCTTTGTTTTTCGTTTTCAGAGCATCTGGAAAACACATCAAAAAAAGTTTTATAATTCTATTTTATTTAGCATCGTCTTAAGAATCAATTCTGATAATTCAGAATCTTTAGATTGTCGCAAACTATTCGACACTGAAAGAAGTTTTTCTGTGTAAGTATACCTTTTATGGGAATAATCAATTGCGGAATGCAAGGAAATATCTTCGGTCCGCCGTGGGTCAACATATCGTGAATACCTTGCTGGGCGAATAATTTATATGGATTTTCCGTTTCACAGAGTCCTTCAAAGAACATGGGTAAGTAATAGTGGAAATCGAGTTTAGATATTTCTGCCTGAAACATATAATTCACTATTTATTCACTATTTGCTACATTAGCAAATGTTTTTCTTTTGTCTCTATTCTCTTTTACCTTCCAAGACACCTTTCCTCCCTTAGCCTCCATGGAGATGGGCAGGTTCCCCCGTAGATAGTTTTGCCGAAATTTCTTCTGTTTCGGAAACTCCTCTCTGTAAGCATTGCATTTGGGGGGAGGAACCACGCAGGTACCCTTTTGTAAAGCTTGTATCGTGAAAGCTGGTACCAGTCGACATCCTTTGGGTCTGCGACTGTTTGGTAGGGGTTTCCTCAGGTTCGATCTAAACTCCTTACCACTTACCATGGTGAATGTTCTTTATGGTGATGATGAAATGGTTTTGACGTATTGTAGAAAATGTCGAAGTGACCTACATAAGGATGATTTCTATGGTAACAAACAATGTTGTTAGATCAATGCCCAACAAAGTATAATTTATCAATTTTTTTGAAAAAGAAACATCTAATTGTTTCATGTAACATTATTAGAAGACAAATTGTAATTTTGGCAAGTTGTTCTTTCAACGAGCCTTGCTTTGTTTTATTTTACACTTTATGAGAAATTTCCATGTCTCTCCGTCAATTCATTATTTTTCTCTCGTTTTACATCAGTTTTCCATTTTTTTTTATCGGAAAGCAGTTATACATCATAAAATAAGGCAAAATTTAAATTTTATTACAACAAACCATATTTTGTCTAAATTTTATATGCATTTTTAAAAAGTAATACATACACCTTTAACTATTTGATTTCCAGATTGGTAATTTTTACTATCGATTTACTACAACTCAAACAAAACCACAACTTTCTTATTTCTTTATTAACATTGTATGTACACAATTTGATAGACACATTATGTCACGTTACACGGCCTAACTCAAAATTAGAACTTACAGAAATAAATATTGAAAATCGATCTTATTTATATTGTAATTAATTTAAACTGAATCGAATTAACCGACTATTAGTAAATCTTCACTTTGGAAAGTATGTTCTGGTACTTCTAGGTTCAGTGGAGCTGGACCTTTTCGAATACGTCCAGAGGCATCGTAATGGGATCCATGACAGGGGCAATAGTACCCCCCGAAGTCGCCAGCGTTGGCAATCGGTACACAACCCAAATGAGTGCAAACTCCCAGAACAATCAACCATTCAGGTTTCTGGACTCGTTCGTTGTCATGTTGGGGATCCCTCAAAGAAGTCACAGGAACTGACTGTTCTGCTTGTATCTCCTCTGACGTCCTATGTCGCACAAACAAGGGTTTTCCTGAAAAATTACCAAATATTACATACATCGAACCTATTTAACAATTACATCCTCTTTACCTCTCCATTTAAAGGTAATTGATTTTCCTTCTGGAATATCACTAAGTTTGATCTCGATCTTGGCCAAAGCCAATACGTCGGCTGACGCACTCATAGAACTGACAAACTGAGTTACTACTGCCTTTGCGGAATAAGCTGATCCCACACCCAAAGCACCAGCCATGATATAAGCGAAGTTCTTCCTAGCATCTTCAGAATCGGATGCCTTCGCTACTGGAGATTTCACACTGTCTCTACGGTAGTTGCCGAAATCTGGGACAGTAATATCTGTATGAGCCCATCTTACTTGAGTAGAAACAGCTGGTCCTGTAGTAATGGCAACATTGCCAGTAGGAAGGACTCGACTAAGAGCTAGGGCAGATGTACCAGTAAAGGGAACGTGAACAGTTGTTTTTGCTGGTAGAATAGCAATTTGCTTTCCGGTGTTTAACTGATTGCTTACTACTTGAGTTACGGCTCGAAAATAATTGGGGACGTTTGCTGGCTTAAGCATTTTGCTGCTTTTGATCGGTTAAATATTATTATGCAACAAATTGGTAGGGCACTTCGTTCGGCAACTGATACCTTTCTAACCTTACGTCAAGATTCAGTGCTGCCAATATGGCAATACTAAATAACCTAGGGACTATAAAACAATGATAATATACATCAACTAATGTACGTTCATAGAAATAACAATACAATATTTCAGTCAACGTAATGTATTTTAAATTCACTAATTTCATTGTAAGATGTAATCAATAGTAAACCTATGATAGCAAACAAACAGGCAATATTCAGGAGATGAAGAAGAAATATCTGACCTACTTCACATCTACTTCATTTGCTCCACCACTACTACCGCGTACCAGGCCTACGACAACGTGGCTGTCAAAATGTCATCATTTTTGACAGGTTGTTCTCGGATTTTGAGGACCACGATACGATTCTTTTTATATTTTAGCCGGGCGGGCAGTTTCAGTTTAGAAAAAAATGGCTCAAAACGAGGAAGAAACTATAGCTGCTTTTAAAACTCTGGGCTTAAGTGATCAAAAAGCAAAAGAGACCCTTAAAAATACATCAGTTACCAAAACTTTACTTACGGTTTTAAACGAGGTATGTAATTGAACAAAATATTGCACCAGTACAAATTCATAAATTTATTCTATTAGGTACGAGGGGTAAAATTATCGGAAGGACAAGGAGTCCTTTTGTACCACCTTGCCACCAAAATAAAACCTCAAATAGATCATCATCTTCCATTATTAGTTAAGTATATAGCAACGAATAAATTAGATTCGACTTTACGGGTTGATAAAGCTATAGAGTTTGCTTTGTCTCATATAAAAAATATAAGTACTAATGAACTGGAAAAATTCTGTGGTGTCGGTATAGTTGTTTCGCCAGAAGAAATAGAGAAAGTAGTAGAAAAATTAATAGCAGAAAATAAAGTTGATTTATTGGAGAAAAGGTATAGATTCAATACTGGACCTCTCATGCAAAAAGTAAGAGCAGAATTACCATGGGCTGATGGGAAAGCTATTAAAAGCGAAATAGATATTCAGGTAAATACCGAACAATATTTAAAACTAACAGCTGGTGAGAAAAATGAACAATTTGTTGTAGGTTTTCGATCTGTTAGGACCAAAAACTGAAGAAGATTTAGCGCCAGTAACTAAGACGGATAAGAAAACTACAAAAACAGCAAAAAGTGATAATAAAGTAAAAGGTGATATCAAGAAAACTGAACAATCAGGAGGTGAGATTTATATAATAATATATGTTATGTTTTTATCTTGCTTTCTATTACAGATGTTCCGACTCAGGGTTTGACGATACTTGAGGTCATGAAAAAAGTAAACTTCCATGCTCCGGGGGAGAACTATAAGACGGATGGATATGTTGTAACGGAACATACTCGCAAGTTACTTCAGGAGCATTTAAGAGCTACTGGGGGAAAGGTATAACATTTTTCAGAACAAAAATATTGCATTTTTATGTGTTTCTTTATTTATTGTGAATGAATATCCGGAAATCGAATTGCTGCAGGTAAGAACAAGATTTCCTCCGGAACCGAACGGAATTTTGCACATTGGTCACGCAAAGGCTATTAATATAAATTTTGGTTATGCTGCGGCTAATGGCGGGATCTGTTTCCTAAGATATGATGATACTAATCCGGAAAAAGAAGAGGAAAAATTTTTCACTGGCATTAAAGATATGGTTACGTGGTTAGGTAAAAATTTGACTTATTAATATCTTCATAAATTCAAGTCAATAAGGTGTCTTCAGTACTATAATAATAACATTCTAAGGTTATCTGTTGCTTAAGGTTAATTAGTCTTGAACAGTTTATCTCCTATAATTGAAATAAATAATTTTGTCAAGAATACGTAATGCATAAACAATTTTTAATCACATTTATTTCCCAGGATATGTTCCTTATAAGATCACGCATTCTTCCGATTACTTTGACCAGTTGTACGAGTGGGCGGTGGAGTTGATAAAAAAGGGTTTGGCGTATGTTTGCCACCAAACGGCAGATGAAATGAAGGGCTTCAATCCGCAGCCGTCACCCTGGCGGGATCGTCCAGTAGCCGAGAATCTACAACTGTTTGAGGTTAAAAAATTGCACTCCTTTGAGTATATTTATAGGTTTTAACAAGGTCTTTCGTCTTCAGGATATGAAAAACGGCAAAATTGACGAAGGCGCCGCAACGTTGAGGATGAAAGTCACCTTAGAGGAAGGAAAACTGGATCCTGTCGCGTACAGGGTGCGGTTTACTCCTCATCACCGCACCGGGGACAGATGGTGCATCTACCCCACGTACGATTACACCCACTGCCTCTGCGATAGTCGCGAAAACATCTCCCATTCGCTCTGCACTAAGGAATTTCAATCCAGGTATTAAGACTGTCTTTAAATTTCCAAACTGTTTCACATATTTTTTTCAAAGGCGTTCCAGTTATTATTGGCTATGCAACGCCCTCAACATCTATTGCCCCGTCCAGTGGGAGTATGGTAGGCTGAACGTTAACTACACAGTGGTCTCGAAGAGGAAAATCGCTAAGCTAATAGACGAGGGCATAGTTAAAAGTAAGAAAATTAATATGCTTCATTTAAAATGTTGTTCCTTTTTAATTTGGTCTATGTTTGATATAGATTGGGACGATCCCAGACTGTTCACGTTGACCGCTTTGAGGAGACGGGGTTTCCCGCCGGATGCCATAAATAATTTCTGTGCCCAACTGGGCGTCACCGGAGCCCAAAGCACTGTCGATCCCTCCATGCTGGAAGCTTTTGTGAGAGATCACTTGAATAATAGCGCACCGAGGTAAGGTTTACGGAATCGTAAATTAGAAGAAAACTGACTTTGAAAATGGGAAAGTTTATATTAATTTAGTGGTTTTCTGTTAATTTTAGACGTATGGTAGTTTTAGAACCGTTAAAGATCATGATTGAAAACTACCCCCATAAAGGTCCCATCAAAGTGTCGGTGCCAAATTTTCCCAGCAAGCCCGATTTAGGAAATCACGACGTTACTTTTAATAAAGTCTTATACATCGAAGAAACCGACTTTATGGAGGTATTTTAATTATATAATAACAATTTTAAATATACCCGCCATAATTTTGATTTTAGAAAGGTGACAAAGGGTACCGCCGATTAACCAGAACCCAATCTGTAGGTTTGCGTCACGCTGGATTTGTGTTAGAAGTTAAAGACGTGAAAAAAGACGCTTCCAATCAAGTTACCGAAGTTATTTGCCGCTGCGTTGAGGTTGAGAAAGTTCCGGCTAAACCTAAGGCTTTTATTCACTGGGTTAGTGATCCTGAGGAAGTCGAAGTTCGACTCTATTCATCTTTGTAAGTTGTAGTTTTAAATTATTTGTTTGTCTTTATTAGATTCATAATTTAGGTTCAAACATAAAAATCCTGAAGATTCTAATGAAGTGCCTGGAGGATTTCTAACGGATTGCAATCTCGACTCTCTGAAAGTTTTAAGAAGCTTCGCCGATAAGTCTATTGGTACCGCGAAGGTCTTCGACAAGTTCCAGTTTGAGAGGATTGGATTTTTTTCTGTGGATCCGGATTCTCGTAATAACAAGGTAATGACGAATATATTTTTAAAATTGATTGTATGTATTTATGTATTTTATCTACCCATTTACTTATTGTATTGTTTTCTTTGTAGCTGGTTTTCAATCAGACTGTCGGTCTCAAAGAGGATGCTGGAAAGTAGCAGTTTACCATTTTTTAATTTATTATGAGATTTGTGTGTTGCTTTTACTAATAAATTTATATCGTTTTATATCCAGAGAATTATTGTCTTTTTTTAAATCTCATTTGCTGTTTAAAATATCTATAATAAAAATAAAAAATTTAATATTTTTCAAAATTGATACATTTTTATAATTTTTTGTAATGAAACTCTGAAAAATGCAAAATAAAATTGTTTACCCCCAATTTTGGGAGGTGCTGAACACAATTCAGAAGTTATTCTTGTGCGGTTGAACCTAAAGTAGTCAACGTTGTATTAAACCAGATTGAACTTTATTTTTGTAACTAATTTTTGATATAGTCTCTTTTGAACTACTCTATACTACTACAAATATATAGGGGAAGTACACAACCAATAAGTTTATATTTTTATATATACAGTGTGTCCCACTTAAGCATTAGCCACCCATGTAAAATTGTTATTTGTTTCAACTTTTTTTTGTTTGATAGATCTCAGAAAAATGAGTAGAATGTATAATTACGGTATTTTCGTGATCTAAGCCATAGCCAACTGAGACGCGTTTTATAGGAAGAAAAAACGAGAAGTAATATTAGCGATTTTTGTTCGACAAAAATTGCAACGGATTCTTATTCAGGTTGCAATTTTTGTCGAAAAAAAATCGCTGATATTACTTCTCGTTTTTCCTCCTATAAAACGCGTCTCGGTTGGCCATGGCTTAGACCACAAAAATACCTAAATTATACATTCTACTTCTTTTTCTGAGATCTATCAAACAAAAAAAAGTTGAAACAAATCGGTCAATAAATAACAATTTTACATGGATGGCTAATGCTTAAGTGGGACACACTGTATAAAAATTTATACTCTAATTGACACATCTATTACAATTGATGTGTCTCATCCACATACTTCTTGTATAGAAGTATGTGGTCATCTCATTTTATGTTTAAAAAAAAACTAAATTTTAAAGTGAAGTTACAGTAGTTCATTTGCATTTCTGTAACTAGGATCGTTACAGGGATGGTTCCAGAATTATTTAATTTAGGTACCATTTCTATAAATATGTTACAAGTTAATCGTAGTTTACAAAGTTTAGAGAAACGCAAAATCGCTCCTTTAGTTTATATGTAATTTAAATTTATCAGTGGATACAGTGCGTTTAAAAAGTAGGGCCTTATTTTTTTAATAATACACTGCTTAAATGAACTACTGAACTGTATTTCTTTACGTGATGACATCCCGACAATGATAAATCAAAATTGTGCAAATTCAGCCAAAACATTATAATTCTATTTAATTCCAGCTGGTAATTATTTGTTTTTAAAAATGTTTTTTTTATCGATATAATTTTATAGCCTGATAGTAGTTCATTCATAAGCTTTTACATTGATAGAGTTGACCAGGAAGACTGTGTAGTCTCCATGTAGTTGACGGCCCCACACATAAACATGACACTACCCCCGGGGTTTACACAGACGAGCCGGCGAAGCAAGAAGAGCGCCAGAAGAAAGGGCCCTAGCCGGCGGGGCCCAGCCAGGACAAAAGGAGGTCCCACAAAGCGCCTACACCGGCCGCATTTGCGGTCGGGGTAGACGACGGATGGGGCCCACCTACGAAGGCTGTCCAGGCCTACACGAGATGAGGCAGGATAAAGAGGGATAATCCCCCTCAATCCCAAATCATTGAGGCCAATTTCTAGCCATAGAATAATGGCGAGTTGACGGCCGACTTTTTAGCCACATATCTAACCCTTCAGCTAAGTTCTTTTGGTTATGATCTTTTAAAACTGAAATTAGGACATCCGATTGGCTGATTTAAGAAATCCGCCTTAGTGTATTTCATACAACCAATCATCTGCTTTGTTTTATGGTTATTTATTGAAAATCACTAGCGAAAGAATTTGACGCAAACTCTGATGTAATCAGAGTAATCTGTTTAGAGTTTTGACGTTTTTCATTTCATTTACCACCTACCTACAGAAAACCACCACGTAAGTTTTTGTTCTGTGCTGTGAATTTATTAATAAATATATTACTCATACTCACTATTACGTTACGAACTATTTTTTTATCCATCCGCTTGTCATTCTTTTTCAGATATAAATAGCTGGACCACATCAGAGGTTCCCCAGATCTAAATTTAATAGCTGTCAAATTGTGGAAAAAGTGCGTTGGTTGCCAAAGTTTAACCTAATTTGGACAAAATGAGTTTACAGTGGACTTTAATAGCTGGATTTCTCTACGTGGAGATTGGCATCGTACTTCTTTTGGTGCTTCCAGTCGCGAGTCCAAGAAGATGGAATTCCCTGTTCAAGTCCAAGTTCCTGCAGGGCTTACAGCGACAAGCCGGAGTTTATTTCATGATCCTGCTGGCGGTACTGGTACTGTTCCTCCTCGACGCTATTAGAGAGATGAGGAAGTACTCCAATCCTGGCAAGTATAAACAAAAAATAAAATCTTATTTGCTTACATTTTTTTTTCTCCAAATTCCTAGATACTGATGACCATGCTCACTTGGACCGTGAAATGCAAGGGAGCATGAGATTGTTCAGAGCCCAACGCAACTTCTATATATCCGGGTTTGCTCTGTTTCTGTCCCTGGTCATCAGACGACTCGTCATACTGATTTCTGCACAGGCGACCCTTCAGGCTCAATCGGAGGCGTCTATGAGGCAGGCCCAAAGTGCTACTACCGCGGCTAAGAGTCTTCTTGCCCAGCGAGGTGAAATCGAACAGAATGATAGCAACGAAGCTCACGATAAGGAGGTAAGTGTAGTTTCAATGCAGCATTTTATATGTGTACATCATCGTTGTTCTTGTCATGTCATATTTGATTTACCAACATCTGATAATACTTGTGATCAACCCATGAATCATCTTATTATTATTTTAAGTCTAAATATTTCATCATTGGATCTTTTGTTTACAAATCGATTAAAATTTTCTTCAGTTTACGATACAGCACTCCAGCATAGAAATATTTTTTGATTAAAACAATTATCAGTTTAAACATACATATTTCTTGTAAATTTTCTTTTAAATATCGACCATTATATTACACAAGTTTCGAAATTTATAAAAATTCAATTCATATTCAAACATTAACAAAATGGGAAAAAGGAAACAAAGTGTGAAATTAATGGCAATATTTTTGTCTCCTACTTAAGATTTTCTTGTTATATACTAATACAGGGTGGCCACGAATTATGAAAAAAAAAAAAGTAATTCCATCCATAAAAATAATAAGTTTCCGAGAAAAAGCCTGAAAAACTGAACTGAAAGAAATTGTGGTGAAATATTAAAATTTTGAAAATGTAAGAATTTATAAAAAATTTTATAGGTACAATCGCCCTTAACCTTCAAATTTTTTGTTCGTAATTTCTACACATCCAGTACAATTTACTTCATATAATTATTTGTTAACTGTTGTTAACCTTGTTTTATATTCTGATATTCATGAAACGTCTATATTTAATATGACGTAATTATAAATGACCTAGTAATTAATTTTTTATAGCTCGCTTGACAAATAAATGTTTTTAGCTTCATGGGCAAGTGAAGGCTATTTAATATTTCTGCAAGCGATCGTTGCTTTAAGGATCCTCCACACAGGCGCGAACTATACGATACCGCAGCGGACTAAAAAACGTAGCGGTATATGCACCTGTTCATACCGATAAGCGCTGATACTGTTATAGTCGTGGTAGTACAGTGCTTGCAGCTGCATGCACGGTTTTTTCCCTACCGTTTTAGTTTTGCAGTGCAAAGTTAAAAGAGATCGCGATAATTTTGTATGGTGATAAATGCGTTTCAACCTATTTTGTGACCCCAAAGTCGTTGTTAGCTATAAATTCTAAAAGATGATATTTAACTTTTAAATTATTTGCGCAAGTGGCAAAATACCCGATAAATTAGGAATTACGAGAAAACTAAAAATATTTTTCTTAAGAATTTTAATTTATGATAAATAGATGCTGACAAATCAAAGCAGTATTTTATGATAAATCGTATACGAAAAATGTGTGAACTTGAAATTTTGCTTCCGCCTTTCTTGCAAGTTACTGCGAAAAGTTTGCTGCGTCAAAGCTTTGCGCCGGTGTGGGGATCCTTTAATAGATTTACGGTACCATCAGCATTGACACCTTACCTTGTTGTGAAGTACCAGCAAGGATCACCTTTATATTCCAATATTTGCGGTTATTTACAATTTTTTGCAATTTTTACCAGATTACGGCACTGAAGAACAAAATAACCGAGCTGGAGGACGAATTGAAGTTGGAGAAGAAGGACAAGAGCGCGGTCAAGCAGCAGGCGGAGAATCTGGCCAAGGAGTACGACCGTCTAGCCGAAGAGCACAGCAAGCTGCAGAAGAAGATCACGATCGGCGGTGTGGGCGACAAAAAGGACGAGTAGATACGTGTTTTCACCCCCCCGTTTTGTATTACGTCAAATATATTACACTGTAACCAATATTAAGGCTTTAAGGCTGATTAGATATCTATTTATGGAACGGTGTGGATTAATTTTCGGGAGTTACAATAAGATAGCCGTTCCAAGGGGTTTGATACAGTAGCTTGGCACATTTAGCATCTTTTACTACTCGTATTGTACTAACGCTAGGGCACAGATTCTAAAAGTGTGAAGACTATTAGCTTGTCGGATATTTTAATATTTGTAAATGATATAAGTTATATTGTTAATAAAATAATATTCTAAATATTAAACTCGCTTATTACATAAGCCGAATTTAGAAGGTCGCTATTGTATGTTTGTTACATAAAAAAATACATGTTAAACGATAACCCTCATCTAATTTCCTTGTGTACATTTAGATGTTTTTTTGACGCTGTATTATTTGCTCCCGATTCTGTTGTAACTTGTAATTATCCCATTTTTATATTATTTCTTAATGTTAATGTTTCTTATTGGTATTGTTTTGTTAAATAAATACTTTTAGTAGAAATATTTTTTTCCTCATCGATGAAATTAATCTCCATTTCCTTCAGAAAAATGGAAATTTTAATACTATAATAAGAATTTTGTGTTTCGTTCCCAACTTGTACAAAAGAACAATAAATTTGAACTCGCTTCACTGTGCAATGCGTGTAAATCTGCAAAAAGGGATCCATTGCGCTCCAAGTACGTTAACTCGTATGTAACTTTGAAATTAAATTGGAACGCATTACCCCATCCCAAATATCTTATAACGGAACCGTTCTCCCGACTCCCAGAACTTTCGTCAAGTATTCTTTTTTAATCATAAATAGACTATTCATTTTTTTTTTATTTTGGTTTTCCCTACAAAAATAGTTCATATAATCGCTCTATACACCTGACCTGTGGATACAGTCGAAGGCGAAGCGTGAGAAAACCTCACTGCCACCAAAAACTGACGGAAAAACTTTTATCTAACGCTGTAACATGGTGCCACCACTTCATCGGTATGAACAGCATCTCTCCAGGCTCTAAAAGGCACTTGTACATTTTGCACTTGACAAATTCAGGATACCTCTGCAAATCCGGAGCAAGGGGGTCCACCTGAGCTGTATTACACAGTAACTTGCTGTCGTGTGGGTACAGGTAAGGGGAGTCGCTCTGTGAAAACAGAAGAAGCTGCTTTGTGCCGTAAACCTGCAAAAACGAATCAAATTTGGATAAAATTCCATGTAAAGTTTCAGAAGAATCTGCGAGTAACACTCTGACCTACTTATTTCTAACGCATACCTGTGCTAGAATATTATTTTTGGGATCGTAATGCAACGGAGACACGGTGCCTCGAGGACCGAACCATGCATTTATATCTGGTTCTGTAATATTCTCGTAGTCTCCGCTTACACAGCAATACTCTGGTATGCAAATATCGTCTTTAAGCTCTGTTATCTAATAAAAAATTCAAATTTCAAATGACGAATGAGGTTGGAATATCTATATTACCTGTTCAAACAAATTATGCTGGGCCAAATATCCAATATCAGCGGTATATCCTAAATAGTGCTTGTAAATGAAATCCTTCAGCGTCATTAGTTTTTGCGACCAATTTTCATCGGCATAGTGGGACCCTATTTCTATCGGAACAGTACGGTCACCTGCTATGCGTAACAAATAATTCACATCCATCCATTTTCTAGTTGCAGGCCAATGCTCCATACAACCTGAAATGTTACTAGTAGAAAGATATAATTCCAACTACTATAAATTACCTTTTAATTTAACAGGTATCTGTGTGGAAAAGTACCTCGTATGAAAATACTCTAATGAGGGGCATTCCACACCATCGATTTCGATAGCATTTAGTTTTTCAAAACGTGATCTGTAGTAATCACAAAATTTTCTCTTACCAGGCTCCGAGCTTTCAATTTTTTGACTTTCACACAAATGTTCAGACACCTTAGTTATTAGTTCAGATATATATTTAGCTGCTGTTGTTAACAGCTCAAAATTGTCTCTCAAAGGTGCACCCAATAGAAGTCCCATATCGAGACATTTTACACATTTTCTTAAAAGTTCTAAATCGAAAGATTCTGCAGATTTTAAGATAATTAAACATTTTATGAAACTGGCTGAGGTGAAACAATGTCTGATGTGAATTGGGACTTCGCTCCAGTGGCCTGTATTTAATTCATCTTGTAAATAATCTAACACACTTTCTATTTCAAACGATTTCTTTTCATCTTTTCCAGTTTTTAACGAGTAGGAAAAACAATCTTGTAATATTTTAATCACTTCCGAATTTATATTTCTAAATGTAACTAATTCGTCCTCAGATATTATGAATTTTTTTAACGTTTTTGATAAATCTTCAATTTTATTATAATTCATAATAGATCGTTTGACCCAAAATAGTTCTAATATATCAAATACAATAACATGACATAACCTTGCTTCTGCATTGAATATGATTTATGATTGTATGATGAAAAACGCTTTATAAAAACTAGGTATACTGCAATTAGTACCGATGCTACAGCATATTATTAAACTCAATTAACAACTAAAAATAAAATACAATAAGGTTAAACAGTTACATCGTGTTACCAGAGGAGACGTCGCCATTTTCTGGCCTGAGGTGCCTAACTAAAATAAAGAAAAGACTGTGATTCGCGGAATTTCGTTACAAGTCAGATTACAAACGGAATTTAGAACGGATCATTTCATCGATTTTGTCCAATGAAACTAATGATAGAATGGTTTGATTTATTCAGTGAAAACCAGACTTGTTGAAAATATAAATATCAGTACTAGCACAGAGCACTGTTAATTATGTTAAGTTGAAGGTAAACAGTCAACTTTCAATGTTTTCCATCTTTCTGTATTACGCCCATATAAGGTGAATCAGTGAATCAAAAAAATTGTGTAGTATTTTATACGACACATTAACACTGAACTTATATTGTGTAGTGATTTTAATATTTATGATACTGTTTAAGGAAGGCGAATGGACTGGCAATTAAGTATACAAATATATTTACAAATATATAAACTCGAAGCAAATTCGTAATGAGTGATTTCAAACCCAGATTCTTGAAGCCTACAGAGTCGTCGAGCTACCTAGACAAAAACGAATCCAATGCCATAGAAACAACAGATTTTATATATAATAAGCATTTATCACAGTCTATACAGACTCAGAAACAGAGATTACCCATTTTTAATAACAGAAATCACATACTTTACCTTTTGGAAAAATATCAGACACTGGTTCTTATCGGAGAGACGGGCTCCGGGAAAAGCACCCAAATTCCACAGGTAAATATTGTTAATTTACTTAAAACGTATATTTTTACCCTAAATAAAATTTTATTTTGATAAAAATTTAACTTTAATTCTAGTAGGTACCTATATAAAAAGATTTTATCAACATAAATTTTTTTCTTAAATTCTTTGTAACGACTTATTTTATGCAGGAGGACTTAAAGTAATAGTACAAATCCTATAATTGCGGTAAAAATATAATATATCAATAATTCATCTATAAACCACCATAAATGACTATTAAGATAAGCAGTTTTATCTTTTTAATTAAAATCTATATGTTATAAAGCGTGTACATACATAAATCAAAATTAATTATATTTATTTTTTTTTATAAGTAAATACTTTTACTGTATGCAAATAATTTATTTAATAGTAGTATTACATTTTACTATTAGGGGGATACCTACCTGTTTTGAAAGAGTGTCACAATTCATGTTGTGTTATCTAATCTTATTTAATCTGGTTGTAAAAATCCGTATCTCGTAAGTTTCATTTCTTATTAATACCAGGTATAAAAAATCAATTCTAATCTATCAAATCCGTATGGTTAATAAGAATTATTTGTATCACCAGAAAAGCAATAGGTGGCAAGGATGAAAGCTAAATAATTTAAAAGTAAGAAGTCTTGTATTACTTGTTCAAGTTAATTCTTATAGAAGCATATTTTTATATAAGCATCGAACATCATTCTAACTTTTACTCATTTTAGGGATCACTTCGCATCCCCAACTAGGCTGTCGTTTAGCTGAGTCTTTGGGGCCCCCAAATTTTTGCCATCGTTATTTGCAACTTTCAATACACACATTTAACATTCAAGACTGATAACTGTCAAGTAATCAAATTTTATTTCGCCTAAAGATATATGAAAGAGAAAATGATAGGGCCTTCTTCGCAGATAAGCAAGCTGCTGTTGACCTTGCTCGTCCTAGTGATAGTCTTTTATGTATATATGGATTTTAATCTCTACATTAGGATACACAACTACCCCTTAGATAACGACGACAATAACACAGTGAACTACAAGGAGATCACCTGGGTGAGTTGCCACATCAATCCTCTCTGTGATGTCACCGTTAAAGCGGTCCTTCTTGACCACACTAACTACTACCTGTTCGCACCTCTAGTCCAAATAGTCGACGATTTGCTGAAGATAAGTGACACCAAATGGATAACACCGAACTCTATCAGTTTTTTCCATATCTTGGTAGCCATCCTGAGCGCCAAATGCATCTCGAGCAATAACCTGGCCTACAGACGCATCGGCGTCGTGTTGTTCGAATTTAGGACCTGGCTGGACGATTTGGATGGACACGTGGCTAGGGTACGGAAGCACATTAAGGGAGAGCGGTCCGAAATAGGTACGGCTGGTTACTACATCGACGGAATATGTGACGCTGTAGGATGTACTGCCTTGATAATAGGTATATTTATTTTCCTTAAAAATAATCCACCGAGGCGAGGATACGTCCAACTTCCCACTACAGTCGATGGTAAAGAAGCGAATACAAACACGAACGTTTATAATTTGAAGGTGACGACGAAGAAAGTTGTCAGAAAAGTCTGTTGTTTTTCCTTGCAACTTATAATCAGTTCCACTGCATGGAACCGTTACATAGCTATATATCAGGATTTATTGGAAAGGACCGATGTGAAACCCATGGAGATGATCAGGCAAAATGAGGTGTTCAAGAGCTCTTTCTTCTTCATGATAACATGGTTGTGGAGGGTCAGCAACGTGCATAACTTGACCCACTTGCTGCTCTTGTCGATATTTTGTGATAAATTATGGGAATTCTTTAAGAATATCCAGTATATCGGGTACGGTGTATTGCTGTCCGTGATATGCATCACAGAGATCAACATTATTGACGTTAAAAGTTTCATTTATCATAAATTAAATGGTAACAGTACTAAATGAGTTTATAGTTAGCTAGGATACGAATTACAAGTTTGTTATCGGGATGTTGATTAAGCTCTCGCTGTTTTTTCGTCAAAAATTAATACTTTAACAGAATTAGTAAATGCATGTCACTGAAAAAGGATTGTCCATCACTAGCCATTACTTTTTCCGATCCTTCTGGCGTTGGGAAAACACCACATCATTTGAAGCCCTCCAAGAGTCGACCCATTTTTGGCATCTTAATAGGAATGGAAGTGCTGCTCAATAGGCCAAGTGCCATCGATCGGAACAAGTTATAATCGGAAGGGCAAATGTCTGGTGAATATGGTGGGTGGGGTTTAAGCATTTCCAAGTAGGTTTTCACGGTTTTACAAGTGGCAAAATCACTTTGTCATGTCTCTGCTTGTATAGCGGTTAATTTTCCTTCAATGCTCGGATCAAACGCATCAATTGTAGTTGATAGCGATCTCCCATAATGGTTTCATTCGGTTTGAGCGGCTCCTAATAAACTACACCCGGAACAGAAGCTTGGAACCCTGGATATTCTGCTTTGTCGACGAGCTTGACACACGACTGAGCTTACCCCATGGTTATCTACAATTAGAATTATCGTAGCTAACCATTTTCCATCACCAGTCACGATATGATGCAAAAAACGTTTCCTTTTCTGCTGTCGAAGCAGCTGTTCCCATCTGCAAAGACGGTATTCGATGTCTGTCGGCTTCGGCTTCGGCTTATTATTATTATTATTATTATTATTATTATTATTATTATTGTTATTATTATTATTATTATAACTCCTAATGATTCTTCATCTTCAAACTGTTTCTTTATCTTCAACATCGAAATCATTGTTTTTGAAGTGTCTAAACCAATCTCTACATGTTTGCGACAGAGCATGGTCGACCTAATTCTCAACAAGAATTCTGTGTGCTTCAGTTGCATATTTCTTTTGAATAAAGTAATGCTGTAAAATTCCCACAAATACTCTTTTTTCGGCATGTTTAACAATATGAAAAAAAAAGTAGTTTACACTTATGTGAAATAACACACTCAATTTCAAGCTTGTTTGTAGTACTTCTTTGTAGGTGCGTTACCAATCATAAACTACACTCTTGCAGTCCTGGTAATGCCATCTGTTGGAAAAGAGCGAGAACTTATTCAAAGTCCCTATATTTTTTTGTGTGATATTTTTAGTAGTTGAATTGTATAAACTTTGTCTATAGTAGTATTTTTACACAAACGGAGAATATGGAAAGTCGAATCGGTAAGTGAGAAATAAATATTTATCTGACAGATTTGAGATTGAATATACTGCGTTTCTGCAAATTTTTGTTACAATAAACTCGTCGCTATTTAATTTCGAAAGCGGTCGTTAGAGAATTTATATCTTAGATTTTTTATAAGGCAAAAGAAAGAAGAAAAACTACCTCATAATTTACCTTACAAAATTTTATTTTTGTACAATGTCCTTAATAAGTTGTCGCAGTTAGTAAACATCACGTTACTTTCCAGTGTTTTATTTTATTGTTTCAGCAAGTTACACGAATAATTGGAGTACCTAAGTTATATTAATTTGAAATCATAAGAGAAATGTTCTTATTGCTTTCCCCGGTATCGTAGATAACAAACTTGTCTTATTAAGTTTATAAAAAACATGAACATTAATTTTTTGTAGTTATAATAAAGTGGGAAATAAAATATGTACAGGTTGTCCCGGTTTATAGCTGTACAGGTTATAAACATAAAGTATTTTTCGTTAAATAGAGGCACTAATGATAATGATTGAGATCTATGACTTCCTGAAATTTGCAAATCCCAAGTATCAATTTTGGAAAAATTTTTAATTAAAGGTAAAACAAAAAAAAGAATTATGTTGATTATGTTAATTCAGAAAAAATTAAATAATTGAAAATGTAACAGAAATTTAAAAATTTAGATACACAATGTAAAAATAAATCCCTAATAGTTTGCATGGGGGCGTTTTGAGGGATATAAAATATTAGCAATATATTTGGGATTAAAAAATTGCTACTTTAGTTTGTAAAAATTGACATCTAAAAAGATCATAGCAGGTTTTCTTTGTTTTTTACACTGCTGTATTGGGACAACTTACATGTATTTTCCCGTGATGACATTCATTTAGAAAACTCCTACCGACAAGATAAACTACTTGGTTGCTAACCGAAGAATTTTGATAAGCGCAAGTTTGAGATTTTCGGAATTATAGTTAACACGTGCAACCTTCGCAGAAGATTAGTCTGTCTAGATTAAGGATTAAGATTTTTTATTAAATAGTTGATGTGGTCCTGATATTTCCATTTTTGGACGTTTATATTATTTCTCGGCAACATCCCTTGCCATTTTAAAAATAACTTAATACCGAGTAGTTTATTTCGTAAGTTCAGACTTATTATTTATTGCCTTAGCTCTAAAGGTATTTATTACTATTGTATATTATAGCAATTAAAAAAATATTTATATATATGAATATATTTTTGTAACACTAGTCTTCTTAAAACTGAATTTTCTCTCTATTTTGGGCGAAAAGTGTGCGGGTGATAATTTTATAATATTTAAGGATTATTTTATATTTATTAAGTAACGATACTTTATGGTTATTGGTTTTCGATTTGTTAAAATTTGGTGTATAGCCCTTGAAATGCTGGTGCAAGGGTCCAACGTTAACGTCCAAGCTCTTTCACAAACCTGGACCGATGCACCAAAGCCATCGTCAGTTAACGTAAACGTACAGTAATGTCTTCGATTAGTTAAATCTTATCTAACTTTTCTTGTTGGTTTGTCAGTTTGTCACCAAAACCACGTATTTGTGTACACTAATGAATTTGGACAAAATTAATAGCTTTCCTTATAGTTAAATGATGAATTAGTGCGGTTTTTGTGACTGATTTGATGGTCAAATAATTTTAAATGTACTTATTATGAAATTTTGTTTTCTAAATTAATAATGTTCAAGCACTAAATTCAATATTCCACAAGCATAAACGAACAAAATAAATTATAAAAACAACTAAATTCTTATGATGCAATAATACTTGACCCAGTGTCCTAATACAGGAATATGTTAGTAGTATTTTATATAATGAGATTATTTTATTCCAGTTTTGCTTTTTGCATTTTAATTTCTATTTAATAGTATATATAGTCCTTTCTTCTATTTTCTTCTTCTTCCATAGTATTTTAAATTTTAATGTAATATACTGCGTATTATTTTATTTCTACTCTCCTTTCACGCAAAATCAATGTTGTTTTTCTTCGGTGATGACAAAAAAAATATAGACTTCTAGTATATAAGCAAGCTTTTTATTTTATATAAAATGTTATTTTTTATATGTAGGTATTAATTCCTATGTTTTTAATATTGTTTTTGCTATTATCGCCACTGCCAAAGAGAAGTCAGTTTACGGCCTCCCTCCTTGACAGATACATGGTTTTGTTGGTACATATTTTACGGCGCAATTTAATTTTTTATGTAACGTTTGTCTAAGTCAATGTTTTTTTTATTATTTATATATATAAAATGTTATTGTATTAATACTGTCTATAAATAGAAATTGTTATGAGTATACGCAAAAACTTGAATGGTGTTTGAGAGCTTATAATAAACATGCTTATTATTTGATCACGGCATTTCATTTCGAACCTGTCATCCCTATCTTCCCGTAGTATCTAACAGAAGCCGGATGGCCTGCTCAGGTGGGGATCTGCGAACCGAGAAGGATCGCGGCCATTTCTCTGGCGAACAGAGTGGCAGACGAGACTGGTACTCTAGTACAACAGGACATGGTGGGATACGCGGTGCGATTTGACGCCTGCTATAATAAGCCAAAAATAAAGGTAATTAACAATATGACTAACTTCTAGGACTGATTCCTGTTGTCAGAACACAAAAGAACAAGACCAACATTTTCTCCTAAACCAGATCATGCCAATTTTAAAGTAAATGTTCCTTTGGTGGATAGGCGATAGTGACTAAAAAGTCGTAAAATTTCAAGAAAACGTCTAGAAAGTCAAACAAAATTTAATTCGACACAACTTCGGAAAGTGCTTTACTACATTTCACATTCAAAATAAAGTCCTCTATCAACCATTAAAGTTGGTATGTTTAAAAAGGAACACCCTGTATATAACTATTGTTGCTATCCATAAAAAAAAATTGAATTTTTACTACATATGTACTCGTATACAAAATATATTTGAATTCAAAATATGTACGTTAATTCCAATCTTATATTTTTAAATTCTTTGGCTAATTTTTAGTACATGACCGAAGGCATACTTTTACGGGAGATGATGGCAGATCCCTTACTAAAAAGCTACTCCGTAATTATGCTGGATGAAGTTCACGAACGTACACTGTACACCGATATTCTAATGGGTCTTATGAAGAAAATTCTGAAGGTAAAATCCTCAGCTTGGTTCATAATGAAATATATGCCTAAATTTTTATAGAGAAGGACCGAACTTAGACTTATCGTGGCTTCCGCGACTATGGACGCCAAAGAGCTTCAACAGTTCTTCAATAATAACTCCAGCGAAGACAAGAAAAAAGACACTGCAGTTATCATGTCTGTAGAGGGGCGGCAGTTTCCAGTAGACATATTCTACGTCGCGGGTACGAAAATCTCATCTCTAACATGATAAATTCAATGGACATGTTTTTTTTATGCTTGTAGAGCCTGTACCTTGTTACGTGCAAGCATCGGTGGACACCGTCCTCAGAATAAATTCTTCCAAGGAACATGGCGATATCCTGGTGTTTTTAACGGGACAAGAGGAGGTTGAAAGGGCCGTTAGGCTGTTAAACGAACACGCTCATCTTATAGAGGAGTCAAAGAGGAAGGAAAAAATGTTTGTGTTACCCATGTACGGGTCTTTGCCGTACTACGAGCAACTCAAAGTTTTCAAACCGGCTCCCGAGGGTCATAGAAAGGTCGTCGTCGCTACCAATGTCGCTGAAACCTCTGTTACCATACCGGGCATCGTTCACGGTAAATCTCTTCCATTTACAAAATCGAAGACAATTAACTTAACATTTTACTTTCAGTGGTCGACTGTGGCTTTGTCAAAATGAAGTGGTTTAATAGCGAGACGCACACAGACAGTTTAATAACTTTGCCGATAAGTAAGGCTTCCGCGAGCCAGAGGGCGGGCAGAGCTGGTAGATTAAGATCGGGGAAGGTTTTCAGGTATGTGCAATCCTCTATTAGGAACGTAACGCATTTAAATTATGTTTTCAACTCGTACGTCTCACGTTTAGGCTATACACAGAAGAAGACGCAGCTGCCTTAGCAGAAAACACGCCACCCGAAATGGTCCGGAGCAACCTAACTTACGCGATTCTGCAGCTTAAAGCAATGGGCATCGACAACATACTGAAATTCAAACTGCCCAGCCCGCCGCCTTTACAAAACCTGAAGAGCGCTCTGGAGATATTGTACGCTCTCGACGCTATCGACATCCAAGGAGAACTCACCAGGCCCCTCGGTTTTCACATGGCAGAATTCGCCCTGGATCCGTTTTACTCCAAGGTCCTTCTCAGCTCCGGTGAGCAGAAACATCTAATGCAAAATTTTGATATGTATTCGATAACTTTTTTTCAGGCGAGTTTGGTTGTTCCGAGGAGATACTGACTATCGTCTCGGTGTTGCAAGTGGAAACAGTTTTCGCGAGACCGTCCACGGGTAATTCTGTGATCAGAGCGCGGATTCAAAAGAGACTGTTCGAGGTAGAGGAGGGAGATCTGATAACTTATCTCAATGTTTACAACGGTTTCATACAGAGCGAGATGTCGCAGGGCTTCTGCCACAAGAATTTCCTCAACTACAAGAGCTTGAAGAGAGTGGTCGAGATTCGGAATCGGCTGGAAAAGATGCTGAAAAATTACGATGTGCCCGTCGTATCTTGTACAAGTAAAGAATTCCGATAATGTTGCATATGTCTCGTATTAACAAATAAATTGAATATTTTAGGGTCGACAGAACCGATATGTCAGTGTTTGGTCAAGGGGCTCTTTCCGAACGCGGCGTATCTGCACCACAGCGGAGTTTATAAAACCATCCGAGGGGACATAGAACTTTACGTGCACCCAGACAGCGTGCTGTACACCATTCCGCAGCCCCAATGGTAGGCGTAACACCCCTCGCAAAGTGAAAGGTATTAATTCGTTTGATTTTAGGGTATTATTCTGCGAAGTTATACACACGAGCAAGCTCTATATGAGAGATTTAACCGTAATAAAAAGCGAGTGGCTCCTAGAACTCGCTCCGCACTTCTATTACAAAACTTTTAGCGACTAAACAAATATATTTCAGGGAATAAAACCACTTTTTAACTTATAGCTTTATTTTTGCCTCCAACCTTTGCCGTTTCCTCTCCAAATATTCCTGTACATTATCGAATTTTCTTTTGTATAGCTTAATTATGGAGTCATCCTCGTTTTGCTTTAAAAGCTCCTTAAACTTATCATACAAATTCTCTAAGAAAGGCACACTACTTTCTACAAACTTTTCGTCACTTAACTTAAACGCAGAAAATTTATCACTGAGAATATAAAGTACATCACTGAAGTGATAAGAGAAAAGATTACTACCTACGTTTATATTCATAACAAAGCTGGTCTCCAGAGTGGACAATATCGTGTTGTAAACTTGCAAATCACTATAACTATACAGTGAAACTGCTATGTATAACTTAGAACCATCCCCATACACCTGCATATCCATTACTGGTAAAACTTCCACATCGACCTTTTCTTCGTCCATTCGTTTCGCAAATGCAGTCATTAAATTACTATCCGTTACATGATCATTCGTATTGATTAATCCAACTTGTTCGCCTTTGACAAAATCCCAAAAACGTACAGTACCATCTCCAGAGGCCGACACAAGGATGTTCTTCACTACTTTTATTCTCGTTACAAATTCCCTGTGACCCAGACAGAAGCTCATGATGTTGTAAGCATTCGGAAAATGGGAAACACGGATCTTCTCGTCTCTGTCGCAAGTAATTATGTATTTACCGCATTCACTCATTGTCATGTCCAGGATAACGCTTAAGTGTCCTAATAGAAGCTGTGGTTTTTCATTATCACTATTTAATTTATATAAGTAAACATCTCCTGTCTTGTCGGCCACTAAAACGTCATTAGAGGGAGTGAAGCGTACTTTACTTGCAGCACGATTCACTATAAAATTTTTTACTATATTAAAATGTTTGTCGTATACTACCACTTGCTTATTTTCTGTCGACACTACCGTATAGCCGTTTTCGTTGTAGAAATCAAAGGAAGTAACATTTCTGATTTCTTTCTTTAAAACAGCGACTTGCCCCTTTGTTAAATTTTGTGGTAGTACTGGTTCTGGAATTTTTAGGAATTTGTCGCTCAGATTCTCTAGATCGCAAATAATTAAGCAGTCTCCTGAGCTGATCATAAGATTATCGTTCTTTTTCTTTAATAAAACCATTATTTTAATATTTGTTAACACATTAACAAAACATAGTACATAACCTCAACAACTGACATCATGCTTTTAAATTTGACATTTAATTACATGTGGGGTACGTTCACAATTTACACCGATAATTAGAAACTATACGGTGTACATCCATAGGGCCTTTCGATTTGGCAAAAGTAGTAGCTATTAGTAGCTAATAGCAACTTAGAGTTACTCTGAACTTATAATAGTTACTAATAGGTATTATTGCAGCCAAATCGAAAGGCTCTCATGGCGATCGGAATTTAAATCTTACAGTCAGGTTAGTGAACTGAAAATAGATTTAAATACATAAGGGTACTTTTACTTTTAAATCTTTTATTTTTCACACTTGAAGAACCCATGGTTAATCGATTGTTAATATCTTGTTACGTCACAAGTTAGTCAAACTTTGTAATTGGAATTGGCCATGAATATATTTACAAAAAAAGTATCGAATTGACGAATGATTCAATTTCAAGATCGAGGTAATTGGGGGTTTAGGTTATGTTATTAGCTTTATTCTAAAAACATGACGTCGAATCCGAGAAAAGTCAAAGACAATTGAGTGATTATTCTGACTGTTACGTATTCTGTGTTTATGACGTGCAGTGTGTACACAAAAAAAACATATAATACAGTGTGTACTTCTAAGAAACAGAAAAGAACGATAGTAGATTCCTGATTCCTATTTGTGTGCTCATTCAAACAATTAACCTGTCGTTTTTCTCATTTTTATGTGTTAAGTATGTGTAGGAGTGGGGGGAAGCGGCTAGGAAGTCCAGGAAGTGGTTGTTTGGGGTTTCCCATCATTTATGGATTTGGATTTGTGTGTTTTGAATTCCCTACGGAGTATAATTACAATTAGTTTTATAAGCTACGCCATTTAAGAATACTAAAATAATATTAAAATGGCATTAGGTCAAAATGATATTAATTATATGATTTTAAGAGAATGGGCTCCATTAACGGACTTGTTTTCAAAATTACCTTCGAAATCTCAAAGCGGCATATTTCAGCAAGAAATAAAACTGACTTGCGTTGATGTTTTACCAGAATTTCTGGCGCTGGGTACCAATATTGGTATAGTTTATTGGTTTGATAGAAAAAAGAAAGACATACAAAGGCTGCGATGTGAGGTTTGTTTACTTATTGAATTAAATTTCCACATCTGCTATCTGGTGATCATTCTTCTAGAATCCCAATGTTCCCATAACATCTGTTAAACTTATATCGACAGTCGACTACATGCTAGCGTGTGGAAACAACATCGGTAACATCAGCATATTCCAAATACCCAAATCCCATCCAGATTCACTACCAGAGAATCTGAAACCGAAAAATAAACAAGTGGAAAGGTACACGGTTACGGAATTACACAAGGCTCCGATAACTGCAATAGAATGGTCAAAAAACGGCATGAAGCTGTTTTCTGGCGATAAAACCGGCTGTATCGTATTAACTGAAATAGATTTTTATATGGTAAGTTCTGTAACGGCATTATTACTTATGTGCGTCTAAAATTTAATTGTTTTGTTAGCATATATGCAAGTCTTCAGAAATATTAAATGAAGCCTACGAGGTGGTCCAATTAAGTTATAACCTGCAAAGGCTTTTAGTGTCAACCACTTACAGAAGTATCATTTGCCAGAGAGTGGATAAGTGGAAAGTGTGCCAAGTTGGGAAAAAAGACAGAAAAGTGTAAGTGCTCAATATTAACAGAAAAGTTGATATTTGGAAAAATTTTTTGAATATTATCTTTTGATCTAAAACGATTTTCAGGCTGGGTAATTTTGGAGGTGTAATATATCAAAATGGTTATAAAGCTGCCGATACTTGTTTATACTGTACTCGACCTGGACTGAGGGTGTGGATATCCGATATCGATGGAAATGTTCTGAAAACGCTGCTTTTTAAGGTTAACTTTTGTTTTACTCTGTGACTACTATTTATACAATTAATTTTCCTGAAGCTTTAAACTTTTGTAGTTGTCATTTCTATGTCGATGGTACTCAAATTTAATTTTCGTTTGATTACACAGAAGCACAGTTTGCCAATAATGTAATAAATAACGAAGTAAAGTCTCTTTACACTCATTAAAATAAACAAATTCTTATTCCTGTACAATTTTCAGCTGTACCCTTTTATAAAGAAAATCTAAAAAATAATATTTCTCATAAATTTAAAGAATTGCCATGGTTAAATATGTATAATCGCAGCTGTCTTTGCATATTATAATTGTTTAATCATTTGTTGTTCTAGAAGGTATACTTTTTCAGGAATTGCTGTCAAAGGAATGCCCCGAAGTGCCCATAATAAACCCGATTTCTAGAAACACACGCTCCCTAAAACCGCAGAAAGAGCCGTCTTTTGGTATTTTGTTACCGTTCAATGAAAATCTGTTGATTACTTATAACAACGACATCGTCTACATACTGAATCCTCAAGAAATGACAATTATGTGGACCATCAGCCACCTTAGAGGGTACTATTGAATAAAACGATTAATTCAAAGAAAATTACAAGTCATTTTTAGGGTACTTAATATAGCCGCACAGAAAGATGAAATATTTGTCTTGGAAGAAGATAGAAGTCTCATTCGGATCGGATATAGGCCGGAACCTGTCGGTGGTAATGAGTTTTCGTCTTTCTTACTAGAAATAAAGCAAATCTGTTTTTAAACGAAAACCCTTTTTATTTTTCAGATAACGCTTTTTCGTCCGTAAGTAATACTTTCTTACCTATAACAACATCGATAAAGGACCTAACTATAAAACTGCAAACGACTAGCATCATCCCCGCCATTCCACCTATCCTAGAAAACAGTTTCATGAACACTGTCAACATCCACACGGACGAAAATCTCGTAATGAATGCCGAAGAAGCCCAGGAATCTCCCTCTGAGTTGCACGGTTGCGATATTTATACTCAAAAGAAATTCGACGATATCGGGAAACAAGAGTTCAACGACAAAATCTTGTTCAAGAAAAGCAAAAACAGGAAAAAGAGGTCCAGTATGGAGACCAGCGGTACGAGTTTGAGCTCTAACAGCTCCGAGGACAGAGATCTGAGTTACACTCGACCCACTTTGATGAATCTGAGTACCGTGGGAATCTTGCCCGATCTCCGAAGTCCCCAATCCATTAATTACGACATCGAGTATAAAGAGAAGATCCTCGCCGACGTCCTGAATTTGGATAAAGTTAAGATCGTGCCAAATCAGTCGAGCGATTTGGAAGAAGAGAAGCATAAAATCGAGAACGACTGTGATTATAAACCGACAATACTCCAAAGGCAGAAATCTCAAGATAGTGAAGATATTAAAGATGTAGATAGACCAACGGACACTGGCCCATGCGAATCAAAAACCGCTTCGCCTGCAAATTGCGTTTCTACGAATGGCGAAAAGAGTTTAAATAACAGTAGTGTATCTCCCCCAGGTACGTTAGGTTTAAAGAAATTGTATTTGTAGATGGAGGGGATCTGATCAAATTTATTGAATCTTTCAGCGTGCGTCAACATTCCAAACGAGTGGAAGCTGGCCAACATCCAGATCAAAGAGAGGAAGGTCAGCACCGTATCGGATACTTCTTTAAGCGACTGGGAATTTGTGTAATGATAAATATAGATATTGTTTATTTACTAGTCAAATAGCTTAAGATTATTTTGTATTTGTTTTTTTTTATTTTTAAAATGATATTACACTGATTTATCTAAATATGTTGTTTATTTGTTGCGACGGATGAGTAAATATTTACTTACAGATTAAAATCTAAACACACTGTATCTCTTCATCAAAAGTCAACTAAAAAAAAAAGATTCTAGAAATGAATTTGGAATTCGAAGAAAGAATTAGTATAACAATTCATAATTAAGATATTGCTTGGTTACAATAAATTAAATCGTATTAGATATCGAGTGTATACACTACATTTGCTAAAAATACTATAGCAGCGCCATATACATACAGCGGGTGGAGTTGTCCCTACACAAATTCTGTATCGAATGCCAAGTTATCATTCTATATAGTTTATGTTTGGTGATCTAAACCGCGCCGCGCGCCATTATTCTATGGCTAGAAATTGGCCTCAATGATTTGGGATCGAGGGGGATTATCCCTCTTTATCCTGCCTCATCTCGTGTAGGCCTGGACAG